TCTGCTGTTGGAACCTTTCCCTCTTTGGACGGCACTCAAATTTGACAGCTGATGTCATCATTCATATTCAGTAATACAAACACTGCTTTTAAAACTGGAAAAGGCCTACTGTTATTATTTTTCACAGTGGGAAGTATAAAGCATAATGATGCACAAAAGTATGTTTTACTTTGTAAAGAATGTAGTAGCTGGTCCAAGAATATCAATTCTTAAACATTTTATTGATGTGTGATGAGCTCTCTAATCTTTATAGGCTTTATCTATACCTACCCCCACCATACTCCACCCCACTTGCACCGTATCTAGTCCTACTGAAACAGTGCGGCATCAATGCAGTGCACCAGTGTTCATCAAATCTCTACAAGATGAACAGCCATTTCAGGTTCCTTTCAATTATATTAGGACAGAGAGATAAGTTGGTAATATAGACTTGGATTAACACATAAACGTAGACTCCTGCTGTACATTTAAATGATTACCAAAATTTCTGCTTCTGCTTTCTTTAGGTTGTGTAAGTGTGCTATTACATCACATCTGAAAAAGTCACTGCGACTGGGTCAATTACTTGCTTTGGTTTGTGATGGATACACTGTCATTACTGAGAATCCACCAATAGATCTATGGCAGGCTGATTTTTAAGTTGATAACTTTGTATGACTTGTGAATTATATTATAAAGACCCAAACTGTCCTTAGTAGAAAAAAGTTCCTCACCTCTAGTTTATAGCATATGCTCAAAGTGCAGAGTCTCGATACTTAAATTGGGCCTAGGTGATGATGAAGCTTCAAAACATCCTCTAGTGTATGAAGACATGGAAACCACAGTAACGTAGATCTCTACACTTTACTCTTTCCTACAAACCAAACACAGGTTAACCACCATAAATGCTCTCATTAAAGAAAAAAAAAAAAAAAAGCACATGGGAGTCAACAGAAAACCTGAAATCCAATAGTTGGCCTATTGGCAGTTCCTTGATTAGGACTCAAAGAATGATGCTCCACAGCTCTTGGCCTGCTTTCTGAATTCTTCCTTGAAAGGCAGCTTGCATCTGCAGCTGAGGTTTTTTTTCTGCCCACTTCCTACTTACAGAAGTTTAGCCTTCCAAAGCCTTCTTTTTTAAGTTTTGTATTGTCTGTTCTGTTCTTAATTGGTTGTGTTTCTTCTAGTGCAACTTCATAGAAAATATTAAGCACATTTTGGCAATAAGTCCCTTCCACAAAACGTTTGAGACAATCTTCATCTTTGGAAGTATCTGAGAGCAATGCCCTCAAGTTGTTGTAGTTCCTGTTTGGCTGAATAGCTCTTGGAAGCACCACATTTGTTACATTTTACAACAAGAATGCAAGAACAATGAAGCCAGAAAAAGTTCCCTCAACAATATGCCTGGAAATAATTCTTATACCAATCAATTCAGTATTGCTGAATGTGATGACGTTGAAAAACTTCCTTTTCTTTTTTTTAAGATTTATTTTTTTTATTGGAAAGTCAGATATACAGAGAGAAGAGGATACGGAGAGGGAGATCTTCCATCGATGATTCACTCTTAAACTGACCACAACGGCCGGAGTTGTGCTGATCTGAAGCCAGGAGCCTCTTCCAGGTCTCCCACACAGGTACAGAGTCCCAAGGCTGTGGACCGTCCTCGACTGCTTTCCCAGGCCACAAGCAGAGAACTGAGTGGAAAGCGGGGCCACCAGGATATGAACCTGTGCCCATATGGGATCTTGGTGCACACAAGGCAAGGATTTTAGCTGCTAGGCTACTGCACAAGGTCCAATAAACTTTCTAATAATACATAGCAAGAATTTTCTTTCCTTTAGTTCTGAAAAACAGATCCTCACCATTGTGTAAGTCTTCAATTGAACAGTCCAAGAGATCTAGGTTTCTACTAATAGTGTATTCGAGGCATTTTAAACTTTTACCAATATTCTCTTCAAGGTTCCAGGTTCCACTGAATTCCAGTCCCAAAGCTACTATGACATTACAGCCTGGTAGGGGAATGCCCACAGATCCCCTACCAAGCATGTTACCAGCTCCACATCTTGCACCTGCCAGGGATATTGCAGTTCAGCCTGACATGACTCACACCCAGTCCAGGGCCTGCCAGCTGGTGCTGCAACCTAGCCTGGCTGACCCGCACCCATTCTGACTCTCGTGCATGCCAGTGGGTATGACAGCCTGCCTCAGACTGGACTGCCACTCGTCCTAGTGTCACACTCACCAGTGGAAGCAGCAGCCTGATAAGGGAGTCCCCGAAGTTCCCCTAACAGGTCCACTCCCAGCCCTGGTGTCCACTCCCACCTGAGTGTTCTATCAGGTGCTGCAGTTCAATCTGAGATGGCCTGCCCTTAGTCTCAGCATTTGCCAGCAGGTGTTGCAACCTGGTTCAACCCATCCCACCTCCAGGCTCAGCTCTTGCTGGCAGGTACAGCAGCCTAGACTAGTGTGACCCACCTCCAGCCCTCATGTGATCTGGCAGGTATTGAAATTCAACATGACCTGGCCTGCACCACTCAGTTGCTGATGCCTGTGTGGTAGACAGCATGTCCAGATGCACATGGGGAACATGATGGTCAGCTAATCTAGGCCAGCAGAGGATGGAGGATGGAAAGTAGAACAGGTTGGATAATTCTTCTGGCCAAGCTTTGCATTATGTTCCTGAGTCTGTGGATACACTAAGGTAGTCTTTATCAATTAACAATGGAAAGATTTTCTCAACCCTGGAGCATCAAAACCAACAAGTTCTCAGAACTATCAAAATTGCTCAAGTAACACCCTCAGAACACTCTTCCTCACATCATCGAGGTCCTGAAGGCACCATCCAATGACTGTCCTGAAGGATGATGATGTAGTTTGACAGCAAGGCACAGCCCTGTGTCCCTTCTCCTTTGCAGAATCAAGAGAAAACAAAACTGATGTTTCAGAGTCCTAGATTTCTCATCCTGTGTCTCAGTACCATTCATTTACAACAATACTCTGATTGATTTTCAGACTTTTGGCTAAGATCAAGTGTATAATAACACTCTGAATTCAAATCGCTGAGAATTTAACTTTATCTGGAGTTTTATTCTTTTTTCAGAAGATACATTTACTTTTCTTGGAAAGGCAGATTTACAGAGAGAAGGAGAGATGGAGACATGGAGAGAAAGATTTTCCACATGTTGGCTCACTCCCCAAGTAGCTGCAATGGATGGAGCTGAGCCAATCCGAAGCCCAGAGCTTCTTTCAGGTCTCCCATTTGGGTGTAGGCTTCCAAGGCTTTGGACCACCCTCCACTGCTTTTCCAGACCACAAGCAGGGAGCTGGATGGGAAGCAGGTTAGTCAGGACATGAACTGGTGACCATATGGGATTTTGGTACATGCAAGGTGAGGACTTCAGCTACTAGGCTACCATACCAAGCCCTAGAGTTTTATTCTTATGAGTCAGCTTGAAGCTTAAGTCTCAGCCTTCTCTGCCCTTCAGTTGCTGAGATGAAAATCTCTTTCTATAGTTTCTGAAAGACACACTAAATTTCACACTGGACTCAATTTCACACTTGTCCTCAGATGATTAATCATATAGAGCCTTTCAGCCTTTGTCTCCAGAGTAAAATTTCTCCCCAACAATTGCCATCAAATTACAAATGACTAATTTCCTCATAATTTCAAGTGCTGGATACATGTTACTAGCTAGTGAGCTTCATTCCCTTGGTATACCATCTTAATTTACTGTCTGTGAACACTATATTGCCACTTTCTATCCAAATGTATTCTCAGGTTATCATTCACTTATTCAACCAACTCAGGCTATCAACAATCACTAGTTAACTTTCCCCTAAAATACAGCCTAAGGTTCAAGTTAACATACAGGAAGAAGGTAATTAGTACACAGGGGTGTTTTTGAGACAAACATCTGTGAAAATAAGAGAACAATATAGATATGGGGGAAAGACTAGTTGGGCTTCATTACTATAACAACAAGATCAACTAGGCAAGTTCTATGGCTTGGAAAACCACTAAGAACAGACTTAGGACAGATGAAAGAGCAAGACCTTTAAAAGCCCATCTTGAATATTTATTGAATATAGGTTGTCCCAGAGAAATAGGCGAAATTTGGACAAGGTGGTTTTATTCAGCAATTACTATTAAAAAGAGTGAGCAGTATCCACATGGCTGTTTGCTGAGGGACTTCATTGTACACCTTATCTGAAAATTCTCACTTTGCCATCTTACTCCTTAATTGCTACATCATTACCCCATTTACTATAAACATCTTGCTCATTTGATTGCTAACCCACTTTAATCACACTAGAATCTAAGTTTCTTGTGGGCACAGATCTTATCTCATTTTTCATTGCTATATCAGTACCTAGAACTCTTTGAAGTAACCAACCCCTTCCATCAACCTTACTTCACAGGCTAATAATATTCACACAAATGTTTCAGATATGTAGATTTTCTTAAAGGTATCAGGTAAAATATTGAGTTTTACCCAAAATTTAGACACCACATAATACAATGAAGGCAACAAGGGATAAAAGAGCTTAAATACTCCAAAAGTCAGTCAGTTTTCAAGTCTCATGGTTTTTCCGAGTTATGAAATTAGGGGCTCAGATCAATACTTCTTGCCTGCAAATTATCTAGATAAACTAAGAGAACCAACTATCTCTCCTGATACACACTGAAGCAGAGGACATTTCAAGTGGATGTATGTAAACCATTTGTGGTCAGAGATCAATGTTATTATAGTCAAATCATAAAGGTTCCACTAGGTTCTAACTTTTAAAATAAGACCAACTGTGTAAGATACTGTTATATTTCACAAAAGAATTTAATTCAATTCTGGAGGAAAGAGAACATGTAGCTTTTATTATATGCTACATACACCTTGATCTTTCTTAAAGGGAATAAAAATGATGGCTAAGACCTTTTGGTAACAAATGATATTTTTCTTGACATTTCTAGTAATGAATGTTTATAACACAGTCACATGAAGAAAAAGAGATCTCTGAGACAATACCTTGTGCAAGTGTTTGATTGTGATACCTGTTACCAAACCAGTAGGTTCAGCTTCAAAATACTTGCTTTGTACTGGCTCATGAAATTGGTGTAATCCAGATGTTTCCACAGCTGGTTTCCCAGACCAGTAAGAGTACTAAGAATGAAGTAAAAAAAAAAAAAAAAAAAAAAGATACAATCACTGGCAGAGAACTGAATAACTAAGTATCAGAAAATACCTCTTGTCTTTCAGCTTTTGTATTGAGATGTATTACGGAAAACTTCTTGAGATTCAATTTTGTGACTATTTGGCTATAGCTTGATTAAATCAGACTATTATATTAAAATCATGGCAGGGATAAATATCACCTGATACAGGTGAATGATCTGCATAATGTACTGTTATTTCATGTTGGCTAGTATTTTGTTGAGGATCTTTGTGTCTATGATCATTAGGGATATCAGTCGGTAGTTTTCTCTTTCCGTGAATCTGTATCTGTATTTTGTATTATGGTGAAACTGTCCCCATAGAAAGAGCTTGGAAGGACCGCCTCCATTTCTATTGTTTGGAATTGCTTGTGGAGAATTGGGGTTAAGTTCTTGAAACATTTGGTAGAATTCTGCAGTGAAGCTATCTGGTTCAGGGCTTTTCTTGGTGGGGAGGAATTTAATTACTGATTCAATCTCAGCCCTTGTTACAGGTCTACTTAGATTATTAATTGCTTCATAATTCAGTTTTGGTAGACTGCATGTGTCCAAAAATCTATCCATTTCTTCTAAGGCTTCTGATTTGTTGGCATATAGTTGCTTCTAACAGTTCCTAATAACTTCATGTATGCCCAACATATTTATGGTTACATTTCCTGTTATATATCTCTGACCTATTGGTTCGTATCTTCTCTCTCCTTTTTTGATTAGTTGGGCTACTGGAGTATCTATTTTGTTGATTTTCTTGAAGAAGCAGCTCTTTGATTCATTGATCTTGTGTATTGTTTGTTTGGTCTCTATTTGGTTCAATTCCTCCCTTATTTTAGTTATTTCTTTTTTCTTAATAATCTTGAGATGGTTTTGCTGCTATTTTTCTCACTGCTTCAAATGTATGGTAAGCTAATTTATTTGGTGCTTTTCTAACTTCTTGACATAAGCATTGATTAAGATAAAATTTCCTCTTTACACTGCCTTGTGTCCCATAAGTTTTGATATGTTGATGCTTTCATTATTTCAAGAAATCTTTAAATTTTGCCTTTGACTTCCTCCATCATCCATTGTTCATTAACATCATATTACTTAGCCCCCAGATCTTTGCATGTCTTCTGAGGATATTTTGACTTACTGGTATCCAGTTTCACTCTATGATGGTCTGAACTGGGGATACTCTAAATGTCAACTGATTTTTTTTCACATGCATATTTAAGGATCTTTTCCTTAGTTCATCTGAAGAGGTTTTGATTATCATGTCGTGATAAGGTTCACTTTTTGAGATCTATTGGGAGTTCCATACCCCTGCTGTATGTTGTTTCAAGTTATTTTTCCACACTAGGGAAATTTTCATTTAATATTTCATTGACTACATCTCTAAGCCCAGCTTCTTTTTTCTGTGCCTTTTGGTACTCCCATAACTCTTCTACTGACCCTTTAATAGTGTCTCTTAATTCCTGATGACATTTTTTGGCTTGATTCAGCTCGACTTGCAGCTTTTTGATCATTTCCCCATTGTGGCAAGAAACATCTTCTAATTCTGAATTTCTTTCTTGTGCCTCAATCATTTTATTATGGAGACTTTCCACTGAATTTTAATTTGCTTCATTGTGTCCTTAATTTCTAACAATTCAGCTTGATTTTGTTTCATTGTTGCTATTTCCTGTGTGACATATTCCTTAAACTCCTTGAACTCTTATATGTGCTTCTCTTGTATTCTTGTCTTTAGAGCAGGTTCCTAACTTGTATCTCCCATAGGTCTACAGGTCAATTTTACTGATGGCGTTTGGCACCCAGGTCTCTGTTTGCAGTCACTTGTGCCTCTCCCTCCAGCAAGTTTCAGGTTTGGATTCTTGTGTTAGGTTTCAATCACTGTCTCCTGTAGCCTCAGCTCCTGGCTCACCAATCTTCACTTCTGTGATCCTTTGCTGGGGCTGCACCATTCCCTGTACAACCGTTCTCTCACTTCTGGTGCAAGCAGTTTCTAGGATTAGGAAGATGCCAGATGTCCTAAATAATTGGTGTGTTGGTGGTGCTGATTTTGCCAGAACCTGCCTACTGTTAGCTCTGAGAGCCACTCAGACCTATTTTTTGGTGGAATCTGTAGAATGCAAAGTCAGTACTTTTTTCCCTCTGGGTCTAGTGCAATGCAGGCACAGCTCGCTCTTATCCTTCCAGTATCACAACCTTTGCCTCACAACACCAATTGGTTCCTGAAGTGGCATTGTGGCAATATGGGCTGTGAAATTCACCCTATACATGCACTGCCTTCTTGGGTTCTGCTGGTTTATTTCTGCTTGTGGTCAAATCAAACAAATCAGCAGGACAGGTCATTTTTTTTTTTTGGCCTGGGTTCACCTCCTGAACTCCCAGTGAAGTCCCTCCCACCCGACTGCCAGAGGAGCTCTGGCTCCTCAGTTTACCGCTTGCTGACCGCTGCTGGAGTATTTGTTCACTGCAAAACTACTTCATTGTCACTGCTGCTTCCCTGTGTCCTCAGGTCTCCAGGTACCCCTCTGCTATCAGCCTGTTTTCTATTTCCTGGAATGCACCCTCTCTGCTTCTTTCTGGCTAGTGATTCTCTGTAAATTTAAGCCTGTCCACACCCTATGTCACTATCCTGTCTCTCCCAGAGCCAGAGGCTTCTTCGGGATCTCCCACATAGGTGCAGGGTCCAATGGCTTTGGGCAATCCTATGTTGATTTCCCAGGCCACTAGCAGGGAGCTGAATGAGAAGTGGAGCATCTGGGACACAAACTGGTGACCATATGGGATTCCAGTGTATACAAGGTTAGGATTTAGCCACCAGGTTATTGTGCCAGGCCCAACTCGTGTTAGTTTTCAGATAATGAAAAATAAATTCATCAAACCTTCTGCCTCTATAAATAATATTAGAATTAGAACTCACTTTCAAGAAAAAGTTCCATGGCTTTGGGATACCATACTTTCCAGGACATACAGCGTCTATATACCAAGCCACAAGGACATACAAGAAGGCATCAATTAGTAGCATTAACAGAACATAGGCAAAGAAAAAGTTGTCATATCCGTTTTGTGAGAAGAGATTATTCCATTTAATTCCAGTTTCTAAGACATAAGAGAAGACATTAAGTGCCTGCTGAAACTAAAACAAAATTATACTTCTGTATTGTAACTAAATAGTGAAAAAAATACCATACTAATGCTCTCTTGGGATTCATACCAGAGTCAAACATTTTCTTACACTCTCAGATTTATGTTGGCCCACAGTACATCTGAGTTAGTAATCATATAGTGTCCCCCTACCAGATTCTAAAAAAAAGCACTTTACTACAAATGATTGAAACAAAAATCAAGCTTAGCAAAAATTTTGGAAAGTGGCTTTAAGAAAAATAAGCAAGTGTACAGGTTAAGATGGTGGTTCATCTCTCTTCACTCCTCCTCATATTAAGTATTCATGTTCACTGGCATTTATAATTTTAAAAAACCATAATCACTGAAAAGTAAGAGTGGATTTTAACTACAAGACACAAGTCTAAAATATTTTTTTAAATATATAATACAATGGAGACAGAAAAGAGAAGGAATTGTGTCATTTCATACCCCTCCAGTAGATAGAAGGCTGTAACTCCAAAAGGAGTAGAAAGAGGCATTACTACATTTGTAGTGTGTGCAGAGAATGTGGTACCATGTACATGCTGCAAGTGGTGATGTAAAGCAGAAATTTTTGAAGGGCAGTTTAGCGCTATGAATCACTATCCAAACAAAGAATATACAGTAAAATTACAAAAATATCTGCTGGAACAGTGCAATGCATAAGATCTATACTCACTCGTCATTTCTGATTCAACTATGAATTTAAATCCCAGTGCCAATGCATAATTTGAACTGAGACAGCCCAACAGCTTCTGTGAGAATGTCAGCTGCCCATAGTCGGCTAACAGCTCAGCAGCTGGGAGATAGCTGAGAAAAAAACAGAAACCTCCCAAAGTGGCAGTGAAATAGGCTGCAAATAAAAAGTAGTTAATTTAGGTGTCTTAAGTATAATAAAACATATATTTGCTTTAAGAATGTAAAAAAACAAAGTTCTATAAGAAATAGAAACTTGACTTTCTTATTCCACATTGTTTCTCTTAGCACATAATATCTGGGACACAGTAAATGCTCAAAAATAAATAAGTAAAAGGCCAAAATATGATAATTCAGGAGCTAATTCATTTTGGAATTTATCATTCTTCATGATTGGCTATGAGCATTATATTATTTCAATAAAATTTATAGATTCATTTGTTATTACTCAGCATAAGTAATCTAAAATGTGAATACTGCTACTAGTACAATGTAGATTATGTTTCTAGATATTATAAGACTTAGTCTAAGTCACAATACAGGGGACGGAGGAAAGAAGGATGTCCTAGCAAAGACAAAGTCAGTGTAAAAAACGTAGATGCAGTGTCAAATATTAGTAGTTTCACAGTGTGACTCTAATATCCAAAGAGACCACATTATAAGACTGGAAATGCCTCAGTTTCAATAAAAAATGATGAAGAATAGAAATAAAAAAAAAAGAATATGGCACATGCTCATAAAGAAGAGAAACACTGTCACTTTATGTAGTGGCTTCGAAACACTGTCACCGAGGATACTCAGAGGAGGGGAAACAGAGAGCAACATCTTCTGTCTCGATTCACTTCCTCAGTGGCCGTAACAGCTGGAGCTGAGCCAATCCAAAGCCAGGAACCAGGAGTCTCTTCTGGGTCTCTCATGTGGGTGCAGGGTCCCAAGGCTTTGGGCCATCCTCTACTGCTTTCCTAGGCCACAACCAAGGAGCTGGATGAAAAGCAGGGCTGCCAGGACACGAACTGATGCCCATAAGGTGTGTGCAAGGTAAGGACTTTAGCCACTAGGCTACACTACCAGGCCCTTTTATAACCTTTTTCAAGAGCAGAGGGAATGCTAAGTAATTTATAAAGTTAGCATGACTCAAAACAAAACCAGAAAAAAAAATGACAAGAAAAATATCCTATAAACCAATAATATAACTCATAAATGTAAAACTATTTTATGCAATGGTAGAAAAATTAAAACAGTGTATAAACTAATTATATGCTAAAATCTACTGGGACAAAGTCAAGGTAGGTAAGGCTGGTTCAAAATTCAAAAATTCATTGATGGGGAAGTGTTTGGTACAATGGCTAAACCATCACTTGTAATACCCAAATACTTTATGAAAGTGCCTAGATTCAAATCTGTTCTCCATTCCATATTCCAGCTAATGATCAGCTTAAGAGTCAGCAGGTGTTGGTTCAAAGAGTTGGGTCCTTACTATTCACATAGGAGACTCAGACCGAGTTCCTGGGCTTCAGCCTGGCCCACCTCAGGCTGTTGAGGATATTTGAGAAATGGACAAAGAAGTGTGAGATCTGGTATTCTGCTTTGCAAATAAAATATAATATATAGTTTTTAAAAAATCAATTACACTGAATGCTAAAGGAGAAAAAGAACATGATTATATCAATAAACACAGAAAAAGCATCTGATAAGATGCAACACTCATTTCTAGAAAAGTAGAAATAGAAGTGTGATATCTCAACTTGTTAAATGCTATCTACAAAAAGGACAGTATCTAATTTCAAGACGTAGTTTTATACTACGCTACAATAAAGATTATGCAATATCGGTCAAAGAATAGACAAATCAGTGGAACAGAAGAGAGAATACAGAAATCGATCCATGCAAGTACAGTTAGTCCTCGGGCAAAGGCACAAAGTGAATACAATGTGCAGAGGCAGTAGTTTTGATACATCATATTAGAACAACTGGTCATTCATATGCAAAAATTCCAGTTAGACTTCGATGTTACATCCATCAAAAGTACTCAAAACAGATCAAAGACCTAAATGTAAGGAACGAAACTATAAAACTCCGAGAAAATAACTCAGAAGAGCACCTAGGTAATCTTACGGATGTTCATTACTTTGGCATAATGCACAAAAGATCGCTACTAAGAGGAGGAGAAGATAAGCCTACAAATATGGCTTTTGCAGAATATTGCAAAAGATACATCTGATAAAGAACCATTAAATCAACTATGCAAACAACACTTAAGCCTTAACAATAGGAATTATATTGTTAAAAAACAGTCCAAAGATCTTAACAGATACCTCACCAAATGTGACATACATACAGCAAATTAGCATGTGAGTATTTCTCAGGGAAATGCCAATAAAAACTAGAGATACCACTACACTCTTACAATGGTCAAAATCTGGAACACAGCACCAAATACTGGCAAGAATATGCAACAACAGATTCTCTTTGCTGTTAGAATTGCAAAAAAGGATACATTGTCACTTTAGAAGACAGCTTGGCAATTAATTACAAAGCTAAGCTTATAAACCAGCAACTATACCCCTTGGTATTTACCTAAGGGGGTTGAAAATCTGTGCTTTCAAACTGCACATTGATGTTCACAGCACCTTTAATTCTTTTTTAAAAAAGGTTTTGTTTTTATTTGAAATGCAGAGTTAGAGAAAAGGAGAAAAGTAGAAGAGGGGAGAGAGAACAAGAGAATGAGAGAGAAAGCTAGAGAGAGAGGATATCTTCCATGTGTTGGTTCACCTTCAAAATGATCACAATGACAGGAGCTGGGCCAATCTGAAGCCAGGAGCTTTTCTGGGTCATCTTTTGTGGCTTTTCCCAGGAATAAGTAGAGAGCCGGACTGGAAGTGGACAACAGGGGCAATAACTAGTGTCTATATATGATATCAGTGCTGAAGGCAGATGCTGACCCTATGTTGCCAAGGTGTCGGTACCCATTAATATATATATAATATATTACACACATATATATATAAGATTTATTTACTTTTCTTGGAAAGACAGAAACACAAGAGGAAATACAGAGAGGAGGAGTGATAGAGAGGAAGATCTTCTGTCTGATGATTCACTCCCCAAGTGGCAGCAATGGCCAGAGCTGAGCTGATACAAAGCCAGGAGGCAGAAATTTCCTACAGGTCTCCCGCATGGGTGCAGGGTCCCAGGGCTTTGGGCCATCCTTCACTGCTTTCCCAGGCCACAAGCAGGGAGCTGGATGGGAAGCAGAGCAGCAAGCACATGAACCGGTGTCCATATGAAATCCTGCACATGCAGCTGGGTCACAATTGTGCAAAACTGTTCCTCATAATAAATTTTTTATCTGACATAGTAAATTTCCTGTTGCTTTTGTTTCCCTGAAGAACTTTTATATTACTATAACTTTCAAATATTTTTGTGTGTAGGATTTTTATTACTGCCATGTCAATTTCAGTTCTACAGGGGAAGCATATTTCAAATACATAACAGACATACATTTAGCACTTACTGGCTAAGTGTTAAAAAGCATTTTTTTTTCCTTTTTCTTCACATGTACCAGGATCATCACCACAGGCAGCATTATCCCCTCCAATATAACACACAAAGTTATTTCCATCTCATTTCTTCTCAGTGAGAGGGTTAGACAAACACTACATCTGAAGTAGCAGTTAAACTTAAAAAAGACCCCTCAAATCCAATGCTATTATATTATACTGTATCATATCAAGCTGTTAATCATAGATGTTTTCTTCTCTATAGTTATCACTCTCTTCATTCCCTTTCAAATCATTCATGTGAATATGGCATTTGCCATTTTAGATCGTACACAAACAGAGGCTAACATTAGGGTAGCAACTAACACAGAATGGTATTTCCAAATACAATTTTGTTTGGGCACTGAACCACAGGAAAAATCGTTAAGACTCACCATTACTGAAAAATGTGCTAATCATAAGGCTGAAGCACACGGAGGTAACAGAATAAATCAGCAAAAAGATGAAGACAATAATTGGGCTACTGTATTGGAAGATTGGCATAGATTCAGTCTAGAAAAAAAAAATTTAAAAGCCAGGTTAGTCATGCTTGAAGTGATATCACAGCAAAATGAATAAGAATAAAGAAAGCATCTTAAAAAACTTCAATAATCCCAGTGAAAGTGATAAGACTACACAGTGACATGAAGACTTAGTAATTCATTTTCTACAGAAGGTCCATTCACCCAGGTTTCAAGTTTGGTTCATTGAGAGACTAAGGAAACCCCACTTTCCCACAATCAACACAAGCTATTTTTTCATTCCCAAACAGAGATGTATTAGCTCCACAATGTGCTTCTAGGTTTAGCTCATGCACAATGCACATACTTGCCTCGACATAGAAAATTATGCATATAAAAATGACGATAATCAAATAAGAAACGAAGAATGTGAAGAAATAGGCAGCCCAGAGCATCCAATTACTGAGTCCTATCATGAGCTGGTATTCCTGTGGGAGAGTTAACACAAGTCAAATATCAAATAAAATAATTTAACCACTTAGTAATTAGAGTTTTCAAAGTTGAATTCATAAATATTATCTGCTTTAATATCTGTAACCGTAATGGATGAGGTGACAAATGCTATTTAGAGAGAAGGAAACCAGGGTTCAGCATACTAAATAACTTTATTAAAACAATTAAGCTGGTAAAGACTGTGAATTACACAATCCCATATAGCACCCTCCTGGCAATTCATCTGACATCAGTGGGAAGGCACCAAAACAAGCAACAAAATCTTAAACTGGTATTTTTACTTCTTTACTTTCTTTTTATTACGTCCTCTTTCAGGGAGTACTAAAAAATTCTACCCCCATGCTTACTGTAACTGAATTCACAATAACTAAATTGTAGAATTAACCCAGATGTTCATCAACTGATGACTGGATACAAAAATTACAGTATATCTACAATATGGAAGGTCTCAGCCACACACACAAAAAATCAAATTATAGTCTTTTGTGACAAAATGAATGCCAACTGGGAACCAATTATGCTTAGAGAAATAAGTTAGTTCCAAAAAGACAAATATCATTCATTCTGATAAGAGGAAGTTAATATAGATTACAAAAAATGTACATGAAATAAAATGAACGTCTTGCGATTTGATTATTGTCTCCAGCCCTGGCTTATACTCCTGTGGGTCTGTGATGTTTCCACTTATCACTTGTTGGATATTGCAGCTAATGGTGCATTATGCCTGTGATTATAGAGTGGACTGAAATGACATATATATATATTTTTGTAGCGTGAAATCTTATCTTTCACAACAAAATAGATAGAGCAGGAAACGATTATACTTCATGAAGAAGCCAATCCCCAAAAGGCAAATATCATGTATTCCTTCTGATTTATGATAATTAATAGAGTACAAAAAACATAATTTGTATAGTGATATCAGCATACTGAGAATTAACTGGTGTTTGCAGTCTGCATCCATAATCACGCACATGAGTAGGATTTCTATTTTAATTTTTGAAAATTTTCTTTTCTTTTTTCTTTACTTGCTATGTCATGATGTCTTTATATATCATAAAGTTAAGCTTTTTGCTGTTAAGTGAATGAATATGCTATTTTGATAGGGAAAAAAGATAAAGGAAAGACAGGGAGGGAAGGGGGAAGGTGAGGGAACCCTAAGTTTCTGAATCTACTTGGTGAGAAATGAAGTCTACTCATAAAATTACACAAAAATAAAAAATACGTTTTTTGCAAAAACTAAAAAGAAAAAAGAAGGGAAGTGTAGAGGGAGGCAGAGAAAAGAAGTATGCTTATCTTCTCAGAATTAGATCTACGGAATACATGAAATCTAAATCTCTCTATATTAACATTTTAAAATGTAAATATGTCCTAATTCAGTTATAACGGCTAGAAATAAGAATTAAACATAAAAAATTGACAAAATACATGTTACAATGTTCATGAATTTTACATTTTCTTCAGAAGCAGTTATTTACAGAAGCAGAAATATGTCACTTATCAAGGCTTAACAAAAATGATATAAAAATATTTAATTAAGAATATAATGTGGAAAACCAAAATGGATGTCCAAATTAGTGGTTATGAGTTTTAAGAATCTATTTTAAGTTTTTCTATTAAGTTCTACTGCTGTTTCAAGATTAAACTTTGTAGTTTAGACCCATCTGGAGCAAATGTAAAGAGCCTTCAAAGAGTTTGTAGAAAATGGGTCTCATGAGAAAGCTAACATAGATTTCAAACACTTTTGCAGCAGATATTATCATAACAAGTTGTCACATGTCTGAGCAAGATCTAGTTTGAGGGACCAAGAAGTTTAAGTTTGAAAACAGTCGTTCTCTGAGCTGCATGAATGCTGTTAGAACTGAAGCAGAAACAAACATCAGATTTATAACGAAGCTTTGTGGAAGAGTAGTGATGAAATCACTGAAGCTTTTCGAAAAATTTTTGAGGACAGTGCAATTCCCAAATCAGCAGTTCACTCATGGATAATTCATTTTGAGAAGAGATGAGATGCTATTGATGATCAAGCTGGTAGAGGTGGACCATTCACCTCAATGTGTGAGGAGAGATTACTCTCATTCCCTGATTGAGGAAGAACAACAATAACAGCAGACACAAAAGCCCGAACCACAGAAGCTTCCAATGGTTCAGCCTACATAATTCTGACTGACAAATAATGTTGAGCAAACTCTTTGATATGTTCCAAAAGCTATTGTACCTACATCAGTTGTAGGTAAGAGCAGCGGATATTTTAAACAAGTAGGTTTAAGATCCTGAAACGTTTCTTTAAAGAATTATGAGATGAACCATGGCTTTGCCAGTATGATCCATGCACAAAGTACAATCAAAACAATGGTTTTCGACTGTTTCCGTGGTTCAGTCCAAGTAAAAGCAAACTGATCAAGAGCAAAAGCTTTTTATTTGGCCAGGGTTGGTGGGGGATATTCACGCCGGTTGACTTTCTATAAGCCTGAAGAAGAGTGAGTGTTTGAGTGTCTGCTTGTTATGTATGAGTGTCTTAACAAAGTTAGCTAAAGCTTCAGCAGAAAAATGCCTGAGACACCTTCACTGACAGGATCCTTCTTAGTTACAGTGCTTCTGGCTCATTCTCATCAAATAAAGGAAACCTTTTTGAGACTTTCAATAGAAAACTGTTAGATATCCATCTTATATCTCAATCTGTCTCCTTCTAATAGTCTTGTTTCCTAATTCAAAAGAAATATTTAAAGGGCACCTACCACTTCTTTCAATTAATAGTATATAATTGGGCCTGGCATGGTGGCCTAGTGCCTAAAATCCTCACCTTGAATGTGCCAAGATCCCAGATGGGCACCGGTTTTAATCCTGGCAACCCTGTGTCCTGCTTTCCATCCAGCTCCTTGTTTGTGGCCTGGGAAAGCACTCGAGGATGGCCCAAGACCATGGGACCCTGCACCTACGTGGGAGACCCGGAAGAGGTTCCAGGTTCCTGGCTTTGGATAAGCTCAGCTCTGGCCATTACAGTCACTTGGGGAGTGAATCATCAGATGGAAGATTTCCCCTCTTTATCTCCTCCTTTCTGTATATCTTATGATGATATACAAGGAGCTGGATGGGAAGTGGAGCATCTGGAACATGAACCAGTGCCCAAATGGGATCTCAACATGTGCAAGGAGAGGACTTTAGCCACTAGGCTCCGCTGGTATCACTTTTTATGAAAGTGTTTTGTACATTTTTTAAAGTAAACATTTATTTACTTAATTTACTTGAAAAAGAAAAAGGAAGAGAGTGACATACACAGATTTCGCTCTGTCATTCATTTGCTCCCCAAATCTCCCTTACCAGCCAGGGTTGGGTCAGGGTGAAGCCAGAAGCTGGGAATTCATTCTCAGCCTCCTAGTGGGATCAGAAGTAGAGGCACTCTGATACAGGATGCAGGCAACCTAAGTGGTGTCTTTACTGCTATGCCAAACACTAGTCCTTCTGAAAACAGTGTGAAGGTCTGAGTCTGCCTAGCACACACAAGATTAAATAAAGGACATCAGATTTGAAAAGGAAGATATCAAACAGCACCATGTTTCAGTTCAGCAATTCAAGATAAGGAAACTTCCAAAAACTTGTGGAAAACAAAATTAAAGAATAAAGAATAAAAAAAAATGTGTTACTTAGCTATTTATAGCTCACAGCAACAGGCTGAGTTGTAATAGTTTTTCATAAATTTCGTTCAATATTATGACAGTCATGTAAATCAGGTACTAATAATCTATGTTTATACCCAAGAAAATAAGTTAGAAAGGTTATGTGACATATTATAGACCAGAAAACAAAGCCAGGTTCATGGGCATTCCAAGAACAAAGCAAGTACTTTGTAATTAGTAATAAATAAGTAGATATACAAGTAATCAGTGAAGAAATCATTGGTTAAATAGATTAGTGAATTCTTATTTATAAAATACTTGACTTAACATAACATGTGATAGACTAAGACACAATATCTGGAAGAACTAAGACCGTTTAGAAAAAAAGAATCAGAGATTAAAAATTGGTCTTAAAAAAATCAGAGGACCATACAGTCTAGGAATTAAGTCATGTCTCAGTTGATCTAGATAAAATTTCAAAGTACAGATTATTTCTTTGTTCCAAACTTGTTTTAGGGCATTTTGTGTTTAATATCTATTTATAATAGTCTTGCAATTTTCTATAATTATAACTAAAAATCCTACTAAGAATTCTAGTGGGGGTGGTGGGGGAAAACTTTAAATATGCATAGAACTAAGCATTTGCTACTTGACTGCTGCTGTTTCGTGTGTGCACAGGTAATTCAACCCTCCCAATACAGATTCATAATTTCCTATAGAAGTTCTACCTACTACAAGAAAAGTGGAATTACCTTCAGTCGATTGGCCTTTTCCCACACAAGAGATTGAAGCAGGGTAAGATGATTTATAGAGAAGATACACACAATGATGAAAGGTATGAAAACGGAAGCAAATAAAAAGAAGGCATCTTGATAAAATAATGGGTATGGAAACCTCTTAACAAAAACCCTGACATCATTAAACAGTGCTTCTGCAGCTGTTCTGTTATGATACTTCATGATGGCCTTATCCACGGCATGCTGAACAGCCAGGAATCCTTCACTGATATACCCTAAATGAGGAAAACAAAGATTGCTAGGTGTAACAAGCCAAAATATAGCTCAGCTGAACAAAGAAAAGGCAATTAATGTACAGCCACATGCCCCACAGTAACATTTCAGTAAAAAATAGACCACATATACAATGGCAGTCCTACAATATCACAGAGTGACATGGTATCTTAGTCTGTGCAAGTATACTCTGATGCTCATTCAGTGACAAAACTGCTTACACGAATGCCCTTCTCAAATCCTACTCCCAGTATACATGACTACATCAAAGGCAAAAACAAAAATAAAAACAAAAGCAGGATTATTGCAGTGGTGTATTTGGACTAATCTTCCCCTACAGGCGCTGGCTTGACTCCCAGCTGCTCCACTTCAAATTCAACTTCCTGATAATGGCGTGGAAAATGGCAGAGGCTGGTCCAAGTCTGCAGACCCTACATGTGGGAGACCCTTAAGAAATGCCTGTCTCACAGCTTTGGACCAGCCAGCTCTGCTGATTGTGGCCATTTGGGGAATGCACCAGCAAATGGGAAGTTCTTTCTCTCTGTAACTGACTTCCAAGTAGAGCAAACATTTTTTTTTTTTAAAGAGCAAACAACAAAATTAACTGTTGCAAAAAGGCTCTTCTAATACAAATACATAAAATAATTTCGTAATTTTAAAACTTTTTATTTCCTTTCCAGTATATACTAGAATGCCAGTTATGATGCTGAATATAAATGACAAAAGTTTTTTACTTTATTCCTAACATTAGGAAGGAAGGAATACATTCAATACTTTTTACCAGTAAGCTACAATGTTTTTCACATATTAAGAGAATGCACCTGTTCGCTTGGAGAGTTTAAGAATATATTTATTTTATGTTGGAAAAATAATCTAATTTTACAGAAAGTTACAAAGGCAGTATATGTCTTCCTGGTAGAAAGAGTAGAAACTAATTTTGTATTTTAAAATGTATTTAGCCCATTTACACACGTGATCTTCAAGATTTCACAGAAAATTCATATTGTAAGAAAACTATGCATGAATTTCAAAAATGTATGGACCCAGTTTAGCTTACCTTGAAAATTCTTTAGTTTTATTTTCACTTACAAAGCAAAAGAAACAGAGATTTCCTTTCTGCTGGTTTACTCCCCCAAATGTCCACAATGGATAGGGCCATTTCAAAAGTTGCTAAGGTATGTTATGCTTATGTTTGCTGGTCAAGAGGCGTTGTAACTGTTAAATAGTTCCAAGTTGTGGGATAATTCTAAGTATTCTTGCCTGTAAGGTTTTACCATATTATTTTCAGCCTTTTCTAAATATTTATCACTGATACACAGAAATATAATCCTGTTAACCTGGTAGTTTGTTAAAGCTACAGAGTTTTAAAACACATACATCAGTGTTAAAACAAACGCCAGTCTTTCTCACTAGTTGTCCTAACAAAGAAGGTGAGTCCAACACAAGACTCTTCTATTCACGTCCCTATGGATCTGTAAGTGTGTCATTTGGTTTTCCACTCCTAAGAGCAGACTGATTGGGCTACCACTGCAGAATGCTCTGCCGACCGTGGTGTGTGCACAGACCCCCTTCCTCTAGCAGTGCCCTTGGGCCTCTACATATAAACCTGAAAAATCTTAACTCTAACAGCTTTCTACATTTCTTTTTTTTTTTTTTCCATCAAACTCATAGGCATTTCAAGGCATTGTCTATGACTGGAATCATAATGTAGCAACATAATTTCAAGAGGTATAAATTTTACTTCAAATTTTATGACCAGAAAGATAAGGTTCGGGGCTGTTGAGGTAGTATATGGGCCAACCATTCATGTGCAAGTGTACCGGCCACTGCACGTCTGATCCAGCTCTCTGAGAAAGCAGTGGAAGACGGTCCTAAGCCTTGGGGCCTTGCACCCACGTGAGAATCTTGGAAGAAGCTCCTGGCTTCCAGCTTTGGATCAGCTCAGCTGACCCAACTGTGGTCTGGGGAGTGAACCAGCAGATGGAAGACCTCTTTCTCTCTGCCTCTCCTCTCTTTAAAAAAAAAAAAATCTACCTTTCTTCAAAAAAAAGAAAATTTTCAAAGTGTTTTTCAAGTTAATAGCAATAACATACCACACAATCCCATCACCCTAACTTAGCAACTAGTTTCCTTTTGGAAATTTATCCCAAATTTTATATGGATGAAAATCTAGGTTAGACAGCTATAATTTCATAACTTTGGTGCTTCAGAATATTTAATTATGGTTACTTTTGATGATTACAATGCTCTGTCAAGTTATATTTTATATTTCTAGCTAAAATTTTTAAGAATTAAGATAAATTGGTCATGATGCTACTTATTTTGTTGAATAACTTATTCAAAGTAAACTTGCTTAAATTGTAGATTAAAATAACACTCTATATTAAAAACATTTTTAGTGGTAGTATTTAAAGTTAAATAGTTTGGCCCAGCACAGTAGTCTAGCAGCTAAAGTCCTCGCCTTGCATGCACCGGGAATTCCATATGGGTGCCGGTTCTTGTCCTGGCTGCTCCACTTCCCATCCAGCTCCCTGCTTGTGGGAAAGGAGGAGAGGATGATCCAAAGGTTTGGGTCCCTGCACCCACATGGGAGACACAGAAGAAGCTCCTGGCTCCTGACTTCAGATTGGCTCAGCTCCAGCCATTGCAACCATTTTGGGAGTGAATTAGCAAATGGAAGAGCTCCCTCTCTGTCTCTCTTTCTCTCTGTATATTTGACTTTCCAATAAAAATAAGTCTTTAAAATAAAAGTTTAATAGTTAACATAAGTTTAAATTATAATGATAGTGAAAACTGTTCATCATTCCAACAGAATAACATAAAAAATATCATTATCTGTGTCAATACCCAAAAACACATTGATACAATAAAGGCAAATTTTAAAAATAATTCTACATCTAAATACAAAGTCATACAATTTCTTTTATCCAGGAAAGACAAAAAGGTCATAAAATAGACTAATCAAGTGTATAGTTTCGGTATGTGGTTCTAGATAATGAAAGTTTAAATGAAAAAAAAAATCAGTGTAGTAGGTTAAAAATAGCTGGCTTTTATCACAAAGCTGAAGGAATGAATATAAGTACTAACTTATAACAATTCTTACTATACAACTGGGAAATTAACAGACATAAAATCCACTTACCGGGATTTCCCCCAAGTGTATCATACTGGTTTCTGGGTCCCAAAGAAGGGAAAGATGGAAAGAGAGAATGTGTTAGCCAAGAATCCTCTTGAAATTCGTACATAAATCTCCTGTTTTTCTTAATACTGCTAAAACGCAGGTGGTATTTTACCTAGCAGAAATAAAAATGAATAAACAATATTTAAGCAGGAAGAGTCAGAAACACAAGGAGACCAAAAGTACATGTGGTAATATGTGATTTTAAGGCACGTGGATCACCAAAACACTGAACACCAGGAGGCGACAGCAAACGTCTCAAAAGGCACACAGCAGAAGGCTCAGCTCACACCTAAGCTTGTGCATGTTTCTCTTTTAATCTGCCTCCCCTAACTCTGCAAAATTGTTTTTAACTGAACTCTCCATAACATGTGGATGTTTACTGTAGAGCTGAGGTAACCAAATACAGGCGAAACCTGTATATGTCACTGTGAAAGTATTTTTTCCTAAACAGACAGCTGGGAAATAAAATGTCATGAAAGAAACACTAATTTATCTTCCCATTATGCAGGCCAAACGTTCTAAGTAGAAAGTCTCTTCCCCTCCTAAAAGCTATTTTAACTTAAGACTTTTAAAGGAAGACAGGGCAGTAATAGGCTAAGTGATTAAGTGTAGAGTGTTACATATTTTTAATTATTCACTGAAAAGATAATACTAACTCTGAACAGCCGAGTTGTTTTCAAAGTACATCATGTTGTATCTAAGTAGCTTTAGATGACAACAAATGAATCAAGAGTTTCAAAAAAATCTGAAGGGTCAGATGAGGAACATCAGATCAGAAAGATGTGCAAGTGAATATTCACATGTTCACAAATCAACTCACAACTGGCTAAATGAAGACAAATGTTTCAGGAAGCCAGATAATGTTTAAAGCCCTTTTACACAATTAGCTCAAATTCTAGTTGAGGAAATATTTGCTAATTACATTGTAGCATAAAATTCAACTACAAAGATATGCTTAGGACCTTTAACTGGAAAATAAAGGAAGAAAAGGGGGTGCGTTGGAAGGATAGACAATGTAGAGTCCAAGCAACAGTCTTGGAGGGTCAGTAAGGGCAAGCACCATGGGGGCAAGGTTAGCAGGACTATACAAAGGCAGGTGATCTCCTGTTTTTCTTAATAGATCCCAATTGTGCCAAAAACATTTTGCCTTGCTCTACCCACAATGTTGAGCCTACATCATCAGCCCATACTGAGTCAGTAAAGCGGGAAGGCGACACCTATGGAAGTAATAAGGGAGTGATAGTGCAGAATAAGGAAATCCCATTCTACTTTGCTTAGAATGTGGTGACCTTCTTTACTTCTAGTTATGTTGACACCACCTGTGTCCTAAGGGCAGTATTGTGGCTCCACGCATGCCAGCAGCAGAGACCAATTCAAAGTACTCTTTTCATATTTTCAAGGCCATTATTAGAACTTTTCCCTGTGTCTCCAGTTGCCATAATTCTAATTCAGACTGGCTAAGCTTCAGAGTTATTCTCTAGATTTAGAAGTAGAAATGGGGATATAAAACTGAGCAAATGTCTTTTCCTGCTGTGTCCCTCACTAGCGCACATGCATCTGCTTCATCACATCAGATACTTTGATCTAGGAAATGTACAATCACTTCACTTCCTCTGGACTACAGATAATGGCCACATCAGACATAGTGGTGAAATAATGTTCTTACTTGATATTTTTTCTTGTGATATTAAGAATAGGGCTTGGTAGGCTATAATAAGTTCCTCATCAAAATAAACCACTGATAAACAAGTTAGATTTTGAATCAAATGCCTTGCTCTACCATGTACAAGCAATGCAATCTTGGGAAAGTTAGTCTCACCACTTATAAGATTAAATAATGACACTTTTACTTCATTAAATCTCTGGAAACTGGAAGTACAATTACAAGGTTTCTATATAAAGTTTTCTTACCTTAAGTGGCAGGGGATCATTGCTATTTTGGAAGTTGTGGTCAAAAACAATAGCAGCCACAACTTTCTTACTGTTATTAATTTGTTTAACATAATCTTCAAAGTCTGTTTCCAAAGAAAAGCCCAGAACTATAGAGACAAAGAGAAATCTGGTATATGAGCTGTCCATATAAAGGTGAAATATATGGCAGCACTTCCCCCCTGAGAAACTATTTTTATAGACAAAGAGTTACCATACTAGTATAAGTTTCAAAATGTTGTTCTTCAAAAACTGGCATAACAAAATAATAGATATTTGGAGTACACACATTTAAACGTAGATAATGTTTAAAACTTTATAGCAAGTTTAAAATAATAATATTTGATACCTATTGAAAAAGGTGTTTCAATGCTTTGAAATTTCCACATTGAAGATTAGAAAAAAACTGGTCAACATAATTTAAAATTTTATCTTAATATCTATATAAAAATACTTAGAAGTTTGGGAATGAAATCATTGTGATTTCATTTTAAATATCATTTTAAAGATTTGTGGAAGTTACACTCAATGTATGAAATAACTGATTTAGGATAAACTAAATTTAACCTGACTAAATTTTTTGGCTCTCTTAATTTAAGTCAAAATATTCATTTTAAACATATGTATATGATTTTCTTAACAATAAACATATATTTTCTGTATGTAGGATAACAATAAACATATATTTTCTGTATGTAGGATATCAAGGATTTTAATAGCCTGTTGGGGACTTGGTTCCTGGGCTCCAAGGCCTAACTCTTTCTGAATATCACAGACTATTATCAAGTCATTTCCCCAAGCCACCTTGATTTACTAATTATTTACAAACAAATCTCTCCAACTTATAGCCCCCAGTCTTGATAGGGTCTTTTCTATGTAGGAAACATGGAACTTTGGTGAAGACTCCTGTGTTTTCATCGTCTAAAACATCTGCACATAGGTGGATGTGGGTATTTTGGTATGCTTCATTAGGAGTATTGCTATCTTATAACTGCACCACAATCTTGGGGGTCAACTCTGTCAAATGTTTGAAAGAATCCATGCCTGCTGAGTTTGAAAAGTCCCAGCAAATCAGCCCAACCCTACCTAACGGAACTGAAAGAAGCCCTGACTGTGTAAGTCTCTAATCTGCAAAAATAGCATTCTCTTCCCTTGGTAGTAGCGAGTCCCTTTCAGGTCTGTTCCCAAATGAACTTGTCTAGCTGTTATGTCTGTGATCGCTTCTTTGTCTTGTTCTATACTAACAGGGTACATACTGGATACCTGCCCACAAAGTCAGTCATTCTTACAGCTGTCTGTCTGTCTGTCTGTCTCTCTCTCTCTCTCACACACACACACAAATAACCTGGCCCAAAAGAAGAAAAGGGGGCAGGTGCTCAGTGTAGTGATTCAGACAGGCCCCACGTCTCTTATTGGAGTACCGAGGTTCTGATTCCAGCTTCCCATTAATATACACCCTGGGAGGTTAGTCTCCCATCTGAGACCCAGATTGAGTTGATGACTCCCAGCTTGGAGCGGTATGTTAGTTTCCACGAGTGGGTTGTTATTTTAAAAAAGCAAACAAAGACACACACACACACACACACACACAAATCAAGACTAGTCCTTTCCTGGTCTTTGGCTTCCTATATTATCATGTAACTTTCCCTTCTAGCATCTGTTCCCACCTTGATGCCATTTGTCATATTGTAATGTAGGCAAGAGGGTCCTGAGTGAAGGTCAAATAGATACAGCCACACGACCTTGGTCAGTCAACCTCCCAAAGCATAAGACAGATAAACCTCTATTCTTTATACATTATCCAGCCTTAGAAATGTTTTAATAGCAGCAAAAAATTGATCAACATCCTTATGACTTACATATGCTTTGTATATAAACAACACTTTAAGTAAATGACTGCTGAGTATGCATTCAGAATAAAGGCTCATGATGACCATGTGCCTTTGTATATCCCTGGAGTTACTCAGAAGCACAACTGAAAATAAGGAAGACTTCATATCACAGAAATGGAAAGCAACCCAGATTAATACAAATCAGCCTTTGAATTTTAAAATATTATTACCTTTTCCAGACTCCATAGAAAAAAAATTGCATGCATCAAGCTTAACAGAATCCATAATATATTTAGGAGATTAATACCTAGTTCTCATGGTACATTACAAGGTTTTACTTGAGAGTTCCATATTGGTTACTCAATATCGTGTCAAATAAGTCCACAATGTTGTAAATTGTTGTTGATGTTACATTGTGGCTTTAAATTGATAGGGATGATATTCTGCCAGCTCTGCCTTCAGACCAGAGATGGTCTCCCCAAGAGACTATTGAATTTATCTGGACAATAAGGTGCTGGACTCTATGCATGGTACATGCTTACGATGAAAGAATCTTGACTGAATTTAACTGTAATATTGCAACAAGGTGGAGAAATCCACCATGGGGGCAGAGTATGGGGAAGAGTTGGGGGTATCCCAGAGCCTATGAAACTGTGTCACATAATGCAATGTAATTAATATAAAATAAATACATTTTTAAAAAGGTATGTCTTTGCCAAAACAGTTCAATAATATATTTTTTAACAGAAAAATCTTAATTTCTAACCTTTCATATTGGTGTGTAAACTTTGTTTCACATTTTCAACAATATTCTGTACTACTGTACTTTTGGAAGGCACGTAAGCTAGTTCCCAAGGATAGGGAGTAACGGGGGGAATCCTGATGAATGCAGGTACGTTCTCAACATTCTGAGCAGCATAATAGTAAGGTCCACTCTTCTTTGCAGCAATATATTTGCGTGTTAACAAAATCACAAAACAAAAAACAACCGTCAAGAACATTTCAACAAGTAAATTCAAAATTCGCCGCCTCTAGAAGTGGAAAAGAAAATAAGATTATGCTAACTGATCTCAGAAGTCTTTAACTTCACAAATGACTAACTCTTTTACATTAAGTTGACAGATATATCATAGAAGAAGAATATGTAAGTGGTCATCAAGTACAGCTTCAATCTGTAATAACAAAACCCCTGACTCGTTTTCATTTTCATTTCTATGTGGTATTCTACTGTTATTGAATTCTGTGGGAACTCTATATTTATACATATAATCCCAGACTTGGAACTAGAAAAATGAAAACATAATAAATTGATACAGTGAATCAGGTTGTCATCATTCTCCTGTGTGGCCTTAGAGCTGTTGCAACACAACTACAGAAAATTCAACTTGCCTTATAAATAAAATTCTTCCAGAGAAGACTCCTAAAAGCTCTGCACCCCAACCAAGCCATTCTTCAAGAGGGAGGAATTTCAATTCTGCAGGGAGAGAAAAGATTTAAATAAAAAGGAAAATAATTAAGAATAGCCAATAATATGCAAATTTCATACACTTATTTAGTACAACACAGAACGATTTTTACTGAAGAAATTCAAGTCGCTGGACACAACAAAGATACATCTCATCAAAGTGCTAAATGTTTTCTCACAGAAATTCTGCATATCCTACAGATTCTAACACTGATTACACTTTCCAGAACATAGGAAGAAATTATCAGTTCTTTCCTAGAGAGTTCATTTAGTAAATACTGAACTCAGCACATCCTTCCATTCACAAAACAATAGTAATTCTACAATAATCTTGGATGGAACTGTGATAAGCATAATCCAACATCATGTTTTAAAATAATTTTCCTTCATTGCCCATACACTGAGTGCATTAAGAAATCTCTCCCTATCAGAAGTCTACAAAGTCTTCCTCCTATGTCTTCGTTTAAGAGCTTTCTAATCTTGCTGAGTGTGTTCTGGCCATGGAGTGAAGCTGGCACAGCTGGCACAGTAAGTCAGGATGTTAAGGTTTTTTGTCCTCTTTCCAAGCCCAAGGATTCCTGCCTCTTAACCAGCATTTCTCTGCTCCTCGCAGGGACACTGGCTCCTCCTCTGTGGAGGTTGTCTCCCTGGGACCACCTCACCAGGGCTCACAGTGTCCTTTCTCACGCCCCAAAGTGATGGTGGTGGTGGGGCTTTGTGCTGAATATGGGGGACACTGTCTGAGAAAAACTCTCCTCTCTGACACTCAGCCGGGCTACCTCCAGCACATCCCGTGGTCTTAATTGTTTCAGACCCCTAGTAACCTGGGGCCAGTTCTCCAGCAACCCTAATATCAGCCTCCCAGACTCCTCAAAAACCTCAACTTTCTATCCTGTTCCACCTAACTTTGATTTTGCTCTATTTTGGCAGGACTGATAGGATTTGAACATTTTCCCAACTTACTTACAATTTCCCTGGCTAGTGTCCCCCTTGGAGGCCGGCGTTCAACCTACCCCCACCCCAGATTCCCATTTCACAGATGAGCCCGGGAGAGGTGAGCCAGAAAACGGCAGAAGAGTCGGGAGTCAGGTCCACTGAGCTCCCCAAACCTTCGCCTTCTGTCACGCGAGTTGTAATCAGAGGAACGGACCCCAAACCCCAAAAGTCCCTCACGGTTCGTTTAGCTTCTGAGGACAAGGCGTGGAGGGTCGGCACCCGGAGTGCCTGCTCGTCTCCGGAGGGCGTCCTGGGGACCTGCAGGACCCCGGCGAGCGGGGCGGCCAGCGCAAGGCACCTCAGGCAGGAGGAGGAAGAGCCGGGGGCACAGCCTGGGCACTCACCGCTCAGGCGTCGCAACCGCCACGACCGCCGCCGTCGCCGCCGCCGCCGCTGAGGGGCGCCAGTCTGGAGCGCGCGCCGCCGCCTCTCAACGCTCCTCACAACCGCCCCACCGCGCAGGCGCCCCGCGGGCCTCGGCCTCGTGCGCGCGCGCACTCCAGGGCCTAGTGCTGGGAGCCAGCTGCAGTCCCCGCTGGATCCACCGGGGTCCAGCGGCTCCAGGCGCGCCCTCCTCCCGCCATGCCTAGTGCCTGGGGCCTTCCTCAGGTGACCCCAACAACCTTGCTTCTTGTGTTCTGACCAAACCCACCCATCTCCTGCACGGACCTTTGTCATGAAGTTAATCCCCTTTCCTGGACTACCGCCTCCCCCCTCATAGTGGGTCCTTTTAAATAACCTTTTGGGAATTCTGGGCGCAAAGACCACATCAGACAAATACTAAATGTTAAGTTAAAAGTTAATGTGTTTTTCCCCCCTTTAAAGAAGGCCCACTTGGGAAACCAGTTTTATAGGATCTGAAGTTGGTTTCCAAGGATCTGTAGCACAGGTGTGGGAATGAAAACTGAGGCAAGACATACTCTAGCCGAAACCAGCACAACAGAGACGGACTTCTGGACGTCACTCTAGTACTCAATATCCAACTATGGCTGTAACAACTTTTGGACAAGCCATCCCCAAATACAGCAGCTTCGTGGAACAGCTCACTCTTTATGTTGGTGATTCAGTAGCACCTATTCCACCTATCTGATTATCTTTCTGACCACGAATCCTAAAGACCGGATTAGGTTTCTCATACTGTTCATGGTCAGCAGTTAAGCTGTCTCTTGGGATGCCTGCATTATTTATTGGCGTTATTTACCTGGATCCAAGTCTTGGCCCTGTTCCCATTCCTACTGTTACATCTTGGCAGGCAGCAGGCTCAAATACTATCTGCCACCCATTTGAATGGAGTTTCTGGTTCCCAGTGTAATGGAGCGCCGCCATTAATGGCACATACCACTTGTCAGGTTGACAAAAAGTGGACAGGGCACTGAGTTTCCACAACCCGCCCTTCCTACCTCCTCTCGCATCATTCATGTTAACTGAAGGCACCTAAAGTGCACACTGCCCCTCCTGCCTTCCACAGCACTCACAACTGACAGCACGTTACTCTGCAGGTTCTGCACACCTGGCCCCTCCTGCCCTGATGCCTTAGGTTAGTTGGCTGTAGGACAACTTTGGGTTCTAGAAACTTACTTCCTGCCTGAAACTTTGTACTGCATGGCTCTCAATCTGATTGGAGGATGAGAGCTTAAAAACCTGTGACTTTTGCTGCTTGGCACAGTGGCTACTGGAGTGTAGTGGAAGCTGGTGTCACCAAGCTTGGACAATAAAGATTCCGCCTAACAGTGTGATCTCGCTCGCACTCTGCAACACCAGTTTCCACTTGTCTCAGGATGTTGTGGATGTTGAAGATAATACCTTTCAAGTAAGTAAATAATTGAAAGCGGAGACAAGGACATTTTTGATTTCTTTCCCTTTCCACTTTATGACTTCTTTTCTTCTTAATGAGAAATAGGGGTGGGCCAAGGGTAGAAAGAACACTACCCAAAGGAATGTTTGCTTCTGCTCTTGGATTCTAAAATGTTCTCAAGAGTGAAGATTCCCTTACAAAGGTAATATGTTCCTTTGAGTTGACTTTAGACTTCATGATATAAAACCCGTGTGTGCATGGGTATCTTTACGGGAAAGAAAGATTTACTCCAGGCTTTATTGCTTCATATCCATAACCTGATGTGAAAACATCATAAAACAATATAGGCTGTCACATTTCTGGGTGTTTCTGTTCAAACATTCAGGATACTCAGGAATAGGTGTCCTTCCCACTCTGATAAATGGTGCTCCCCTAGTTCTAGGGGTGAAAACAGGAATTTAATCAACTGTCTTTACATTTGCAACATGTTGTATGCATAGGCCACCCAGTGAAAACTGCAAAGAAAAGGAAACAAACTTTCTCACTGGGGAAAATTTTTATTACTTAAATCTATTTACACCAAGATATACAAACACAGCAATTTCACTCTGTGTATCCAAGTATAGCCAGTGAAAGATACAGGGTAACTGGCTGTAGCTGAAACTCATGGTTCAATATTCTGACGACCTGTTGTAGCTAAATTAGCAAAGCTCAGGAACACTTGTTCCAGGGTTATCTGACTGATGGAATAATCTTCTAGCTCGAATTTCTCTTTAGCTTTCTCCAAAACTCCAAACACCTTTAAGAACAGCAAAAAGGACTGTTAGCATTGCAGTTTCCTCTCTAGCCCCCAGCCTGGATTCGTTTTTCCTCCACTTTTTCCACATCATGTTATGTTTACTTGGGAAGACAAAGGTTACACAAGGGGAGGATGAGAAAGAATAGGAAATCATGGAGTGCAGAGGATGCAGGTCACCATTCCCAGTTTCTTGACAGGTGTGCATTAATATTGGGACTTAAGGGAAGCAACAGAAGCAATTGGGTTTTAGGTATCTGAAAAGAAATCTAAAGACTGCTTCTATAATGCTGGGATCCCATTCCATTTGTCTAAATTTCAGATACTTTCCACTATTAGTGCCCTCTTAGGATGTTAAAAGGGCATAGTTTGAGCCATTACCTTTCCCCAGCTATTTTTCTTACTGGGAATGTAATAATTAAGGAATCCTTGACTCTCTTGTGTCAATTTGCTGCCTAAGAAATGAAAAAAAAATACAGGTAAATAATCTTCTAAGCTTCATTGATAATTGCCAAAACATCGCTTCATTAATTTAATCGTATGCAGTGGAGGAGTGAGTAGGGTTAATACAAAAGGAGATATAATTCAGAAAGAAAAAAAAAACACTCTTCAGTATACATGACTAGGTTAAGGCATTCAGAAGATGTGTTCCCAATGGAATAATTTTATTATGTGGAGTTCAGGGGAATTATTTTTTTTTTATTGCATTTCATTTTATGACATCATTTCATGGGCTCTGAAGTTCCCCCAACCCCTTCCTGTACCCCTCCCCATGGTGGATTACTCCACCTTATTGCAGTATTACAGTTCAAATCCAGTCATGCTTCTTTCATTGCAAGCATGTACCATGCATAGAGTCCAGCACCTTATTGTCCAGATAAATTCAACAGTTTCTTGGGGAGACCATCTCTGGTCTGAAAGCAGAGCTGGCAGAATATTGTCCCGAACAATTAAAAGCCATAACATAACATCGATAACAGTTTACAACATTATGGAGTTAATTGACATAGTACTGAGTGACTGATATGTTACAAAATGCAAATTCTTAACCATATCCTGTGACTACTTCATTGACATTTGAATTTTAGTTTATATAAACCAGCTTCTATACACCTTAAAATGGCTATAGGTTACTATTCAGCTGTATCGTGTGTATTTTCATTTTTGTATTTAGCAGTTTATTGTATTGAAGCATGATTTTTATTGGAGTTCAGGGGAATTCTTAAAGACACAAATCATCTCTCATGTCCCAAAAACCTGGGCCCTCCAAAGTTCTGTTATTACCAGATTTTATTCCTAATACTCAATACACATTCAGTAAGTATACTCAACTTTCCAAGCATGTGAATAATTCAAAAAGTTCATGGAAAATGGCATTAAAAGTTAAGTTTATTTTGGTGCAAAAATTCAAAATCCATGAATTGTTGCCTTCACATTTCTGATGTTGAAAGAAGCCCTAATCACCGTGTGATTTTGTAAATGGGGCCTCTAAGGAAATAATGATACTTAAATGAAGTCATTAGACTGTTAATTCCCTGTGATTGGTGTCCTTACAAGGAAAGAAAGAGACAACAGGGATATGCACACACAGAGTAAAAGTTCTAATGAGGACAGAGCAAATAAAAGTTTCTCTTCAAACCAAGGAGAGACTTCAGGAGAAATGAAGCCTGCTGACATTCTGAACTTGGACTTCTAACCTCTCTGATGTTTAACCTATCCAGCTTCTGGAATTTTCTTATGATAATCCTGCATAAAATAACAGATTATTTGTTCAAATAATTGAAGTTACGCTCAAACTTTGTGGCCTGAGATAATAAATCATATGGATAGTCCAAACATACAGCTGCCTGATTAGTTATGCAAGAGGCTGGTGAATAGTGCTGTATCGGGGAAAACTTCTTAGCATCACCAGACACAAGATGTTTATAGGAACACACATCCAAATAGAAAACTCTATGTGAAATATATAAATAACTCAGATGACAAGTTATTGGAGACATACAAGATATAGGTAACGGGTATTATTAATAATATCTAACACATCTCTAACAAAATGAGTCCAAACTAGCTTACCTGGGAAAACTCTCTCGATAAATGATTTAAATTCATTTACTGTATCCTCATCTGTACCAGGCTTGAATTTGATATTCACAGTGTAAACATTGCCGAATTTATTCTTGAGGTGTTGAGGGCTTCCCAGGCACACAAACTTTCCCTGCACCATGATTGCCAGCCTAGTACAAAGAGCATCACATTCTTCCATGCTGGAAAAACAAGATACCAGAAAAGTTAGCCTATAATTATCTCACTGGAAGATATTCTGTAATCCATCCAGGATTTTGCCAACTCTCCTTGAAATGGGAAGTTGGAATTGTTATAATCACATGGATAAAAGGAGCTTTTTTCAAATTAAACACTGAAGGAAAGTCTTGGAAGCAACTGTAATTTCTATCCTTTTCCAGAGATTCTTGGCCATTCCATTCATTATGATCACAATGAAGCTCACATACTCAGGCAAATTTATTATCCAATATTGATTTTCCCAAATAAATTTTATCATATGATCATTTCAACCCTCCATAAGTCCACACCTGTGGGAGGTTATGATGACAGCTTTTCCAGTTTCGCGTGTCTGTGTCACCACATTCCAGAGGAGACGTCGGGCTACTGGGTCCATGCCAGTGGATGGCTCATCCAGGAAGATTATTGCGGGTTTTCCCATCATAGCAATGGCATTGCTTACTCTACGTTTGTTTCCTCCACTTGGTGGTCAAGGAAGAAGAAAAAAGATGAAGTTAAACATTACAATGATTTAATACACATGTGTATGTACTTATATATTTATATGTAATCATATTTATGGGGTATAGAAGTCCATTTCAAGATTTTTAATTGACACATAACAATTGAGAATATTTATGCAGTGCAGTATGTTGTAATGTATGTATACAATGTGTAATGATCAGATGAGAGGCTCTTCTGCAATTCAAACAGAAAAAGGTTCATTTTATCTCTGCAAAAGGAAGACATAGTACTAGCACATTTATTCTATTGCTGGTTTTTCAACCCTGGAAGCACATTTGATTATTTTATAGTCATTCTCTGTCTGTGGAATGCAAATTAAAATGTGGGCATTCATTTCAAAGAGCTGAATCACAGGCAGATTAACACTCTTGGCTGCAATGAGAATACTAATATGGTATAACAGCTCACCTGTAAGTATAGATATACTTGTCAGCATGGGATTCCAGTTCCAGCAATCTCAAAAAATTGTTCACGTAAGTGGGAATCATGCTCTCTTTGACACCCCACAACCTGGCATACATTGTCATTATTTCTCGAGCAGTCATGTATTCCAGCAAGGCGTCAAACTGTGGACAATAGCCTATTTTTGACCTTATCTAAAATAACAGAATGGCAACCAAATAAATTAACAGTAAATATAGATGGCATAGAGTATATAGTAAATATGGATGAAACAGAGGACTGGAAATTCTCCAGCCCATGGTTCCAACGACGTTACCCACTCCCATCACTGCACACACTTTACAGAGAATTTCCTCGATCCTTCCCACCCTGATCAACTATCAAAACATCATCAAAAGTAAATTAATTAAAAGAAAAAAAACAAAAAAATATGATGACTGTTCTCAGAACCTCCATATGATTGGATTCAACTATTTTTTTTTAATTTGCCACAATGTTGAAAAAAAATGAAAATAGTCTGAAAACTAAGGAAAATAGTCATCAAATGCTTGAAACTAGACAGAGATCACAACACTTCCTTTTCTGACTTGTGTGGCCAAACTCTGACAAAAGCAATAATATATTCTTCATAAAATACTTCCCAAAAGTTTTTGAAAAAGAAATGCTGACAAGATAACAGATAATAAATGTATAAAAATAAAAAACAATATCAAAGATAAATACTAAGTTTTATTTCCCTGAAAATATCTACAAATCTAGAAATATAAAAGTTTGAGTTTGATTGCTTCAGATTTGACACAGAGAAAATCCAAAAAAATTTTTTAAAATAATAAAATAATAATAGTAATATGAGAAATAAGCTATTAATAAAAACTAGAGATACACTCCTCAACCTTGACTGAATAAGATGGTCACTTCTGTGCAGCAAAAAAAAAAAAAAACCAAAAAAACAAAGAAGAAGAAAACGAAATCAGTATACTGAAAAAAAATCTATCCTCCCGTATTCACTGCAATGAAGTATTACTCACAATAGCCCAGATATTCAGACATCCTGTATAAATATCACTGGATTAATGGATAAGAAAAAATGCAGTATATATACACAATGGAATTCTATTCAGTCCTTAAAAATAAATGCTGTAACTTGCAGTAGTACTTACAAACCCAGAGGAAATTATATTAAATAAGCTAGGCACAGATACAAGTAAGAATTATCTCACTTAAACTTGGAACTCTTTGGAAGAGTAAAACTCAAAGAGTAAAGTGGCAGTTACCATAGACAGGGAGTTGGGGAGAATAGGAAGATACTTGATGAGAGGATACAAACTTTAAGTTAGGCAGAAATAACACTTTTAGGATGTGTAGTTGAACATTGTTAAAATGACATATTTTGATTTTTCATGACAAAAATAAGCCATTGCATTAATAGATTTATTAATTAGGTTTATTTAATGATGGATTTCTCTCTTCTTCTCTTCTTGACTGTTCAGATGAATAAGGCGAGTTGGATTTGAGTATTTCCCCTACTACAGCTATTTAGACTTTGATAAAACCCCAGCAAGTTATCAGGTAAGTGCTGCTGGAGGTATGACACAAGAACAAATGCTGTGCCTATGCTCTTTTTCCTGTCTCATTCAGGACTGCAGAGGGATTTTTCTAGCTGGTGCAATGGCTCAGCTGGCTAGTCCTCCACCTCTAAGTGCAGCATCCCATATAAGCAATGGTATGTGTTCCAGCTGCTCCACTTCCCATCCAGCTCCCTGCTTGTGGCCTGGGAAAGCAGTGGAGCACGGCCCAAACTCTTGGGACCCTGCACCCACTTGAGAGACCAGGAAGAGACTCCTGGCTCCTAGTTTCAGATTAGCTCAGTAATTTGAGGAGTGAATCAACAGATGGAAGATCTTTCTGTCTCTTTCTATAAATTTGCTTTTCCAATAAAAATAAATAAATCTTTAAAAATAATAATAGTAAGGAACGAGGGAAGTGGTAAGAACATCAAGAAACAAAACTCACAAAAAGGTGGGGCTTCCAGGAACTGAGTCCCCATGGGGCTTTAAAACCCAACCTTGTGGTAGAGCCTCCAGCAATGCACCAGTAGTGGTTCAAGTTTTCCAGACCTGGCACTCATTCCCTCTGTAGTCTCTGCTCAGGATTGGAGCGCAAGTGAGCTATAATTTGATGTATCCACTTCTTACCATCTCCAACTTGAGGACAGTGATGTCCTCTGTGACTGCCCTTATCTTTTGATCTAAAAAAGTGGCTGTTCAGGTCTTCACTTGTTTGGATGCAGTTAGTGATCTCCAAGTTTCTTAAATATTAGGCCAGAAATTGTACGTCCAACTAATTTGAAAGAGATTCCAGCACTTTATCTGACATATAGCAGAGGTATTGCTTACAGAATTTTCCTTTTACTCCTGTAGCTTCAAAGAATTCAAATGATATTCTTGATTTACATTCTTCAAATAAAACTGCCTTTATTACCTCCCTGTTACTCTGCTAAAAAAAATTGTATTTACCCATTGTTAAATCAGTACTATAAATACCAAGGCTTTTCCATGATTCTTTCCTATAATCTCCTACCACTTGCCTCTTGCTTGCACTCCAAAGTCACCATACGTCTCACATCATAAGTAGTGTCTTACCTTCATGTTATTTTTGGTGATGCTAAAGCCTTCAACGAACACATCCCCGGAGGTAGCAATATCCTCTGCAGTCAAAATCTGGAAGGTAGTCGTTTTCCCAGCTCCATTCAATCCCAGCAGCCCAAAGCACTCCTTTTTTTGGACAGCAAGGGAGATATTTCTCACAGCCAGGACTGCCGGAATCTTAAAATAGATCTTTAAAAAAATTTTTAAACATTATATACATATATACACATATATGTATGTACATATGTATATAAACATAGAAAATAAAGACCGCTATAGGTTAAGTACAACCCATACCTCGTATCCCCATAGACAACACCACCTGACAGTATTGTAATAACTCCTATTCTACAGAGAGAATACAAATAGATCCCAAAGAAGGGCAAAAAGCCCCTGCAACACTGTTAAGTGGGGATGAAGCTGGCCTATGTTGGTGAATGAGTGGCGTTACCTTTATGAGTTGCCTAATAACAACTGTGGCATTCAGCAATTTCAGGGGCTGGCTCAGAACTCTGTATGTTTCCTCTTCTATATCTTCATCTTCAGATTCTCCAGATAATTCCCTGGACACGGTTTCCTGCATTAACAAGACAAGAATCACAGAGATGGATGCCCTGTGGCATCAGGTTCTATATCGGATGACTTCAGGAAGACTGAAGTGGGGCTAATTTCAAAAATATGAAAACAAAAGATTTCAATCATTTCCAAGAGACTTCCAGTATATCGTCTCAGCTCTCAAGTACAAACTTATCCCCTGCTGTCAAAGTTCAGAAACTGAGTTCCTAAGCATGAGTAAGAAGCATGTTCTATCAAAAAAGATACCACAAAACACTGTATTTTTAACAATATGTATTTGAAATGTGGAGATACCCACAAACACACACATGCATACACACAGCAGCCTCATCCATCCACTGGTTTATTTTCCAAATGGCCGCATTGGCAAGCATTGGGCCTGGCCAAGCCAGGAGCATATAACCCCATCTAGGTTTCTCATGTAGGTGCCAAGGGCCCAAGTGCTACAACATGCACTGTTTCCCCAGCTACGTTAGCAGGGAGCTGTACCGGAATAGAACAGCTGAACTAGGAGTGTACTGAGATGGGTTGCCAGCCTCACAGGATATGGTATGTGACACTCTGCCACCACACTGACCCCTGCCAATAATTATATTTGTTAACAATGAAGTATATCCTGATCTAGAAGCTACAAATAATGTTAAGAGTGTGGAAAAGATTGTTTTTCCCTCCTCTGATAAAAAGAAGGAAAAACCAGGATTTTATGCAGAAAATGTTTCATTTGAACTTAAAAGAAGTAACCAGGAATTCACGATATCTTTTAACAGGGAAGATAAGAAAGGTAGGGCTATGATATCACTAGCTAATAAAATCTTATTGCATTACTGTCCTTTGTGTGGTCTATTCATGATTAAAATGTAGTGGCAATCCACTGTTGGTGTGAATGTAAACTAGTACAATATTGGAAGTCAGTATGGAGAGTGCTTAGACAACTGAAAATTGATCTACTATATGAGCCATTCCATTACTGGGAACAGACCCAGAGGAAATGAGATCTGCATCTGAGAGAGCTACCCACAACCCTATGTTTTTGTCAGCACAATTCACAATAGCAAGCACATGAACTCAACTTAAATGCTCATCAATAGAGAAACTGATAAAGAAATATTGGTACATATACTCCATGCAATAACCATGCAATCATAAGGAATGAAATCTTGCCATTTATAACAAAATCCAAGACAAGCAAAAATTGGAGTACTAATTGGAGCCCTGATTGTTCTTACCCTGGTCTAGCTTACTGTTAATATGATTGGGAAGATGAAGGTTCAGCTTCCTGGCTTTGGTCTGGCGCAGCCCTAGCAATTGCAGCCATTTGGGAAATGAACCAGTGGATGGAATATCTTTCTCTCTTCTCTGCTACCCTACTTTTAATGCCTCTTAGATATACTTTCAGTATTTTGTGATTTTTTTTTATCAGAACACATGCTTTTTTTCCTGGATTTTTTTTTAGTTTTAATTTGATAGAGACTAGCAATTTGTAGTTTAAAAAACAATCTAAGGGCCAGGTGCAGCAGCCTGGTGGTTAAATTCTAGCCCTGTATCCACCAGGATCCCATATGAGGCTGGTTTGTGTTCCAGCTGCTCCATTTCCCAGTTCAGCTTCCTGCTTGTGGCCTGGGAAAGCAGTGGAGAACAGCCCAAAGCCTTGGGACCCTGCATCCATGTGGGAGACCCGAAAGAAGCTCCTGGATTTTGATTTTGGATCAACTCAACTCCAGCCGTTGCGGCCACCTGGGGAGTGAACCAGCAGACAAAAGGTCTTTCTACATCTCCTCCTCTCTGTATATTCGTCTTTCCAGTGAGAAAAATAAAATAAATATATATTTTTAAAAAGCCAATTTGCGGGATTCTTATAAACACCAAAAGTAAGAACAGCCGTTCCAGAGAATTACTAGAAAATGTGCTTCAGACAAGCAGAATCAGTATCACCTGGGGATTTAGAGCTATGGCGTGGTGGTGGCGGGGAGAGGGGTGGAACTGGAATGAATGGAAAGTTCCTTAAGGGAAAGATTTCTATTATAACCCTCTCCGTATATATTGCATATTCAGAGCGGGAAAGGACACAATGTTAAAAAGAAAAAAGTCACAAAATTCAAGTTGTGATGAAGATTTCTGATTCACAAAAGATCCTGATCAACATGGATTGAATGCTTTTTCACACAGCCAGAAACTGAGTGAAGTATGGGTGATGCTATACATTTGTTATAGAGTAATCTCTATGGGCCACGTTCAGTCACTTACCTTATTAAATTTTTTGTAGACACCAAAGAAAATATATTGAAACACAAATGTTTTCAATCTCCATGCATATGTATCCAGAAAGAGAATTAATAAAAAGTAAGCAAATCCTGTGGCAGCCATTGCAATCACATACCGTCCAATTGTATTGTCATTCATACTATATACATTGCGACTATTTACTGATGACAAGAACAACAAATATGGTAGGGGTTTACTCTTTTTTTAAAAAGAAAAAAGAAAAAATCAAGACAATGAACAAACTACAAGAAACCAACAAATGGGAAGTACTATAGCATCAAGTAAACACAGAATCAATGCATTTACTGGCTGTTTGCTTTGTATGCTAAGCAGTGCATAAACATTCTTTAAGGGACGCAGGCATTTTTAATCCTGTAGTTTTTATGTTGGCAATAGTTGTAAGTATCCATACTCAACATGTACCATAAAGCCGCAATCATTTGGTGAATGCATATTCACACTAAGCAAAATACAGAGTAGAAACAGAGGCCCTCTTCGCTCCTAAATATTCTTTCCTTTGATGATACTACAGAGGGTAGTTCTGAAAGCATAGAGTAGTGGCTCTACAAAACTTTGATTGTAATATATTTTGGCATGGATTTTATTTTAACCTATTGTGGGTTTACTCTATAGGTTTTTATATTTTATTTGCAAGAATTTCAGCTACTATTTCTTAGACATTTTTTTTTTCCAGTTCCTCCCTCCATCACTTCTATTCTGGACCTCCAATTTTATAAAATGTAGACCTTCGGTTATGGTGCCATAGAATTCTGAGGCCTGGCTTTTTTTTTTTTTTTTGACTGGCTAATTTATATTCTAGCTTGCTGATTTTTTGCTTGCACAACTTCACTGGGCTTTAAGCCCACTTCCGGAGTTTCAGCATTGAGTCCTGTATTTCATTTCCTTGCTGAAACTTTTTCTTTTTTTTTCATACATGTTCATAACTGCTCACTGATGCATTTTTAAATCCTTGTCAGATTTCTTCAAAATTTTATTGAGATAGAATCAGCATCCATATAGTAAGTCCATCTCAAGAGTGTAGTTTGGTAGTTGATAGGTGAAACCTCCACCACAGTTAATTTAGAGAATTTTCATCACCTCAAAAAGCATCCTTTATCCTTGAGCTTATCACTGCCCTAAGCTATTGATAATCTCTCTAGAGTTCCCACCTGGACCTGCCTATGAATGGAATCATCTTATAGGATATTTTAAACATCCCTTTCATCTTGGTGTGCACATCTATTAACTTGGTATGAGAACTGATGCCTGGACATTTTGCGGGTACAGTGGATAACTATAAGTTTTCAGTTCTGGGCCCAGCGTTGTAGCCTGGTGGCTAAAGTCTTCTCCTTGCAAGTGCCAAGATTCCATAGTACCAGTTCTAATCCCAGCGACCCTGCTTCCCATCCAGCTCCCTGCTTGTGATCTGGGAAGGTGGCCGAGGATGGCCCAAAGCCTTGGAATCCTGCACCCAAGTGGGAAACCCAGAAGAAGCTCCGGGCTCCTGGTTTCGGATTGGCTCAGCTCTGGCCATTGCAGCCACTTGGGGAATGAATCAATGGATTGATGATCTTCCTCTCTGTATATCTGACTTGCCAATGAAAATAAAATAAATTAAAAAAAAAAGTTTTCAGCTTTGCCAGGCCATGTCTGACACTGTGCTGGCAAGGGAAGGGTGGCCACACTGTAGCAGAGAAGGCATTGGGTTCACCACCTGGATCCCTTGCTAACAGTGAAGGGTCAACGAAACACTAGCTCTTCCTGCTAGATTTCTGATGTCAATAACTGACCTCCAGGACTGACTTTGTGGTTGCTGCGGCACTGCCTCATCACCACTAGGTAGTGCAACTCCCACCAGTCCATCGGGCTTCCTGGAACACAACCCTGGCAGTGAGTGCAGATCTAGGCTTTCCCTCTGTCTTTGCCGGCAAGGGTAGGAGGGGTAGAAACACGATTTTGCCTCTTGCATTTGGCAGGAGTAGAACGGTTGTTGGCTAAATGCTTTGCTGGTATCCTAATGTACATGAGACAAAGAGAAAATCCAGGGCACCCACCACATTTCATGTTGATTGTACTTTTATAAAAACGTTTTCATTTATTCGAGAAACTTCAAACATAAAATTTGAATGAGTGAAGTGATCACTTAGATGTAACAGCATTTTCTCATTTATGGCATGCAAATTCTGCCTCAATAAAATGAATTATTTATTGGAGAGGGAGAAGTTGAGAGAGAAGAGGAAGGAGGAGGAGGAATGGAGGGGAAGGAGGGAGAGAAAGAAGGGCGAGAGAAAAGCAAGAGGAGGAAAGAGAAAGGAGACAGGGAGAGAGTGAGAGAGAGATTGGGAGGGGGGAGAGCCTATGGAACTGAGCCATAAAATAATAAAGAAACGGGAAAAAATAAAACGAAACAAAAAGAAACAAGCAAAAAGATTACACTTTCTGAATTGCTTGCTGCACAGAAGAATTTAATTGGTACGCTTGTTTACTTTAAAAAGACATCATTACTGGATGTAAACATTGCTGTCCACATTTTTTTACTGAGATTCTTAATCTCAGTTTCTCTCTCTGTAACTCTGCCTTTCCACATGTCGGCATCTCTAAATCGGACCTCCTGGGTGTGACACCCAGAGGTGGGTTCTGACTGTGGCTTCTGCTACTGTGGACCCTGCAGAGGCAGTGGAAGATCAGAACTGGGTTCCTGATTCTATGATTTGGCTTGGCCTGACTGGCTGTTGTGAGCACATGAGGAATGAAGCAGCAGATGGGAGCGCTCTTCCTCTGTTTCTCTTCCCATGACTTTATCATTTTACTAGATTTTGTAACATTTTGGAATACTGCTTTCTCATTCTTTCCCCCTGAAGCCATCCATTTAAGGTTATTGGCATAATTACATTTTCCGTTCAACTTACCCATGAACTTGTCAGCTACTCTGTCATGCTAGACCTGGCTTGTGCTTTCAATGTGTGCCTTCCTTCCCACTTTCTTTTATACAAAGTAATAATTATTATAAGGCCACCATTAGGGATCCTGAGATGAAAATGGATGTTAAATATTTTTCTTTGCTGAATTATCACTTTTATTCTTGCCTTATTTTCTTTTTTTCCTGTTTAAATGCCCCACACCAACACTTAATTAAACATTTGTGTGTCTACTATTGTGCTGATTCCACAAAAGATAATGTGAAATTTAATATTCAACTGGCACCTTCCACCCAAAAACTAGTGTTCTGGAAGAGAAGTATGGCAGAAACACAAATATTAACAGACCGCAATTATATACATGCCCTAGGTATTCAGTGCCACATAAGTTTTAGCTGTATTTTGTAGAAGTTGTGTGACATAAGCCAAGTTATTTATATTCGTATAAGATTTTCCTCAAAACAAACATAACTATGATGATGCATTATTTCAAAGATTCACAATATTGCATGTGGATTGCTCACATGTGCTTAGTAACTGACCGTTACTGTCTCTCTGATGGGCTTTGGAAAGCCCCAAATACTCACATTCTTCACACGGGGCAGTGGTAGGAACGTTTGCTGAGGAGGAACACAATGCTTTTTCTTCTTGAAAATCATAATATTTGCAAATGCTCATCCCAAGGTTATAAAAGGGCACCAGCAGGAGTGTATTAAGTATGACACTTTTTATAGCAGTGTTTACACCTGTGATTGAGAAGATAGCGTAGTATGCTTTATATGGTATGACTTGCCTCAAAAAGAAGAAAAACCCAGAATATTCCCAAGTTAACCATGTTAGACTGAGAAAAATACAAAGCACCACAATACCATCCTCTCAAAAACTCTAAGGCCTTGCCAAAAAAAAAAAAAAAAAATTTTTACCTGTCTTTTCTATCTTAATACCCTTTTGTGCTGACAGAGCTTTAGAAAATAATTTTAGGGAAGTTGATGTTCATTTAAGCTGGCTTCCCCTCACCTAATACGCACAGGAAACCAACACTGATTATTTCACACATTTCTTATTCAGTGTGGTCAATAATGAAGTAAAGTTATGCTATGAAATTTAGTCACCAATTCAACAGTGGGAGAGAAATATTTTGTCAATGATACGATGATAAATATTCAGAGAAATAAATACTCTTACATGAAGTTTCTATAAATATTGAAGTCAATTTATATAATAATTGAATGTCAGGAAATACAAAATGTCATTGAAAGGACTTAAAGGGTTTCTTAAATAGTTGACATCTTCTTTCCACAGGAATCAGTCCTTGAGTATACATTTGAGGAGGGGTGGGATAAAACTTGCTTAAAAGTAAATTTGTGTATGGCCCTCCCCTCAAAATGTGAGATGTCTGGAATATCAACTGGAATAATGTTTAACTTGTCCATGAAATGTTGAAACATCAGTTAGTGTAATTGTGTGTAACTTAGAGTCAGGAGCAGTACTGAGAGGCACATCACAGCGAACCCTTACCCTGCATGTTGCTTAGCACAAAATCCATAACCACACCAAAAAATCCTATGCATTGGTTGAATACGAAGAGCTTCATGTAGGCACTGGTGCTACTATTGAACAAGAAGCATGTTAGGTATAAGAAGGGAATAACAGACCAAGCAAAAATTGTAAAGATAAACAGTGTGTCCAGATAGCGGAAGTTCTTGATCAATAAGTCCAGCTCAGCGAGTAAGAACACCACCTAAGACACAGAATACACAAAATCGGTGAATCAAACTACACAACATCTAACAACTCAAGTTTTCAAATTTACAGAAGGAAAAAACTTATTTTAAATATAGATTATGTATTATCACACAGAATTATTCATTGATGAAAATATGTACTTATGAGAGGTACATACACTTCTTTAAAAAGATAATTTATTTGAAAGTCAGAGTTACAGAGAAAGAGAGAGAGAGAGAGGGAGAGAAAGAAGAGAGAGGGGGCCCGGCGCAATGGTGCAGTGGTTAAGGTCCTCGCCTTGCACGGCCCGGGATCCCATATGGGTGCCAGTTCTATCCCAGCAGCCTCGCTTCCCATCCAGCTCCCTGCTTGTGGCCTGGGAAAGCAGTCAAGGACGGCCCAAAGCTTTGGGACCCAGCACCCGCGTGGGAGACCCGGAAGAGGCTCCTGGCTTCGGATTGGCTCAGCTCCAGCCGTTGTGACCGCCTGGGGAGTGAGTCATTGGACGGAAGATTTTCCTCTCTGTATATCCACCTTTCCAATAAAAATAAAATAAAATCTTAAAAAAAAAAAAAAAGAAAGAAAGAAAGAGAGAGGAGATCTTCCACTCATTGGTTTACTCCCTAGATGGCCACCACTGCTAAGGCTAAGCCAAGAAAAGCCAGTAGCTACATCCAGGTCTCAACATGGGTGGCAGGGACCCAGGCACAGCCACCAGCAGGGAGTAAGATAAGAACTGAGCAGCTGGGAAAAGACCGGGCAGCCATGTGGGATGCCAGTGTCGCAAAAAGCAGCTTTACCCACTAAGCCACAATACTGACCCCTCCTTTAGACTTTCTTCCTTACCAATAAGCAGAATCACTCTAATTGCATTTCTAACTATTTTTCGTTTTGTGTTCTTCCTAGAAAAGACCAAAGTGCATTCTCTCCTCTGAACGGCAAATAAGTCAACTCACAATATCTCTAGGGCTCAAATAACCGAGTAGGAAAACTTTTATGTAATACTATGGATGAAATAGTGGGGAGAGAGGAGGATGGGGGGAGAGAAAAGGGAGATGGAGGTGGAAATCCCTATATCTAAAAAACCATATCATGGGAAAAAGAAATTCTCCTTCTGAGCTGCAGGCCACACTTGCCTTTTGCTCCTTTCTAATTTTAAATTCTGCCTTTGGCATTATATATATAATATTTTTTCATTGTATATTATATTTATTATGTATTTTAATATATATTTTATTATATATATATATATATATTTTCACTCCTCTTTTTTCCCATCTCAGCCACAAGGAAGCACACAAGGAAACCCAAAGTTACAGGAGATTTGGGTAAGAAAAAGATGAATCTTAAAGAGCTCCGGAGAAAAATAAATTTCCAAAAATGTTTTACTAATTGTCAATGATATCTTCTCCAACTATTCCAGGGTTGTTCAACATATGCTATCAAATGGTTATGTAGGAGGATCACTCTGAAGTAGGCAGCAAGGTTCAGAGAAAAGAGCTATTGTTTTCAATGGTAGTGGGAAAAGTAAGAAAGGAATCAGCATAATTTAGGTAGAAGCATTCTAAAGCACTTATGACTATAAAGTAACCAAGAAAACCAACCACAAGTCAAGGCCAGGAACATGCTCAGAAGAGAGATGGTCGTGTGTACATTTGATGGGATAGGATGAAACCGAGTTTCAAGGAGAACAGATCTGACACACAGCTAGTTGTCCTCAAAGACTGAGAGGGGTGGATATTTTCAGCATTAACACCAAATCACAAGTCACGCAAAGAAACAAGCAAAAAATCAGCCCATTCAAGAAAAGAAATAAAAAGTGATCCAAAATAAAAATTGCCAGGAAGAATGAGAAGGAATAGAAAAAAAAAAAACAACGATGTAAACATTACCTGTAAAAGAAACATTCATTCATTAAAAATAAGTATGTGAAATTGAAAAATGCTTGATCATAGCAATGTAAAATGTGAGAAAGAAGCAATTTAAAAAATGAGCTTCTTCTGGCTCAACAGGGAAGTTCAGGGAAGTTGAAAAGCAATGTAAAGCTAATAGCAATTAACTAAATGCCCAGGTCATCTTCAAGAGAGATATGAAAGCAATTACTAACAATGAAACAGGAGAAAATGGGTAATTCCAATAGAAAAAGAGTAAGGTGATAGTACAAATACTTATGTCACTCTCATTCTAAGCTATATCATCTGTGTGGGGAAAAAAAATCTAACACAAAATCTTACTACTTACAAGAGATTCTTTTAAGTATGAGAACCAAGACAACTGAAAGTAAAAGAAATGGCAAAACAAATACCGAGAATGGAATAATAGACCAAAGTGAGGATAGCTTGGTGCAGTTGGTAAGATGCTGCTTGGGGTGACTGCGTTTCCTATCAAAGTGCCCGGGTCTGAGTCCTGGCTCCAGTTCCAGGTTCCTGCTCATGGGCATTTTGGGAGGCAGCAGTGCTGACTCAAGTGCCTGAGCTCTGGGGTTGGTGTGCAATGCTGAGCTCTCCTGTTGGCACAGGTTCACTGGCTGCTTCACCACAAAAACAACTCCCTGCTAAAGGCGGACTGCCAGATGGGGAGATTTCTCTCTCTCTCTCCCTCTAACACTGACATTCAAACAAATGAATCTTGGAAAAAACAAGGGGTCCGTGTAGTGGTGTGGCAAGCTAATCCTCTGCCTACGGCACCAGCAACCCATTTGAGTGCAGGTTCATGTCTCAGCCGCTTCCCTTTCAATCTAGCTCCTTGCTTATGAAAGGGAAAGCAGCAGAGGATGGTCTCTACAGCCAACTAATTTTTGGCAAGTGAATCAAAATCAACACAGGGAGAAAGGGCAGTCTTTTCAACAAATGGGGCTGCAAGATGTAGGCATAAACACATATTTCTTTGAAAAGATCTCACAAGCGCAGGTAATTAAAGCAAGAAATAAGCAAATGGGACTATATCAAGCCAAAAAAGCCTCTGTACTACAAAGGGAATGGTCAATAAACAAAGCAAAGAGACAACTAATGGAATGGACGATGAAATTTAAACAGCCAATAGACAACATGAAAAAAAAAATGCTCAGGTTCTCCAGGTATCAGAGAAATGCAAATAAAAACCACAACAAGCTTCCACATAACTTCAGTGACAATGACTGACACAGAGAAATCAACAAATGAGAGTTGTACTTAGTGACTTGTTCTTGCATTGCTAGGTGTACGTCCTGTAACTAAAAATGTAACAGCATTGAGCTTCTTTCTGCAGAGGGAAAAAGAATATCATGACACACTCACTTTTCTGGACATGCACTGCACTCCTTACCACTTCCACTCTCTAATCCCTTCGTTCTGCTCTAGTTTGCTAGATCCTAGCTTTCTCTCTAAATCAAAAGTTGCAACCATCTAACCCTACAACCCTGTGGTAAGTTCTAATGACCATGCGATCTGGTATAATTAGGCTCCAGACTTAACATTTCATTTCACGTGCTTTAACTTTTATAGCACTGTCTCAATTATCCTTTCCATAGGATAGGGGCAGGCACTTGTAAAAGAAGATGTCAGATGTGGAAAGAAGAAAATAGGAAACATAGATATGTAAAAAAATTCTTTTAGGACTTTGCTTACTGTTGTATATGTATTAAGCATCTGTTCATTATCTTTTCATTAGTTTACTATCTTCTTTCCCCAAAAGAAGTCCTTCCTACACACATACACACATGTTGAGAGAGAGAGATAGAGAGATAGAGAGAGAGAGAAAGAGAAAGGCAGAGTTGGCAATACACTTGATCTTAGCCAAAAGGCCAAGAAGCAATGGCAGGGTTGGCAATAAAGAGAGAATTTAAATCGTCTGTGGCACAAAATTAAAAATTCTTGATTATAACATTCTCATGTATTGTTTGTAGATGAAAACTAAAAATAGCATATGAATTATTTCTTCATAACAATGTAAAATGGCAAATAATAAGGAAACAATGGGGTCATGAAAAAAATTTGTCTTTTTAGTATGCTATGTCTGATAATGGGTTATATCCTTCCATATCATAGCAGCTTTAGGGTCAGTTTGTATTGGGGGACAGGGTAAGCACATCAAAAACCAGCTCAATTCTGTTTCAACATACTATATATATATGTACTTTTTTTAAGGAAAGGAATGTAAAGGAGAAATTATTCATTAAGAGACATATTCCACATTGTAGTCTCTGGCAAAATGTGCCAAAAGTATGTTGATCTTTCTTTATAGAGATTCAGATTAAGGTTAATATTAGCTAACTTAAAATTTTCTATGGTGTATAGAAGACTTGAACCCTCAAGTCACTTGACCCAGCACTCACCAGCAGTAAACAGCAAGCTAGAAAGAGGATGATAAAATCCCACATCAGAGAAGAAAACCAGAAAATAAACACATAGACACCACTCAAAAACTGGATGTGCTTTGCTTTACTGATTCTCTCATTCACTGTCAGGAGGCAAAAACCGCTGACCAAAATACTCATACCAAAAAACAAATTAAGGGCTATCTGGATTCCTGATGTTCTTCTGCAAAAGAATGAACAAAGGGGGCACGTTGGTAAAACAATAAAATGGAAGAAGACTAACAGTAACTTTTACTTAAGAACATAGTCAAATATGGAAGTATATATGTAAGGCAAAAAGTAAATACTAATAAAACATATATGTATATATATGTACGTACCTATCTCTGGGTGTATTACTGGTACCCCGAGGCTGAGGTTTGTTGGAGACTGTAATGGAAGCAGAAGAACCAGAAAGTGACTTAAAAATAGTATCGTCTAATAGCGCCAGGGACAATGAGGGTGAGTGGAATGCCTCATTGTTGAACCAAAAGGTGATGGTGGTTCTGAATCCAACAACTTCCACGGAATATGCAACAATGCATGAGTATGTGCACTGTTGATCTTTTGACAAGTATTCCAAAAGGTCACCTGGAATGAGAAAACAAAATAACATTTCGTGAACTTGGTGTATAATGTGGATAACTATGTACTTTAGAGACAGGAATCCCCTCAACTCATACCTGGCTGGCATAGTTTTCCTTTTTCCAATGTCTCAATTTCCCTGATCTATCTTGGGTATTCACCTTAAAAACTCATTGCTGACATACACAGTTACCACATCCATTAGCTCAATTTCACTGACAGGAATAACCCACACAAGCTGAAGGAATCAATAAGCTAGCAATGCAACAAGAGCTTTGTTTTAAAGACTTGTTTTATTATTTTAAAGGCAGAGTTACAGAGAGGAAGGGCAAGAGATAGAGATCTTTCATCTACTTGTTTACTCCCCACAAGTGGCTGCAACAGCTGGTCTTGGGCTAGGCTGAACCCACGAGCCAGGAGCTTCATATTACGGGTCTCCAATGTAGATGCAGAGGTCCAAGGAATTGAGCTCATCCTTGGATTGAGCTCTCAGACACATCAGCAGGGAGTTGAATGGGGTGTGGAGCAGCCAGAACTCAAACCCATATGAGATGCCAGCTTTGCAGGTGGAAGCTTAACATGCATGCCACCACATTGGCCTGTACCAAGAGTTTTCAAAAGTTTTACAAAGGGTCAGAGTTGTGGCACAACAAGATAAGCAACTATTAAGACAGCAGCATGCCCTACTAATGACTGGGAAGGCAGCAGAAGTTAGAAATACTTGGATTTCCACCACCCATGTGGGAGACCCAACTGGGAGTTCCAGGTTCCTGGTTTTCACTTGGCCAGCCCTGGCTATAGTGGCTATTTAAGGGACAAGCCAGTTATCTGTCTCTCCTTCTCTCCATGATGCTACACATTTAAACAAACAAACAAATAAACAAACATGTTAATAATTTTGTGAAATGTTTCATGAAAATGAGGAGATAACAGTCTGAAGTCTATCCAAGCAGCTACAATACAGAAATTCAACATCCAGAATGAGAAAGGCAGAGAAGGCAGCCTCACACTCTGTTAGGGCTGGGAAATGACCTGAGCTCTGATAGTTTTGGTCATAAATGAAGAATTACTACTCCATTTTTAATTGGTGAGTAACAGAAGAAGGCACAAGAGGGAACAAAAAAGATAAAAAATAATTATTATTTGTGACTTTTTAAAAAAGATTTATTTTATTTTTACTTGAAAGGCAGATTTTACAGAGAAAGGAAGGAGAGAGATCTTCCATTCGGTAGTTTACTCCCCAAATGGTTTCAATGGTTGTAGCTGAGCTGATCCAAAGCTAGGAACCAGGCACTTCCTCTGAGTCTCCCATGAGGGTGCTGAGGCTAACGTACTTTGGTCATCCTCTCTGATTTCCCAGGTCATAAGCAGAGAGCTGGATCGGAAGCAGAGCAGCCAGGACACAAGATATTACCAACATGGGATGCCAGTATCATAGGATGGATTAGCCTGAGGCTCCATAGTACTGGCTCCTGTTTGTGACATTTAAATGAAAGGTTCATTTATTTGAAAAGTAGAGTGGCAGAGAGAGGGGACAGCAGCAACTAGATAGTCAAGACTGGTACAGTGGCATAGCAAGTTAACATTCCACCTGCAATGCCAGCAACACATACAGGTGCCAGTTCGAGTCCTGGCTGCTCTACTTCTGATCCGGCTTCTTGCTATGGCCTGGGAAAGCAACAGCAGAAGGTGGTTCATGTCTGTTGAACTCTGAACAATGTGGGAGATTCAGAAGGAACTTTTGACTCCTGGTTTCAGATCAGCCCAGCTCTGGCTGCTGCATCCATTTGGAGAGTAAATCAACAGATGGAAGATCTTTCTTGCTGTCTCTTCTCTGTAATTCTGCTTAGAAATAAACATAAAGTGAATCTTTAAATAAAGTTCCTACCAGAAGCATATGCTAAATATGTATGATTATTGTGTTTAAAATGTATAATTTGAGTAGCCATAAAGCCTTCAGACCTGTATGCTTTAGATAGGACCAATCTCAGAAACTTGGGTGGTGGTGTGCCTGGATTTCTATGAAAATTCAATGTTAAATCTTACAACAAAATAAATTGGTTACTTTTGATTTCTGGAAGATAATCTTCATTCAAATTCATTAATCATCAACCTTTACAGTCAGCAGCCCTGAAGGATGGCTGACTGAGCTGCCTTTATGAAGTTGGTACTATCAAGAAAAAAAATCAGCTGGCTTAATATTCCAGTTATGGATCTTCTTTGAAAGTGACATAAGCAAGTCATCTGCTAGATTAGTTTTCCTTTAAAAAAAAACCTACCTTTTACTTCCTTCAACTTTTGTTTCTTAGCTTTCAATGTTTCTTCAAGGATTTTGATAAAATTCTGAACAAACACATTGTTGAAATTAACTGAGTAAGGCACGATGGTTTGACCATATTGTTCCAAATCCATTTTCAGGGCAGGCTCTTGCTGCCTTGCAAAGGCCACACCACTCATTTGAAAATAAATGGCACCAAGAAGCCCCACCAACTGGAGCAGCAGCACCTTCCAGTTGCGCCAATTGTACAATGCCCTCTTTAAGATCATAGCATGGCACTGCTGGAGGAAATGGTTCCACTGAAAAGACAGAAACATAGCATTACAATGGTCACAGAATTTAATAATATCCATTGACATGAATGTTTTGAATCTTATGATAAGTTTGATATATTTTTAAAAATACAACCTTGAACAGAATGTAGCCTGCTAGTAGAATAAGTAATAAACAAAATTTGTTTTATCTGTAATGCGTTGCTTGAAAGGAATAATGCAAGCCTTCCAAATCTAACTATAATGAACTCCCCCAACATAAAATGATTTTTTTTTTTTTACCATCAACATACTTTTAGCATTTCTGTGAAGAATAATATCACACTCCTCTCTATTGGTACAAAATAATTACCTTTCAGTCCTACCTCCATTTCATAAAGGAAATATACACAGAAAGTATGCATATGAATATATATTTACATTACCAGACTTTAACATATGTGATTTGTAGGACTGTGGAAAATCAGAGAATAGAAAACGAATTTATTTTTAAAACACAATATTTTTGCTGTGATGTCTAAATTTAAAAGTGAGTCCAGTGCTTGCTTCAGCAGCACGCATACTAAAATTGGAATGATTCAGAGAATATTAACATGGCCCCTGCACAAGGATGACATGCAAACTGGTGAAGTGTTCACCCCACCCCCAAAAAACGGGTACAATTAATAACCTAAAATATGTATGTAGATTAACAAGAAAATCATTGCTTTAAAAATATGTTCATCCTATTTTCAATTCCCCATAAATCATAATGAGAAAACACCTCTAATTATTGATCAATATTAGAAATAAGACAAAGTTTAGAAGGAGAATTGGACCTGGTGCAATGGCTCAGTAGCTAAATCCTCGCTTTGGAAGTGCTGGGGTCCCATATGGGCGCCGGATCATGTCCTGGCTGCTCCACTTAAATTCCAGCTCCGTGCTTGTGGTCTAGGAAAGCAGTAGAGGATGGCCCAAAGCCTTGAGACCCTGTACACACGTGGAGCACCCAGAGGAAGCTTCTGGCTCCTGGCTTCAGATTGGCTGAGCTCTGGCGGTTGTGGCCACTTCGGAAGTGAGCCAGAGGATGAAAGATCTTTCTCTCTGTCTCCTTCTCTCCTTAAGTCTGATCTGTCTTTTCAATAAAAATAAATAAATCTTTAAAAGAGAAGGAGAAAATTTTTTTTCTCATATTATCTTTATTGAGGAGGAAGTATTTCCTGGCTTTTGGAAAACCAGTTATTAAACATACTTCTAAAATTTATTACTAATCTAGGAATCAACAACCTTTAGGCTAGTCTGCCCCATCTGCATTCCTGTGTCAAGAGGAAGAAACGGGGGAAAGTGACAGGGCAGCGGGAATGTGCAAAAAGGAGAGAAGGAAACGTTTCTCAGATAAACAACACACAGCCTACATTACACTGGCATCAAACAATTTCACAGAATGAAGCTGAAGCACGTATACGTTATGTGAACTGGCCAAACACAAATTGCTTTTACATGAAAGAGCAGGAATTCCAGCTCTATCTGACCCAAAATTCTACGCTCTAGTTCCACCCACTCTGCCTCACAACTGGTGTGTAAGTCCCTCGGGGCTTGCTTATAAACAGCTTGGAGAAGTAAATGCCCTGCTCTGTAAAGCCCCAGTCAGAAACATTAGGGAAAAATCACAGAGAAGAGGAATTAAAACAACCAAAGAGATGCTAGACAAGCTAACAAAGTTTTTCATGGGAACAAAGTAACAAAGCAGTTTGAAAAAAGCAGACAGAAACAGTACATTCAAATGTATAATTTTAAATGTCTTTCATGCATGCAAGTGAAAGTAATGACTTTTATCAGCACCCTTTCTCAAACTCTGAATAAAGTAACAATTTCAAAAACAAAGAAAAGCAGCTACCAGGAGTAACAATGATCAGAGTACAATCTGATCTTTACCTAAAATATCTCAGATTTAAGTCAGAAAATTAAATTGCTTTACAAACTCCCAATCTCCTTTAAGTTGGAGCACTAAAGCAAAATGTACCTCTTCGAGTCCAAACAAATACAAATACAAATTAGCATCAAATTCTTGGCAAAAATGCTTACCCCACTATTGAGTTTCATGGAGGTAATAGACCGACGCAAGGTGCTACGACGTGTACTCCGAATGTTTCTGGGTGCATTCATATTCTGGTTACGGTATCTGTTTTGAAGACTCTCCTTTCCCTCTGCCTTTTCACTGACCCTACACAAACAAAATACACATATACACGCAGCAAATAAATTTTAGTCAAAACACTGCTTCCTAAAATTCAGTCCATTAAAGATTGCCATAAATTGACAGGAAAAACAGTTGGCCAGAACAGTAGGGACTGGACCAGGCTCAAGGCAGCAGCCAGGAGCTTCAGCTAGGTCTCCCAAACATCTGAGCCATCTCCCACCACGTTTCCCAAGTGCAGCAGCTGGGACACAAATCAGTGCCAATATGGGATGTTGAGGTCACAGTTAATGGCTTGACCCACTACACGAGACCAGCTGTATGGATTTCAAAGTTTGTTTGTTTGTTTGTTTGTTTACCAACAATCTAGCTTTTCATTCCACTCGCATGAACTTTTGAGAGTATCTTTGCACATACGTAGACTTACTTTGGTAGCTTGAGGATCACTCTAGGTAGGCACCAAAACTGACCAGATTGTAAGACTGAGGGAATGAAGTCTAGACCCAGATAATATGTCACCCCTTAGATGTATCCTGAATCCCTGGATACTTTGTCTTTGAATTTACACATAGTGCAGGGTTATCTTAGAATATAAACCATATGCAAGTTAAGTAAGTGATAGTCCAATGATAAGATTTGAAATAAGATTTTTTTATTATCATCTCCTATAGTCTTGAATGACACAGGCACCTGTATCTAAGCCGAGAAGTTGCATATGCAGTGTTCTTGCCTATTAGTCTCCTGTCCTGGGAGTTCAATATGTGGTGTCAGTGGCTTTGTGCTACTCAGTATTCTCAGGGTTAACACAGAATAACCTGTGTCCCTAATCTCGCATCTGCTGCTCTCACTCAAGTCCTCCAATGCAGAGCAGCATCATGGCATCAGGGTTATGAATAAGGTACATCAGCAAATGCCTCTGGTGTTCACTGAGTAACAAACCCAGCCAAGTCATGATTTCTTCATGAATCCCAGCCTTACGCAGTGTGAGGACTGCTTTCCAAAAGAGAGATGATATTGAAAGAACAGGTTGTTTTTGTTTGGTTTTGTTTTGCCATCCTCATGCATTATCACTTACGCAAAGAAAACTTCTTCTAAGGTAGTCATAGAGACACCAAATGCTGCGATGCCCAGCTCTTCCTGGCGTTCTTCCAGCTCAGCAAACATGTCTTCAAATCTAAATGAACAGGGAGAGAAGGAAAGAGGGTTAGAAGCAAAGTAGATTATTTTCGTATTTATACTTTTTGTTTCCAATTAATTTCTCCTGAGTTGTACTTTTCATGCCCCTGTTACAGATGTGAAACATGAAGGAAAAAACCCAGCACACAGCTTCTTGTTATCTGATAAACCTATGTAGAAGTAACTTTTCAGGCATGGTTTGGTGACAGAATGGATAAATCCAGTGCCTGTCACCTTGATATCCCATATAGGTGCTAGTTCATGTCCCAGTTGCTCCACCTCCAATCCAACTCCCTGAAAATGGTCTGGGAAAGCAGTGGAAGAAAGCCTGAGTACTTGGACCCATGCCATCTACATGGGAGACCCGGATAGATTTCTAGGCTCTTAGATTCAGCCAGGCTCACCCCTGGCTAACCTGGTCATCTGGTGACTGAACCAGCTTGTCAGCCTTTCAAATAAATTAACACATCTTTCAGAAATCACAGTTTCATAAAATCATATGTGGTTACTGTCCCAGAAATTTATAACTTTGCCATCCCTTTAATATCAGTGATTTTGAAAAATTTTCTCTATATTTATAGGCAATTCCCATGTTTGTTTTCAAAGCAACGTATTTGCTTATTAACATATTTATTACTTTAACTCAGAAATAATATTTAATGATAAGATTCCTAAAAACTATAGCTAAAAATATTTTTAAACAACATGAACATTATAAATGATGCCATAATTATGTAATTTATGTTATAAAAAATAAGGATGCCATAAACATTCTTATACATAAATATCTTAACACTATAAATTTTCACTAATTGTAGTAAATGAATACCTGTGACTGTTCTACTACTTTATTGTAGTTACAAAGATGTGTAGCCTCCTAAGTGTAAAAATATGACAGGAAAATGTTCAGCAAGACAGCAGGACAGGATACCCGGAGCCTCCCATTCCCTTGAAAATATTTATTCAGTAACTATTCATGAATAAATTCTCTTCGTGAGAAATCCTCAGTCAGGTGAAAAGCTACTGAACCCCCAAGAAAATGGAGTATTAGACTTATCAAGGCTCTTGGGGAAATTCAAGGCAGACGCCTTCTCCTGCAGACTCTGCTTCTAGCAGTCACTCCTCCCTCACCCGTCCCAAGGTGAAGAATGTAAGAAATTCTATGAACTCAAACGAAGAACTCAGAGGTTCACACAGACACTTAATCAAGCTTTCAAGAAACAAAGACGAAGAGAAAATCTTGAAGGCAGAAAGAGAGGAGCAACTCATCACATATAATAGGATTCTGAATCATATGAACAGATTTCTTAGAAAAAACTCTGGAACCCAGAAGCAGTGGACTGATACATTCAAAGGGGGAAAAAAAAGTCACCCAACTATCCTTCAAAATAAGGGGTCAGGAGCTGGTATAAGACATTTCAAGATCAGCAAAAGCTGCCAAGCCTATCAAAAAAAAAAAATGCTCAAGAAAATCCTGCAAGTTGAAATAAGGTACTGGAAAATAACTCGAAGATGTATGAAAACAGGCACAGTCCTCAATGTTCTGTAACTATACTTTTGCCATCTACATAATTTATACATTAATACATTTTTAAACAATTCTAAATCAATTAATAACATATTAAGGAAGTAAATATTCTGACTATTTATAGGCTAACAGAGGTAATTTATTTGTTGAGCCCAATGAAACCTGGAAATGTAATTTCTGCTGACCTTACATCTTTCGTCTGGCATTTTCTACATCCATACCTGTACGTATACTCTTTCGGTAACAGAAATGATAATTCAGCTGCAACATCGTTCTCTAAAGCGGCAGTTGGTACATAATCAAAAATCAAGACAGAGATTCTTTCAACATCACAGTTGGGATTCTTCACTATGACTAAATGGTATCCCACACCTGAAAAAAAAATCCATCCAGAAGAACAAATTAAGCAATTCTGAATTTCTTACTTCGAAAACCATGCTTAGAGCTCACGTTTTGAGGTCTCCAGATACACAGGTTAGATAAACATGCTGTGTCATAAGCCTGTGACTTGAAGGAGGTACATTCCCAGAACTTACAAATGCTGCTCTAAAAATTCAGTGATGGGGTCTGGCGCGACCAAAGTCCTCACCTTAAACGCACCAAGATCCCATATGCAGGCTGGTTCTAATCCAAGCAACCTCACTTACTATCCGGTTCCCTGACTGTGGCCTGGGAAAGCAGTCGAGGACAGTCCAAAGCCTTGGGACCCTGCACCCACGTTGGAGACCTGAAAGAGGATCCTGGCTCCTGGCTTTGGATTAGTGAAGCTCCCCAGCCATTGTGGCCACTTGGGGAGTGAATCATCAGACAGGAGATCTTCCTCTCTGTCTCTCCTCCTCTCTGTATATCTGCCTTTCCAATAAAAATAAATAAATCTTTAAAAAAAATTCAGTGATGGTTTTTCTGGTGGGTGGGGTGGCCTACTCCTGAAGATACCACCCAAGAGTAGAAGCTGACATACCCACTCTCTCATGTTGTAATCAATAAAGACCATTCACACTGGGAAAAATAAGCATGTGTAGGGACAATAATAATACATGTTACGTAATCAAATTTAGAGAACCGTAGACAAGCTTTCTGTTATTTAGCCTCCTTTTCTGTGAAACTGTAATCTGTGAGTTAGGAGGACAGCAAGACACATTAACTTACTGAATACGTATTTATTGCACATCTGCTATGAGCCAGGTACTATTTTACATACAACATATCCAATAAAGCCTATGACTATAGCAGTTATCCAAAAAGCTACATTTCAGTTAGGAAATACAGTAATCAGTAAGACATATAGTGTACTGTAGTGTCAGTACTTAGGAGAAAAGTAGGCAATTGTCAAGAAAAGGGTAATATTAAATGATGGAGTGTTGGAAATGACTGAAAGAAAATATTGGAAAAAGTCCACATGAAGTGAGGCAGCTCCCAAGCATAGAAAAATCCCTTAAGATGGAAAAAAATCATGGAGCCTTAAAAATGCCTTCATTATGAAAACAAAAAGCATCAAAAGTTGTTTTGAGGGACTAAGCTATTGTTACAATAGAGGGGAAAGAGGTGGGGAAGGGAGAAAAGGGAAAACCCTGAGCCTAAAACAACTGTATCATGAAAAATAAAGAATTTTTAAAAAGTTGCCTCGGTATTTGCTCTGGCTCAGTCACCTATGCAATAAAGAAGACATAATTATTCCATTTTGGAAAAAAAAAAAAAAGGACTGTCCCTCATTTACAAGCTATTGAAATTAAGTATGCCCTTAGTGTTCCTATACAATCTGCAAAGTAAAAATTTTCCCTATGCTCGTCTTCTGACACAGAAAGTCATTCAATTTTTGAACCCTCACTTTAGAAATTGTGTACGAATATAGGGAGTCATTGAGATCTGAATTATGCCCAGCACCACTCTTGAATTGGTCACAGAACAAGATGCAACCGTCTATTGATACTGATAATGACTGAAGAAAAGAAGAGTTGATACCCCTGTTAACAGGGCTTGTAACATACAGAACTGTGCCATTTTTTCATTAATTCATATTCAGGTTAATGGATACAATTAGCACATAAAATGTTGGAAAAACACTGAACAGCAAAATCAGAATCTCTAGGCCAAGCTTGACTTCCACATTTGGGTTGTATGTGGATAAAGTCATTCAAGTTGCTACTGACATTCTCAGTTAAATTTTGTATTAAAAAAATATTTAATGCAATCTATCCTTAAAAAATACATAATTATTCCAATCAGAAGATCAACTGGCTCTTACCTGTTAGAATTTTAAGAATAATTATGATTATATTTAAGAGAAAATGAACTTCAAATTATCTTAAGCTCACTAATTTCTGGGTTGTACTAGTTTTATAATCTACCAAAACTTCAATTTGTTAAATAGCATTGTAATATATCTTATCCAGATTTACATTCTTTACCTCTCATTAAATATAATCAAGTGCTGCATAACAATTTTCAATCAATTATGGATTGCAAATATGTTGGTGGTCTCACTAAGGAACTAAAAAATTCATTTAATTCACTATGTCACAGAGCAAAACCCATTACTCATGTGTTTATAGTAATGTTCACATAATCAAAACTAAGGCATGATCAGTCACATAAAAAAGTGCAGCAATACAATTATGTGAAAATCATAATATCTGATCATGACAATACACAAGTTATTTCTGACATACACCAAACTTGCTATGAAAACACATTGGGAGAGAGTAAAGAATAGTGAAGATAAGAGGCAATCTATAAAAACCCAAATTTGATGTCCAAGTTTGTCACTTACTACATGTGGCAAATATGCTTAAATATAAGCCCCATTATCTCCTTAAAATTGCGAAGTTCCAAAGATTAGATGAGATAATGTATGTGAAGCTTGAAAACTAGTATACACATTCACAGAAGCTGTTCAATAAATCTGGGAAGACTGAACCAAAATAGCCAAGCTAATGATTAGTGAAATGAAGTCTTCTTTATCAATAATTCTCATGTCTCATTTGCCTCCTGCTAAAATATTTTTGTATATCGGATATATAAACTCAGAAAACATTATGTATAATTGTATGTAGTTCATTTTTGATAAATTCTATTTACTTACTCTATATTCACCAAAGACTCTATTTTCCCACTATTCTTTCACTTCCTGCCCAAAAAATAATAATTATCTGGCTGTCACAGGAATATTTTATTAAAAATACCTTAAAAAGCACTTAGCACACTGCACTAAAAATTTGATACACATTTCGCAAAAGACAAAATTCTTTTAAAAAAAATTAGACGTATCTGATCATTAATTTTCTCCCATGTAAGCTACAAATCCATCTAGCAAATCTCTTAAGGCATAACCATTCCTGTGGCAAATTAACAATTTAGTAGAAAGTATATGGGAAAATTCAATATGATTTCTGTGGGGTTAATAGAGAATATTTTATATTAGGATTTATTATAGGATATATTAGGATCTATTTATTCGGTTATATCTGAAGTTATTGAAGAGATGGTCTGTGTCTAAATTTGGCATTTGGTGCAATGGTTGGATGTCATTTGGAATGTTCAGAGTGCCTGGATTCAAGTCTCAGCTCCACTTCTGATTCTAGTTTCCTACTAATGTGCATCTTATCAGACAAGCATTGATATCTCAAATACGTGGATCAATGCCACCCATACGAGAAATCCAGCTTTTGTTCCTGGTTTCAGCATGGTCCAGCCCAGACTCTTGCAAGTATTTGGGAAGAGAAAGAGCAGAAGGGTGATATTCTATCTTTCTCTTCCCATTTCAAACAATAAACATGTATTTAAATTAAAAAAGAACCATAAAGTCCAATTTAAATAGTTTAGACCTAATGCAACAAGACATAAGGATCTACTGAATGTGCAGAGAGACTAAAATTATGATGTTAGAAAAAGTTAGGCACCATATCTTTTCTTCAGAAAAATGGACGAGCCACAGCACTGCAGAGTCCCCTTGACCATGATGGCTATGCGGTCACCCAGGGTGTCTGCTTCATCCATATAGTGGGTGGTCAGTAACATGGTTCGACCCTTTTTATACTGCTGGAGAACATCCCATGTGCTTCTCCTTGAGACTGGATCCATGCCAGTTGTTGGTTCATCAAGTATCACTACCTAAAGATCAGAGAAAAATTTCAAACATATTTAATCTATTCTTTTACTTTATGGGATAACTTCCTTTTCATACCACACATACTTAATCTAATACACAAATCCCAGACTATACTAGAGGTAGGGACACTGCAAAACCCATGGCAACATCATATCAGCTACATTAGTGACATGAATTCCCTCTGATTTCCACTTGGGAAATTTCTTGTGTCGACTCTGGTTGCTTGTGTTGGGCAAGTTTGATGCGGACGGGGACTCGTATTATAATTCATTTACCTTGGAGCCCCCTATAAGGGCAATCATAATAGAGAGCTTGCGCTTCATGCCTCCACTGAGTGACTTAGAAAGTTCATTACGCTTCTGAAGCAGGCCAAAAGAAGCCAGCATTTTGTTCATTTCTTCCGAACGACCCTTGGAAGGCACTCCCTTTATCTAAAGAAAGCAGTTAGAGTTTACATGGGAGTTACAATTTTATCCTTAGAAAATTCTCACATCAGAACTTCTCTTAACACAGCTATCTAGAGGTAAGACATTTCTTTTTTCCCCTTTATCCTACAACAACACTTTAAGTGACGTTTTTAATAAAGGTAAGAATGTTGACTCTTGCTCACACCACCTAAAATACGTGAAAAGAATGGAAGAGAAGAACACATGTATCTGTCTCACCGCACAGTAAAAAACAAGATGTTCAGATACTGTCATATTTGGAAACAGCAGGTCATACTGCGGGCACAAGCCCAAACTTTTCCTGACATGAACCATGTCCTTTGAGATGTCATATCCACTAATGTAGATCTTTCCACTGGTAGGAAGATAGAAACCTAGAATGAGGTAGGAGGTATTTAGCTTTGACAAGGAAAGCCAACAATGTACTGTCATCAGAACATAGTGTCCTTACAAAATATCTGATAAATTTATTAGTATCTCCTATAGGAGAAGTACAACAAATATCGATGGTGATCTTTAAGAGAAATAGAAAAAAACAACCTAAGCTTTTTTATTTACTTACATATTTTAATGTTTAAGGCATACAACACAATAAAAATTATTTCAGTAATATCTGAAAATCATGTACGCAGCCTAAACATGTCATATTACTTGGAATACAGTTATAAATATTGTTTTCATTGAATTACACCATCTACACAATAATACATGCTTCTTTCCTCACTTCCTGGTTACTGTCATGAATCCCACATTATGCAATACTAATATCCCTGTCTGCAAGATAAACAGTGTTATATTGCATGTATACATCTAAATAGCAAGTAAATATGGCAAAGTGTTAAAAATTGTTAACTCTAAAAGGATATATTTGTGTTTTGAATGATTTTCTATACTCTAAAAATCTAGTACTTCTACCAGCCATTTGACAATACATTTGTATCATGTTATGATCTGAACCCTGAATTATGAACACTATGCTTGATTTTTTTTTCTAAAAAAAGCTCACGATGCAAAATCATTAAACTTAACAAACTAAAATCTAGGTAGAAGAAAAAACAATCAAATAGTCTAAAATATTTAACGTTTGTGCTTGAGTGGCAACTTGGCTATCTGTGAGTGAAATATTTGCTAATATACTACATATAGCTACAAGCTACTTAAATGTCATAATTTATTAATTCCAGTAGAATTCAAAGATAAGAACTCAAAAAGAATGATCATATTTTTCTATCTACACCTTGCCTCAAAATAAAATATTCTAGTTGATCTACAAATGGGAAAAGAAGCCTTGCTCCCAGTTTTTATTTGACATTCATTTCATTTTTGTCATTTATTATTGTATTCTATCTTAGTGTTGTACTCTCTGTCCTCATTTCCCGGGACTGAATGCCCTGGTAGTATGCATAGCTCTTTCCCTTGTGGTCCTCTTATCAAACTGGGATTAAAGTTCATTTGCCCGCATACCTACACATACCTACATTCATTTGCGGTAGCAGGATGACATACTAAGTTCAAACTCTGTTTTCTGACTTCTTAAGCTATGCTGTAAAATTTCTACTCACTCATCAGCATCCCCACTCAATGGTAAGGGCCTTCTAGACAAAGACTTAGTATAGAATACTTAGTATTCTCACTTTCTGTCTTAATTCTCAGAATACTAAAAAAAAATCATGTCATGAAATGGATGAAATTATTGCTTCAAGCAAAATTTATTGGTAATAATGAATGATAAATGAAACACTTGAATAACAAATTTTCTGAGATTAAGGTGCAATTATCTGCCTTAATTAGTATCAAGATAACAGAAATATATAAGCATAAACCAAAATTCAGGAAGTAGACACTTGAAATATAAGCATTTTAATTATCACAAAATTTTATATGAAAAGAAAAAATCTATTTTATATATGATATGCATGACAAATTATTAAAGAGAAGTATATTTGTGTCTAAAACTAACTGAAATGTGCAAAATGGATTAACAATATGTTACAAGGATAGTAAAATATTACAAGGATAGAAACCATGTTGTGGTTTTATGGGTGTTCACTGAAAAACTTCCAATCAGATATATTTGAAATTTTCATAATCCATGCATGCTTTCATATAAAAATTACATGGTTTACAATGAAAATAATCCTTATCAAACAGAGGATAATTACTTCCTATGAACTGGGAGAGAACAGAAGGGAATGCAATATAGGAAAAAATGAACAAATAAATGAATGAAAATTTAAAAGAAAAACATTTGCAATGATCAGTAAGGATGATAGCCTAATAAATGGGGAGTTTGATGCAACCAAGATAAACAAATAGACACAATTTTCAAAATTTGTGGTATATTTTACTTTAAGAAATAAGGGGGTTAATCATCAGATAGATGTATCACTTAAATGACAGTGATGTCAATATCAAGAGTATACACATTCCCAAATACACACCAGTAAGAATAGATAAAGTGGTTGTCTTTCCTGCTCCATTGGGTCCCAGAAGCACTGTGATCTGGTCCTCATAAAAATTCAAAGTCAAGTCTTTTACAGCTACAAAGGTAGTATTATTCGGTAGTTTGAATTCCTGTGAAAATTAAATTTAAAAAATAATAATTTATTACTATTTCTTGAACTTATCAAGTATCTGAAAAAATGAAAAAAAAAACCCCAGATTATTAGTCTCAAAAAAATTTTACAGCTGCTCAATAAGTTAAAGAATAGGATCACTATATAACCCAGCAACTTCGCTCCTAAAATATGCACTAAAAGGAACAGAAAACTTACATTCAGATAAACCTTTTATAACAACGTTCAAACAACACTATTCATAGGAGTCAAAAGACAGATGAACTAATCAGCTGATAAACAGATAAACAAAATATGCTAAAAACGTGTAATTTAATGTTATTCATACACAAAATGAAGTGCCAGTACATACAATAACATAAAAGAATCTTGAAAACATTAGCTAAGCATAAAAGCTAACTACAAAAAGCCACACATGCTATTATCCCATTTAGATAAAATATTCAGAATAGAGAAATTTATAGAGACAGAAAGCAGACTAACATTTTCCAAGGGCAGGAGGAAGAGGGGACTGTTCGGTGATTGATAAGTGACTGATTTGGTCTTTTGTCAAGCAAGGATGGTTGAAAACACTGTTGATATGCTAAATGCCACTTAACTTTGAACACTGAAATGGCTAGAAACGTAAATTTTATGTTATATACATTTTAATATAAAAAAGATTTCCAGTCAGTCTTCATTCACAACTGTTTTTATAAAAATTGGCAATGTATACATATTAAACTATATTAAGCATTTTCTGTATTTAATAAAATGCTTTTCTTCTCCCATTTTTAATGCTTATATGTCTTTATTTTTTCAAAAATTACTTGAAAGAAGAGATACGGAAAAGGGGGTAGGAGTGAGCTTCCATCTACCAGTTCATTCCACAAATGGCTGCAACAGCCAGGGATGGTTCAAGGCCAGAGCCGGGAGTTGGGAGTTCAAACCAGGTCTCCCAAATGGATGGCATAGAGATCCACCTACTTGAAGAATCATTGCTGCCTCCCAGGATGTAGGGAGCCAGATTCAGAAACTGTGAGAAGAACTGAACCCAGATATTCCAAACGGAACACAGCTGTCCCAAGTGGCATCTTAACTATTGTGCCAAATATCCACCATCTTGTAATCTGGAGAAAGATCTAGAAAGTGGTGAACTAAGTACTTTTAATTCAGGGAAAGCCTCAAAGGAAAACTTGCAGAGAAGTAAAAATAGAGAGGTAAGATATGAATGAGTATATTGGGTGAAACAACTGAAGATCATGTTCCATTATATAACTCCATTAAGTTTCAATCCATATTAAAAACTTAAAATACGGGCCCAGCACAGTAGCCTGGTGACTAAAGTCCTTGTCTTGTATGTGCCAGGATCCCTTAGGCTCCATTTCACATTCTACCTGCTCCACTGCTCATCCAACTCCCTGCTAGTGACCTGGGAAAGCAGTTGAGGACAGTCCAAAGCCTTGAGATCCTGCACCTGTGTGTGGGAGACCCAGAAGAAGCTCCTGGCTCCTGGCTTTAGATAGAGTCAGCTCCACTTGGGAGCGAACCAGCAGACAGAAGACCTTCCTCTCTGTGAGGAAGGCTTTGTGAGATTAAAGGTTTGATTTAATCTGAAGCCCCTACAAAGTAAGGTGAATGCTAGAAAATCTAAGGTTTACCCAAATAAGTCATGACTTGAGTTGATCCAGATAAATGGGATTGGACAGAAGAGTGTTCAATCAGAAGCCCATCATAAAGCTTGTCAAACAAAATAGAACCAGAGTGAACAGAAGTGAATATCTGCATATCTATCAGAATCATAACTATGTTCTACCGCTTATCATGGAAGAATCATACAAGAGATAATTATCGCCTACAAAACCAAAGAAGACAGGAAACAGGTGGATTTCTATTCTGTTTTCATGCATTTCACTTTTACCTTGTCTAAGCTAGTAAACGTGCTAATTAACACCTTAAATTAACACAGGAGTACAGGTAGGGCTATGACAAACATTTCATTTACATTGTAGGTTAACTTTTACCATTATTCAGAAAAGACCTACAAAACAATACCTTGCGCAAATGTTGGATCTGGATACCAGCCACCAAACCAACAGGTTCAGCTTCAAAATAGTAACTTTCCTCAAAATCTGAAAGCTCAATATTTTCATTTATCTTTGAGGTTGGATGCCCAAACCAGTAAGATTTCTAAAAGAATAAAACCAAAATAATTTTATCAATGAAAAATGAAATGATTTTTGCACTTATTTAAAATGATACTGTCCAAGGAGCCAGCACTACCTACAATGCCAGCATCCATATTAGCATGCTAATTTGAGTCTGGCTATTCCACTTCCCATCCAGTACGTGTAGGAGAAGAAGATTCATCTTCATGGAAGACCCAGATGAAGTTCTTGGCTCCTGGCTTCAACTTGGTCCCAGCCCTGGCCATTTCTGGCCATTTGGAGAGTAAATCCATAGAAGAAAGAACTCTTATCCTCTCCCTTTTCATGTTCTTGTCATTCTGCTTTTCAAATAAATGTATGAGACAAAAGGAAATAATCTCAAAATGGCACAGTGAAAATTATTGCGTCATGTTCCATCAAGCCTTTTCATTTGGATACCCAGTCTCATTGTGATCCCTAATCATTCCTCGAGCTTTCAATTTGTCTTGGAGAATCAAAATGCTTTCGATGTGGGACCAGCACTATGGTATATCCAGTAAAGTAGCTGCCTGTGATGTCAGCATCCCTGATAGCACCAGTTCAAGTCCTACCTGCTCAACTTTCAATCTAGCTCCCTGCTAATGGCTTGGGAAAAGCGATGGAGGATGGTCCAAGTACCTGCCCAAGATCCCACATGGGAGAACCAAATGAAGATCCTGTCTCCTGGGTATGGCCTGGCCTGGTGCCATAATTCAGAAGAACAGCACAAAACTGCATTAACCTGTGCTTGCCTTCTTCACCATCAGAGACTTAAGAAGGAAAAAAGCCTCCCTCATTTAGTTATATATATATATATATATATATATATATATATATACACACATATATACTATATTATAGATATTAATTTTATATAAATAATACATATTTATAAAACTACATATATATAAAATGGAAAGATTTAAAAATGGAAAGATTTCCCATACTCATGATTGGAAAAACTAATATTAAAATGAACATACTACCCAAAGTGATGTACACATTCAGTGTTAACCGCCATCCCATCAAAATGACATTTTTAGAGAACAGAGACAAGATAATCCTAAAACTCAAATAGAAACATAAATAAATTTGAGTAGCTGAAACAACCACGGATACAAAGAACAAAGCTGAAGATATCACAATATCAGACTTTAAATAATATGCAGAGTTACTGAGACAAAAACACACTGCACTGGCATAAATGTAGCCACAGAGGTCAATGACACAAAACAGAGATTTCAGAACTGAACCAATGACTCTGAAACCAAGTGATCTTTGATAAAGATGCCTAAAATATATATTGGAGAACAATGTTTTTAGTAAATGGTGCTGGTAACGTGGAGACCCAGGGGCAGTGTGGTGGTTCAATGTGCCTTGCGGTATCAGCATACCATATGGGTGCCAATTCATGTCACAGCTGCTCCACTTCCCATCCAGCCCCCTGTTGTGGCCTGGGAAAGCAGCAGAAGATAGCCCAAAGCCTTTAGATCCTGCACCTGTGTGGGAGACCCGGTAGCTTCTGGCCCCTGGCTGTGGGCTCCTGACTTCGGATTGGCTCAGCTCTGGACATTAAGGCTATTTGGGGAGTCACTCTAAAAGACGGAAGACCATCTTTCTGTCTTTTCTTATCTCTGTAAATCTACCTTTCCAATAAAAAAATATTTTTAAAAAACGTGGATACACACACAAGGCACTGAATCTGGATCTCCCATTGACCCATATATCTCTCATCCTATTAAAAAAAATCAGCTCAAAATGTATCACAGATCTAAATTTAAGATCAGAAACTATTAAACTGTTGGAGCAAAAATTAGATGAAATACTTGGTATTTCATTGGTAAGGATGATTACTTTTTAAATATGACCCCAAAAGCTTGGGAAGAAAAAGCAAAAATATACAAATGGGATTGTATCAAATGAAGAAGATTCTGTATAGCCAAGGAAAAATCAATAGAGTGAAAAGATAACTCGAACAATCAGAGAAAATGCAAAATATTCATCTGATAAATGATTAACATCCAGAATATGTAAGAATCTCAGAAAGCTCAACAAGAAAACAATCCAGTTAAAAAGTGGGCAAAAGGTCTGGATACACAATTCTGGAAAGAAAAATACATTAGAAAATGCTCAATACCACAACCCTTCAGCAAAACTAAACCCAAACCACAATAAGATTCTATCTCAGTACAAACACACTGGCTAGCATTAAAATGGGAAAAATTTCTAAACAACTCATGAGGATATGGAGAAAATGGAGCCCTTACACATGGTTGTTGGGAACACAAATTAGTATAGCCATTATGGAAGAAAATACGATATTCCCCCCAAAATAAAAAATAAATGCAGCATCTGACCAAGTTATTCCATTTTTGAAATATATTCAGAGCAAATGAGCTCAGCATATAAAAAAAAAAAAAACCTGTACTCCCATGTTTATTGCAGAACTGTTGATCATAGCCAACATGTACCTGTCAACAGATTAACAGATTAAAAGAAACATATGACATATATACACAAAGGAGTATTATTTCACCAAATGTTTGATTCTATGATACATGTTACAAAGTTAACCAATAATAGTTTTAGTTGAGATAGGAAAATAAAATACCTGTCTCAGTACATAAGAGTGGGACACCATGAGGAAGGTACTAAAGACGATGATATTCTGGGATCAGCACTGTGGCACAGCAGGTGAGGCCATGGCCTACAGTTCCAGCATCCCAAATTGATGCTAGTTTGAATGCCAGCTGCCTCACTTGCAATCCAGCTCTCTGCTTATGGTCTGGGAAAGCAGCAGAGGACAGCTCAAGTCTTGGAACCCCTGCACCTATGTGGGAGACTCAGAAGATGCTCCCAGCTTCTTGCTTAAGTGTGGCCCAGCACTTGCAGCCATTTGGGAAGTAAACCAATGGATAAAACATCTCTCTTCCTCTTTCTCTCTTGTCCTCTCTCTGTATAACCCTGTCTTCCAAATAAATAATTTTTTAAAGGCAATGGCTCTACAAACCAGGTACAGAAGTGCTAGGATTTCTCTAAACAGCAAAGCATTAAGACTCACCTGAAGAAAGAAATACCATCTCTTGGGCACACCATACTCCCCCGGAAAGACAGCTTCTATATACCAGGTCACAAGGCCATACAAACAAGCATCAACTAAAAGCATTATAAACACATGGCCCAAAGTGAACGTGTCTCCTGGGATCACAGGTGAAAAAAGGTTATCCCACTGGACTCCAATCCCTGAAACATAATAGGATATAGTTACTTCAAATGTTCAACTATGACTAGAACAAAAATCACCTGACTGCTACATGATTAAACAACAAAGAACAATGTCTCAAGACAGGTATTGCCTTTTTTTTTTTTTTACTATGTGACGATATTTTTGATTTTAGGTTGTCTAAGAGAAGAATAAAGTGTATGACAACGTAAGAAACCTCTTTGGGTGGCCAAAACTAGCTCCAATCCCTTCTAGCCATCCAACCAGTCATAAGAAAGGGGAAAACTGAGAAGCACTAGTCTCATGATCCAGGAAAACAGGCTCACCAAAAGCCTGGGACTTATCATAGGACTCCAGTAGGCTTTCTTTCCCTTACATATTATCATCACACAAGTGAAGGCATACATACACTATGATTCTCTCCAGCCATACATCATGCCCACAATTTAGCTTAATAGAACTGAAAGTACACTAAAAGGTACATAAATGGTTTTAAGACACTGAACTATGGTAGCAATGAGGGAGATTGGATCAACAACTCCGATTAAGATTAGAGACAGATATTATACTTCATGCATCTAAAACAAGTTGACAGACAACTAAAGAAAACAGCTTGACCAAACCTTTGGCATAGAGTGAAGAGACAACAAACCAGTGCACAGAAAAACTTGGGGTGACTACCTACAAATCACAGAAAGCTGTTTCTTTACCAAAGACAACTGCCTAATTGCTGTTCATACACTAATACAATGAAATAGATTGCAATGACATGAGATTAGTTTTCACCTAATAACTGGCCACTCAGCAATCAGGGTTCATCTATTCTAGCATTATGTGACAGGTACAAATGAAACTTTCTTTAAAAACATCTTACATAGATTTGCTCTTTCCCTGATAAAACCCAAACCTTTTCCTTTGCTCCTCAAAGTTACCATAGACCATTTTGGTCTGTGCACGTGTGTCCATACTCATAATCTTATTCTTTGCTATTCCCCAAAATAAAGCGTATTTATATACAGATTGGGGTTTATATGCTTGTTTAACTTCACCTGAGAAAATTCTACAGCAAATCACTGGGTGAGAGAACAGAAGTTTCAGGGACACAAAAACAATACAGACACAGCAAAAAGAGTCTGGAAAAATCACTAAACAGAAAAATGCAGCCCTCAACAAGCAAAAACAGTTAACACTAAAGAGAAAATTTGATTTCCAGACAATATTATCACAAGATGATATTAAATTGATAAAAAAAATCCACAATGAATCAACATCAAACTTATTAGAAAAGACTAGAACTCTATTGTGTTAAATTTGTTCAATAACAGACCTCATGGTGGCACACAAGCTAATTCTCCACCTGCAACTGGTGGCATCCCAGATGAGGGCTGGTTCATGCCCTAGCTGCTCCACTTCCAATCCAGCTCTCTGCTATGGCCTGGGAAGGCAACAGAGGACGACTGAAGTCTTTGGGCCCCTGCATTCCTGTAGGAGGCCAGAAAAAGGTTCGTGGCTCTCAGCTCCTGGCTTTGGATATGCTAAGCTCTGGTCATGGTGGCCATTTTGGGGAGTTAACCAACAGACACCAAGACTTTTCTCTCTGTTTCTCTTTCTCTCTCTGTAAAACTATAACTTAAAAATTAAAACAACTGCATCTTTGTTTTTTAAAAAAAGAAAGCTAAATAAAATCCACTATAGACTACTAACTAAAAGAAACTAGGGGGAAAATGTGTGAACACATTGTGAATATCACTGAGGAGATAGAAAATGTTTAAAGAACCCAATGTGCTCACTCCAAGGCATCTAGGTAAGATGCCCTCCACATCTCAGTGATGGGATTGCTACAACTGGTACTCTTAAGTCCGTGAGACTGGGGATAGGTCCTAACTGCATTCCATTAGACAAAGCCCTCAGCTACCAGTTCATAATCCCCAGCATATCCAAAGATTGCCCCACAAGGATCTGGGACAGGTTACACCCACATTTTTTGGCTCCAGAACCATGGTTGTTGTTTCTGCATTGCCCATTCTATCTTCATGAGACAGGGTAATGTACCATCACTCATTATACCCAAATACTGTAGCTTATAATATCACCAATCACTTGTTGCATAGTGACTGAGGATGGTTTTATATGCAGCTTGAATAGCTAAAATTGCAGATGCTGGTGACAGAGGTCCCAGTGTCACCAACACCCTGTTGGACCTTATAAGGTCACAGCTCTGAGTCTTTGACTATAAAATCGCCAGTCACCTTAGCTTATTCTGTGGGACCTGGGGACAAAGTTCCCACCCTATCTCTATCCCACCCAATATCCTAGCAGATATTGGTGTTATAAGCCCCAGTGTCACTCATAGGTTCCATTCATCTCCCTATGCTCCAGAGTGCTGACGTTCAGCGCCTCAATCACAGAATTACACAGGGTAACTAAATCCGGATCTGGGAACAGCCCCCCTTGCTGTCCTTCACTTCAAGATCACAGCTATTGCAGTCACGAACTCCAATGTGCCTGCTACTTGATTCTAACAGGTTCATAAGGAATTTGCTCCTTTGGAGGCCCACAACTGCTGCAGAATCACAACACTACTTCTGTGAACTGCTGAAGTCTAGAAAGTTGTCCCACCAGATGACAATGACACTGATTACAGCCGAAGAAGTCACATGCAGGATGCACTTCAAGGTTTACCTAGAACCAAAGCCAAAAGTAATGACTCAACTAACATCCCACATTTCATCTAAATATATGTCTTTCTCAATGAAAGGTACGCCAAAAAGAAGATAGCACCAGACATTGAGCTCAAAAGCAGAGACCAACATAGAAACACAAGAAATGTGAAGAAGCAAGGAAACAGGAGCAAGGAAAACTCAGAAGGATCACAGTATATCTCCAGAAATAGATCATGATTTAAAAAGAACTTCAAGTAATGATTCTATAAAACTCAATGATACTTAAGAGAATATAGACAGATCATTTAAAGATATGAGGAAAATAACGCATCATGGATATTATTTTAAAAGAATCTATCATAAATATTGCATATACTATACTTATTGAAAGAACACACCTTCTCACCCTAAGATTGGGTACAAGGCAAGAATGTCCAATTTTACCACTTTTATTCAACACAACACAGTTAAAGGCCAAAAAGGTTCTTTTGCTCCCCACCTCTTGACCAACTGCATACTGCCTGCCTTTTCTTTCTAGAGATAAAACCATTAAAAGCACTTATGCAAAGAGAGACTCACTTTTCATTTCCGACTTGCACAGTAAATCAATCCAAATAGCTAGTGCAATATTTGCAATCAGACAGGAAGTTATCTTCTGAGTGAAGCTCATTTGTGCATACTGAGCTACAATGATTACTTGTGGAAAGAAGCTGACAAAATAGAAAAAACCAGTAATAGCGACAGCCAAAGAAGCTGAAAAGAAGATAGAATCTGTTTACACAGCTACAAAATCTTTTTTTTTTTTTACAAAATCTTGAAATAGAAATATCTTCACTTTATTACAAAATAACTCTAGCATGTAAACTATAAAAAGTAAAATTGTTTGGTTTTGTTTTGTTCACTGCTGTATCACTGGTACTTGGCATAGTGCCTAACACAAAGTAGGTGCTCAATAAATATTTTTATTTGAATTAAAATAGATAAATGAATGATGCAAGGAAGAAATCTTGTAATTTATCCTCCTTCTTCTAATACTGCAAATATTTTCTCATTGAAAGCACTTATCCATATGCTAATAAAGTTTTAATTTGTGTTCATCACCACTAAGCCTAACAAATCTCAGAGATTTAAAACAAGACACTACTATAACCAATACAAGAAACACAATCCTTAGAAAGTGTTATGGACAACTGCGTGACAGGAAATTTTAATACTCCCCACTAAACTCAGAAAGTGGCTGTATATGATTCCAGTCATACAAAATATCCAGAATCGGTAAACCCACAGAGGCAGAAAGGCATTAGGAGTTGCGAGGGTTAAATGGAAATTAAAACCCCAGAAAAAAAAAATGATTGTTTTATTAATGAAGTAATTCATTGCTGGCTGCCTACATTATACCATTCTTCAGCATATCATTTTAGTCTTTCTTACATTGGTATAACAATTTTTATAACCATACTTTCATTGTGCTGTTATGTGTTAATATGACTCTCTGTTTTGTAAGATCCACCCATAGATTGTAGTGTTATTGCTAAAAAAAACAAAAACACCAGTGCAATGTAATTTTTTTTTTTTTTTTGGCCATAAAATAGCTTGCTTCATAGGCTTTGTGGCCTAAACGGCCAAAAGAAAAGTAATAATTTTCAGTTATTCAGCACATGATACATAAAATTTTTTTAAATGGTGAAAAACCTCTTGTCTGAAATGGAACATTTCCTTATTTCTTAAATAACAAAATAATGGTCCCTAAAAAAATACTCTACAAATCCCTTAGCTAAAAGAGTTTGGATCTCCCCCAGAAACATATGCTCCTCCTCTTCCTCACTTGTCAAACACAAAAGAGAAGGAAAATAATTCTTATTTGTTTGTCTGTGTTTGTGTGTGTGTGCTTGTGTATCTAACATGATTTAGGAACATAGTAAATTATCCCGCGACCTCAGTGAATAAAGCGCCTTTTTCTATATGACTCCATTTAGGTTTATATCTGCCGGTCACATATGACCTTATCTTGATTGTTAAACTCCTCTCAAATGCATTCTATGCATGTTAACTTTCATGGATCTTTGTACTTCTCAGACCTCTTCACATGCATGTTATTCCTCTTTACTCACAACTTAAGTAGAAGATACATAAAAAGTGTCATCTAAACTATAAGTAGAGCTCTCAAATTTTTGATCAATTTAAGGCCCAGCACAATTACCCAGTGGCTAAATTCTTGTCTTCCACATGCCAGGATCCTATATGGGCGCTAGTTAGTATCCCAGCTACTCAACTTCCCATCCAGTTCCCCGCTTGTGGCCTGGGAAAGCAGTATTGGGTGTCCCAAAGCCTTGGGATCCTGCACACACGTGAAGACCCAGAAGAAGCTCCTTGCTCCTGGATTTGGCTCAGCTCATCTCCAGTCACTGAGACCACTTGGAGAGTGAACCCTGGATGGAAGATCCTTCTGTCTCTTCTTTCCCTCTAAATCTGCCTTTCCAATAAACAATAAATAAATCCTTAAATTTTTTTAAAAAAATCAATTCAAGCATGAATAGTTTAATATAAAGAAGTTCTACACTCACCATTAGTGAAGAATGTGCTAATCATAAAAGCAAAAATTATTAAGCTGGTGACATAACACAGGAGAAACAGAACAACGACTGAGGGGTCACTGTACTGAAGGACTCTCTCATGAGCAAGCTGGCAAAATAATCAGGAATCTGGTTTAGACACATTCAAAGTAATATTACAAAAACAAAAGGATAGGAAAACAAACATTTGGTGTTTGGGCCACACTGCTCAGTGAGATACAAATTAACTGAATAATTCATTTCTCACAGAATGCCACTAAAATGCATGCCCCACCCCAATTACTTTACACATCTTGAAGTTTAACTGGAAATTCTCTGTATTACAACTGATTACTTGCCTTGAGAAATAGAACTCCATACAGCAAAAGGATAATAATTCCATACATGATAAAGTACGTGACAAAATAGGCAGCCCAAAGCATACTATTACTGAGTCCTATCATGAGCTGATACTCCTATGGGAAAGTGGACACAAACCAAATATGAAAAACGATTACTGATTTTCAAAATACATTCACATGCATTATCAAATTTAATTACCACAATGACTTAAAACAGGGTAACTACCATAACATCCAAAGCTCAGAATGGTCTGGTGACTAATCAAAACTATCCTCCTAGGAAATGACAAAGCTGAAACTTCAGCTCAGATTTGTAAGTCTGGTGATCTTCTCTCCAATAAATTACTAGCTGTGGTTCTGATGTAAAGAATCCTTAAATAAACATTTTAAATGCAAAATGACTGCCCTTATTCTAATTCTGTCTCCCCCTCCCCCGAGGAAGCAATAAGTCAGAAGAAAAATAAATCTTTTAAAAAAAATTTAGAAAAAGAAATGTAAGATATTATAACCATTATGGAGGAAAGTATGTGATTGCTCAGAGATTTGCAAACAGAGCTACCATATGACTCAGCTATCCCACTCCTGGGAATTTACCCAAATAAAAATAAATCAGCATATGAGAGAGTTGTTTATATACTTATATTACAAGGATACCCATCAACTCAAGACAGGATAACAAAATTTGTGACATGTAGACTCTATAAAATACTACTCAGCCATAAAAAGAACGAAATTCTGTCTTTTGCAACAAAATGCATACAACTGGAAACCATTATGCTTAGTGACATAAGACACCCCAAAAAGGTAATTAATATATGCCTTTTGGTAATTAATATTCAAAGAGTACAAAAGCATGTAATTGGTATGAGTGAGACTGACTTTTTTGACCCATCTCCATAGCAATATTTTAAAAATAGCAGTTTGATCAATAAAACTACAAACCAAATCAGGAATTTAGTTAAAAGAAAACATCAGAAAATTGATAAATGGTATAGGGTAGGTCTCATTGACCTAAATTTGCACATGGTTACAGCAACAAAATTCACTAGTGCTAAATATATAGGCATGATCAAACCTTCCACATACATCTGTCCCATAGGCCCAAAATGTAACAAATAAAATGAAGTTACCTTTAGGCGGCTTTCCTTTTCTGACACAATGGTCCCAACAATGCTAAGTACATTGTGAGAAAACACAAATACAACAATCCAAGGAAATAAACCTATAAAAACCCACATAAAATTATCATGGTGATAGGCAGGATATGGAAATCTTCTAGCAAAAATGTTCAATCCAGCCAAGATTATTCCAGCATTGTCACTATGATATGAAATGATAGCTTTATCTACGGAATGCTGCACAGCCAGAAACCCTCTCCTGATGTACCCTAAATGAGAAAATAAAGATCATCAGCGACAGTATACTATGAAACAGCAGGAAAAACTGAAAAATCCCAATTCAGAGAATAAAATAATTTCAAAAACACTTATTGTGATTCTGGACCTAACATATAATACATCACATGGAAATGTATTACCATCATCCCAAAACTACATAGGACATGAAAAATGATACCATTGTTTTATGCAATTGCACTAGTCAAACTAAAGGAGAATTCAAACACATACTACCAAGGCCTTTTGCTATACTTTCAACATACATGCCCCTCAGAATTCAAATGTTCAAACTTCATACCCAGTGTGTCAGTGGCCAAAGGTAGAACCTTTTGCTAAGTGGGCAAGTCATGCATGCTCCGCCCTCACACATGAGATTAGTGCTCTTATAAAACAGACCAAAGAAATATCTGCTATGATTCAATATGGTTTGTCTCTCTCTGAATTCATGCATAAAGTTAATTCCCAAAAATACATGTTGATTATATTAAGGCGGAAACTTATGACTATGATGTTTGGGATAGAGCTCCCATGATTGATTCTTACTTGTTTTACAAAGGGTGGATGTACAAAGCTACAGACAGGCATGGACACTCCTTGTCTCTCATCACGTGACACCCTGTACTGCTGAAGGACTGTGCCAGAAAGTAGGCTACCTGCCACACAATGACACAGCCAAAAGGAGTCCTCCAAACAGCCTGCACTTTGTTGTTTAGCTACAGCTAGAACTTATTTCAGCTTGCTGTGTAAGAAAATATATATATATATAATGTGGGGCTTTTGCTCTGGTGAATGGCTTAAATCTCCACCCATGGCACTGGCATTCTAAAAGGATGCTTGTTCTGGTTCTAGCCGCTCCTCTTCCAGTCCAGCTCCCTGTTTATGGCTTGGGAAAGCAGCAGAGGATGGCTCAAGTCCTTGGTCACCTGCGCTCATGTGGGAGACCTGGAAGCTCCTGGCTCCTGGTTTTAGATCAGCCCAGCTCCAGCTATTGTGGCTATTTGGGAAATAAACTAGCAGATGGAAGATATCTCTCTCCCTCTTTTTTTCTCTTTCTCTGTCTCTTTCACTTTGACTTCCCTTTTCTCTGTAACACTGCCTTCCAAATAGAAACAAACAAACCTTTAAAAAGTAATGCAAGAGAAACTGGATTAGAGCCAATTACTCCATTCTCATTTCCCATACCTTCCTTGGAAATGACTGTTTTGACATTAGATCCTGGAAGTACCCAATCTTGATTTTTTTTTAATTATTATTTTTACAAGACTAATGGATTTAAGAGTTTGTCTTTAGTCTCAGATGAAAATTTAGACTTTTCTATTAATGTTGGACTAAGACTTTAGAACTGCTGCGAATGGAATGGTTGTGTCGGAAAAGGACATGAATTTTGGTGGACGAAGGACAGAACGCTATCATTTCTTTATGGTGAATTCCCCTAGACTCATGTAGACATTTAATTCCCAAAGTCATATGTCAACAACATTAAAATGGCAGCTACTTAATCTAACTATGGTGTTTAGAGGTGGGGGCCTTTGGGAAATGATACGATTAGGTAAGAGCATTAGAGTAGAATCACCTTGAGTGAATCAGAGGCCCTTCTCTCTCTCTCTCTCTCTCTCTCTCTCTCTCTCTCTCTCTCTCACACACACACACACACACACACACACACACATCTCTATTTCTTGCCATGATGAGTTTATGTCATCTAAGGACTGCCAAAAAGAAGGCTATCCTCAAAGGAGACCCCAAGACCTTGCATCTCCAGCTCAATGAGCTACAATAAATCTTTTTCCTTTATAAAGTAGTCCATATCAGAAACTCTGGAATACTAGAAGAAAATTTGTTAATATAGTACTTAAATCCCTGTTGCCCTTTTCACTTTCTACCATGTAAGGACCCAGCAATTGTCCCAAGAAATTGCCGGTTTGGAAGCATTCAGCAAACCTCTGCAAGGTAAGGAGTCTTGTAATACCTTGATCTGACACTTCATAAACTCCAGAATTGTGATAACTAAAGATTTCCATTATTTTCAAATTACTCAGTCTGTTGATATTTTATTACAGCAGCTGGGAACAGATTAAGACACCACTCTACACTGAACATATAAGTAAGTATATTCGTTAAATTGTATTTACAAAATACATGAAATGTTCTCTTTTATTAATAAAAGAATATACATTTTAAAAATAAATATAAATAAAGCTCAAAATAAAACTTATACAATCTGATTTACAGTAATATCAAACAAAATAAAATATTTAGAAATAAAGTTAATGAAGGAGATAAAGAAAATACTGAAAACAACAAAATTGCTGGCAGAAATTTAAGACACAAATAGTGGAAACACACTCCATGTTCATATATTTGAAGAAACACAACTAATAAAAATTTCTACACTGGGGCCAGCGCAATAGCACTAGTGGTTAAAGTCCTCACCTTGAACACACCAGGATCCCATATGGGCGCCGGTTCTAATCCCGGCAGCTCCACTTCCCATTCAGCTCCCTGCTTGTGGCCTGGGAAAGCAGTCAAGGACACTCCAAAGCCTTAGGACCCTGCACCTGCATGGGAGACCTGGAAGAGTTCCTGGCTCCTGGCTTCGGATTGGCGCAGTTATGGTCACTTGGGGAGTGAATCATCAGACAGAAGATCTTCCTCTCTGTCTCTCCCTCTCTCTATATATCTGTCTTTGCAATAAAAAATAAAATAAATATTTTAAAAAGTCTACACTAGCAAAGTGAACATTAATTTTTAACAGCTGCTTTTTAATATATCAAATAGTCTATTATATTCTTAACCAGGTCTTGAATACAGAACATTTCTATTGTTTACATTTTTCACTGATAATGGCCAAGTACATGTAGTTTTGACTACTGTTGAATAATTTCCTAAAGAGAAACATCAGATATGTTAAAAACCTAACCCTTATTGGTGTTCTTTTTTCTTCAAGGTAATTTGCAAAACAAAAATCATTTAAAATTGTCATTAAAAAAATCATTCAACTCAAAATGGTATAAAATACAGGCCATGTTAATATTCAAGATATGTGTCCACTCAGCAGATGAAAATCTAGGACCATATAGACAGGTAGGACAACGTAAATGCATAAGGGTGCAAAGTTTGGGAAATTAGTTAAGGTAATAAGAGGATAATTTTTTTAAAGATTTATTTTTATTATTTTTTTATTGGAAAGGCGGATATACAGAGAGGAGAGACAGAGAGGAAGATCTTTCGTCCGATGATTTACTCCCCAAGTGAGCGCAACGGCCGATGCTATGCCGATCCGAAGCCAGGAGCCTCTTCCGGGTCTCCCACGCGGGTGCAGGGTCCCAAAGCTTTGGGCTGTCCTCGACTGCTTTCCCAGGCCACAGGCAGGGAGCTGGAAGAAAGCGGGGCTGCCGGGATTGAACCGGCGCCCATATGGGATCCCGGGCGTGCAAGGCGAGGACCAAAAGTAAGAATGTGAAAATGTGTGCTGAAGGGTTTACTCACCGGGATTTCCTCCATCGCTCCTTCTCGGGTTCCTGGGCCCTAGCGTAGGCACTTCTGGAAAGAGAAATGCTGTATCCCAACTTGCTGACTGTCGACTCCAGGTTGACCTTTGTAAACTATTACGGTCAAAAGTGTAATTACTAAAACGTAGATGATATTTTACCTAGAATGAACAATAGAAAACAAATCCTTTAAACCAATGAACATTAAAAGGCAAATATTATTAGTGAAAAGAAACAAAGCATTAATTTTTAAATTGTGTCTTAAGGGAAGTATAATAACTTAGGATTCCACCACACAGGCTGGTAATACACTCCAAAAGCGCAATCAGTACAGGTTGTAGCCACACACTGTGATCTTTATGACATTTTGCTTCTGAGTTTCAAAGACAACAATCATGTTATCTTCATCGCCACTGTGAACATGTTTTTTTCTAGACCTGGAATTGGTACGCCTACCGAGAGAACATCAAAAGTCCCTTAGAGGGACATCAATCAGATGTAAAACAGCAAATCCGAGGCTTCACTACACCTCCCACCACAGAACGAAAAGCTGCCAACAATTCACAGACAAGATGATCTTATTTTTTGGGGAAAAAAAAAAGTCTTCTACGTAGTTCACAGAGCAGAATGTAACATGCACAAAGGGCAACAGCATCAGTAAAATGACTGAAAAGAGCAAGAATAAGGAACTAACAGCTAACTTAAGTGTTTGAGGCAAAGCCTTGTTGTGCACGGGAACGTGAGAGAGGGCTATAAAGAGAATCAAGATTGTATTACCGAGAGGTGAAAGAACAATCTGCCTCTACTGCCACAAACCCCAGGTTAGGGTCAGCTCAAAGAAGGACTAGTGATAGTGGCAAAAAGTAAGCAGAGGGTTTTGCTATGGGAGAATCCTTCACTCCTCAGAGGCACTGAGACAAATCTAGGGAACTGCCAAGAACACACAGCTGTATTACTAGCGAGGAAAGAGCGCGGCCCGAATGACGCCTCCCCCTACCCAGGCTGCTGCTGCACAGTGCAACGTCGGGACCACGCCCACCTGCAGCTCATGACAACTGCTCAGAAGCCCAAACCCAGTAACAAGCACCACATCCAGAGCTTCCTTTCTGCATCTTACAAAACAGCCAGATTACTAACCCCTGCCAGTGAATATGTCTCATATTTAGAAAACTCAAATTCCCAGCTGACAGCACACTCCCACATGCTCCTGTATGTAGCTCAGGTAACTCCACTTGTTTTCTCCCAAAATTACCAAAATGACCCCAACTGAAATGATCTCCAAGAGTATCTTCTGAATCTCCCATGTGGGTGCAGGGTCCTCCACTGCTTTCCTAGACCACAAGCAGGGAGCTACATGGAAAATGAAACAGCCAGGACAAGAATCAGTGCCTTTATGGGATGCCAGCACTTGGAGGCAAAGGATTAACTAGCTGAGCCAATATGCCATCCCCTAGATTGAAATTTCTATTCTTTGTAAGTGAACAGTTATATTCTTGGACAAGTTACAATTTCTCCCACTTATAAAATGGGACTGTTACCTATATCTCACTAAATCCCTTAAATCAAAAAAAATATTATCAGGTCTTTATATAAACTTCCCCACCTGAAGCGGCAAGCTGTCTTTGTTTTGGAAATCATGATCAAATACAATGGCAACCAGTACAGGAGGAGAATTTTGGCTGTTAACATAATCCTCAAATTTTTTTTCTGAAGGAAAGCCACGAACTGTAAAGACAAAACTCTTATGATGAACCTTCACTATGCATATCATAATCCTGTCATGATATCATAAATTTCAAAGTATTGCTTAAATGTTGACATCATTTACCACCTTAACCCTATAGAGTACAAAAGCGTATAAATAATACCTATTTGAAAAATAAATTATTCACATAATGCAATAGGGGAAAATAGCCAATGTAATAGAAATATTAATTTTAAAAATCTGAAAATGTTTGTTATAAAAAAGAAGATACACAGCTAATAGTGATATAAAAATATTCAATTAAATCAGCAAAGTTAAAATTATAATGATTTCAGTGCACACTGGCTAGAAGTTACATCAGTATTTGTATCCATTAAACGAAACAATATACTTTTCCTTTTGCTATATAAGCAAAAGCATATAATCTTTACCTAAAATTTAAGTGATTAACACTGTTCTCTTGCTTTGTTTTTGTTTTAACAGAATCCAGGGAACTGGTCCTTCCAGATACATATCTATAACCTGATGAAACATAGGCACATAGGACCCTGAATTTACATACGCTCCCTCTTTTTCAAGCTCATAAAAAATCTTGCTAAAATTTAACACAACACATAGCTAATAATAAAAACAAAATTAAAAAGAAGATGATGAAGAAGAGAGAAGAGATGAAATATTTAGGTTGAAGAGATGAAATATTTAGGTTCTATAGATGAAAAGGGAGATGAAAAGGAGAGCACATGTTTTATTCCTTGTCTCCATTTTCTTAAATCCTATACTTTATCAATAAGCAAATTATTAATTTTAGCAAATTAAATGTTTTGTATAACTTTATCTGAGGTGGACATTTGGTACAACAATTAAAATAGTCTGTGCTGCCTGCATCCCCTATGGAACAACCTAGGATGGAGTCCTGGCTCCACTTCCAGTTCCAGTTCCTACTTACGTGTAAGGTGATGGCTAAAAGTAGTTGGGGCCCTGACACTCACGTGGGAGATCCAGACCGAGTTCGGGACTCCTGGCTTCAGTTTGGCCCAGCTCCAGTTGTTGCCAGCAACTAGAGAATGAATCAGTGGATGGAAGCCCACACTCTTTCTCTCTCCCTTTCAAATAAAATGGCATTCAGAATTTGAGACTCCACATTAACTTTTACACTATTTCTATGAAAAAAAAAATGCCATTGGAATTTCTTATAGAATTCCATTCAATCTATAAAATGTTTTGGGGTAGTATAAACATTGTATGAATGAATACTAATTCTTTTCATCCATGAACATATTTCCATTTAGGGGACTTCAATTGCTTTCATAAATATTTTATCATTTTCCATTAAATTGATCCCTGAATGTTTCTTTTTTGATTCTGATGTAAATGATACTGTGTTCTTGATCTCCTTATCCAATCATTGTTTGTAGAAATACAGTTCATCTTATGTTGATTTATCTACGCCAGCCTTGCTGAATTTCTTTCTTTTTAGGTTGAATCTTCAAGGACAAAGTCATCTGCAAATACAATTTTACTTCTTCCCTTTTGCTTTCTTTCATGTCTGATTTTGCTAGTACTTCAAGTTCTGTGCTGAATGCAGGGGTGAGAATGGGCATCCTTGCCTTATATGGGATTTTACAGGAAAAATTTGCAGTTTTTTCCCATTCCTCCTGATGCTATCTGTTCACCTTTTTCAATAAATTACCTTAATAGTGGTGAGAACATTTCTTTTTCATGTCTATTATTTTAGACATGAAAGCCTATGCTCTTTGAGTCCCTGATTTACTTACCGTTAGCCAGAGGCCTAGCTGGTGCTTCGCTTCAGCTCTCGGACACAAGTGGACTGATTAGCTAGAAGGAATGCTTTCAGTTCTGGTTAGGCTCAGAGGACTACTACTTGTCTGCCCTATAAATTCCCAATCGCGTGCTAATTTGAAGCCTGATGTAAAAGCAGCGGCTGGAAAAGTTGATTGCTGGGAATCATGATACAGCAAGCACTCAGTTCACTCTGCTTCACTCAGAAGCAGATCCAGTGATACACTCAACAAATGATCTTACAGCTCTTTTTAGGTCAATCTGGCCGTGATAAACCCTTTCAGTTTGTCTAGGAATGTCTTAAGTCCTTCACTTTGGAAGGACAGCTTTGCTGGGTACAGCATTATGAATTGCTAAGTTTTCTTCCGTGCCACTTCGAGTTCATCATATCGTTCATTTTGGCTTGCGAGGTATCTGTTGACAAGCTATTGTCAGCCTAATGGAAATGGCCTTTTATGAGAGATTATCATCTCTTGATGCTTTTGAGATTCCTTCTGTCTTTAGCTTTTGACCAATTTTGATTATATAAGGCCTCAAAAATATCCCTAAGCACTGATCCTACTTGGAGTTTTTACAGCTTCAAGAATCTGCATGTTCATATCTTCCTCACCCTTTCCCCAAGATTTGGAAATCATTCTTTAGCTTTCTTTCCTGTTCTCTCTTCTGTATACGTAATTCAAGCATAATTCATGCAGTCAAGGTGTCCCGTAAGACCCTTATATTTCCATCACCCTTTTCAACATTATTTTATTTTGTTCCCTCTAAGTGGTTAATTTTGAATGATTGCCTTCATATTCATTAATCTTGCTACACGACCAAGTGTACTTTTTTCAGATGTGTTTTGTTCTTTGGTTCAAGAATATCTTAGGTTATTTTTATGGTTTCTTTTTATTACTCATTTTTTTTCTGCATCATTTTCCTAACTTCACTCAGTTTGTCCATATGTGTTTTCTTGTACCTTACTGAGATTCTAGGACAATTTAAGTCTTCTTTCAGACTATTAGCAGACCTCCATTTTGTTGAGTTTCTTGCTTTGTTAGTTTATTAGTTTCCTTTGGTGGCTTCATGTCTTCCTGATTGTTTATTATCCATATAATATTTGCATTAGCACTGCTTTTTGGTTTGTTTTTTTATTGGAAAGTGAGATATACAGAGAGGAGAAGACACAGAGAGGAAGATCTTCCATCCATTTATTCACTCCCGAACAGGCCACAACAGCTGGAGCTGCGCCGACCCAAAGCCAGGAGACAGGAGCCTCTTTCATGTCTCCTATGCGTGTACAGGGTCCCAAGGCTTTGGGCCATCTTTCACTGCTTTCCAAGGCCACAAGCAGGGAACTGAATGGGAAGTGGGGTCTCCAAGATTAGAACCGGTGCCCATATGGGATCCTTGTGCATGTACAAGACTAGAACTTTAACCAGGCCCAGCACTGCTTTTTTCAAAGAGCATGTACTTCTTCCAATCTTCATAGATCTGTTTAATCAAGTTAAGCCCATTTCCTCTCCCATGCTAATGGAAGGGCTTCCAGGATGAGAAATCCTTGCACAATTTTTCCATGATTCATATTTTCTGTGACCTTTTTGAGGATCCCTGGTATGCACAGATGTCAAGAACATTTGAAAGAAAATAAACATCTTTTAATACCATTTTTCATACATGACTGAAGTACCCTTACACATTATACCAAAAAAATTTTTTAAAATTTTTAAAATTTTTAAAATTTTTAAAAATCTCACCCTCAGATATTACAAGTTCTAACCTGTGAAATTGACTTTTAAATCTCTTTTCACCCACTCAGTAATATTTTTTGCTACTTCACTATTAGAAGGCACATAAACGATTTGAAATTCAGGTTGAATAACAGTGATGGAATTGGGTAGCTTGAATGAAACAGGATTAAAAGTAGAAGCATTAAAAAGTGGGCTTTGCGCATTTCTGCGCATAGTCAAGATCAAATGAAAGAATAGAAATGTCAAGAGTATTTCCACGACTAGACCAATTATCTGTCGACCCTAGGAAGGAAAACAAAAGACTGTTAATTACCCTAAAATTATCTATATGTATTGATACTCCTATAAACATACAACATATACACAATACAAACATATCATTCTTTTATTCTACAAAATAGGGAGTTCCCTAGTTTACACACTATTAATGAAAATGTAAATTAGTGTAGCTCCTGTGAAAAACAGTGCGGAAATTTCTTTAAAAACTAGGTATAAAGTTTCTCAATTTATGGTTTGTGTGTGCTCTACCTGCAGCCCAAAACTTCAAGAGGGCAGTACTGGCATTTGGAAACACAAGTCTGGTGTAGTCTCCTGCCTAGACAGAGTAGAAAGAAAAGAATACAGAAGAACACAGGCCCAATAGTACTTTTATGATATTTTGGTTTTGACTGTGTGCAATACTAAGGTGGAATCATTGCTACGTAACAGCTAGCAGTACAGCATTCCCGGCTGCAGGACTACTCTTGGAGGGCTTGGGAGGCCTGGGGTGCTTACCAGCTCTCTGAGGACCACAGGGTCATTTGGAATTTCCTAGCTACATTTGGGACCTTGCCTGGCATTATGAAATTTAGATTATATCATACTGGAAAATATGTGCCTGCAGAATTGCAGGTTCCAGTTTGCTGGTGATCACCAAAGTTGGAATTGGTATGTTAGAGAGACCCCATTAGGTAGCATCATGTCCCAGCCCAGTCTCAGGCATAATTAAAAATCCCTACACTTCACTATTTTCAATGTATTCTGGAAATAAGTGTAACATTTTTATACACTGCAATGTTTCAGCTTAAAAATGGCACTGAACTTGGCAGTGGGAAAATTAATCTTTATTATTAAAGACCGTACAAGGATTGTAAATAATGTTATTATTCATTCTATTCAATCAGTGGAATTCATTATGTTAGGTGAAACAAGTCAAGCACTTAAAGATAACACACATAATCACTCAAAGTGGAACATTAAAAAGTTTATCTTACAGAAGTTACAGTACAGTGGCTATCACAGAATTGAAAGTAGTAGGAAGAATGGGGAAAGGTTGACTAAAACCAATTAAGCTATAGTAAGATACCAGTAGTAAATTCTGTTGTACTATTGTACAGTAGACTAACTATATGTAATGAAAATGTATTGTATCTGTCTCCAATTAAAAAAAACTAAAATAATGGATTTTGAATATCTTTACCATTTGAAAATGTTCAGTCTCTAAGGAGATGGACATTTTTGCCTTGAATTAAACATTATGCACTATATACATATAAGGAAACAAGGACAGTAACCCATAATATGTATAGTTCTCACATGTCAGCAAAAATAAAAATTTAAAAGATTAAGTGCTACCTCTAGCCTTGGAGTGGAAAGAAAAAGAGACTGAATTGAAGGTGAATATGCTATTAAAAAAAATCGCCCTTTGGTTTCATTAGCCTTTTCAACCATTTCCCCAAAATTCTACTTACCTTTAAAAGAAAATTCTTCCAGAGGAGGGCTGAAAATTGTATGGGCCATGATGAAGTCATCTGATCATAAACAATAGAAGTTCAATTCTTAAGAAGGAAATAAAGTTTAAATGTTTAAGTCACCTGCAGGAATATTAAATTTAATCAATTAAAAGGATGACTTGATTGTTTTGCTCTTGCGTTTTTATTTGACAAGCAGGGAAACATAGTGATCTGGATCCAAGAACTAGAAACTCAATCCAAAACTCCCAAGTGGCTGGAGCCATTACTGGTACCTCTGGACGTTCAAGAGCCAGAACCTCCTGTTATACCCTGATTCTTCAACTTGGGACACAAGCACCTTACCTGATATCTTATCCACTAAGCTTAAATATTCAGTCTTACTTAATAATTTTTCACAAATTCTGAAAAAAAACATGCTTGAAATAATTATTTGTCTGCTTCTATATGCATCACATTAATCCATTAAGTACACACCAAAGGATTTACATTATGTATAAAGACATTAGGCAATACTGATGTAAAGAATAATAACCTGCAACTTATTTTCACGAAGACATAAAGTACAAGAGCAAGTATTGCAGTGCAATGGGATAAGCACCACTTGGGATGCAATTCCTTGCCAAAGCCTGACCTAGCCCTGCATGTTGTGGCTATTTCAGGAGTAAATCCGTGGATGAAAAAAACAAAATCCTTCTCTCACTGTCACTCTGCCATTCAAATAAATAAAGCTGCTTTAACAAAGAAAGATGTAAAACACAAATGCATTATGTCACCTGTTATTTGTTTAGGCTCTGAGAGAGTTTCACAAATTTCAAGGGTAAGTATCAATTCACCCTTACTCTGTGTCATGCCCCATGTTAAATGTGAGATCAATTCAAAACAATCATGACTTTCTCGTCATAGATGCAACAGTACGGTAAGTATGGTAAATAAATTAAGAATCTAGAATCTGAACACAGGCAACTTGGGTTCAGATCCTGTTTAACAAGTTGTATAATTTTGAACAAAAACTAGACAAAAAAGGTCTGCTTTCATCTTTATTATTCAATATAGTTCTGAACATTATAGCCAGAACCATTAGGAAAAAAAAAAGAAATAAAAGAGATAGAAATTGCAAAGATGAAAGTCAAATTATTACTATCTGCAAATGACATGATCCTAAATACTGGGAAATAGAAAGACTATTAAAAGACTACTGAAAAAAAAAGAGAGAGACTATTGAAATTCATAGGCGAGTTTGGTAAAGTTGCAGGATATAAAAGCAACACACAAAAATCTATAGCCTTTACACACACAATGTTAGAAATACTTTTTAAAATACTTTTGAACAAATTTAGCGAACGATGTAAAAGATCTTTTCAATGAAAATTACAGAACAGAGACTTCATGGAACAGCAATAAGAGAAGACAGACGCACCATTGCCAGGCATTGTTTTGTTTACACAGTTCCAGCTCTAGGGTAGGGGGTACTGTCCTCCGAGGGCAAAGTAATAGCCCCCACTACTGAAAACTTCAAGGGGGAAATTCCATGCTCCCTATTGGTTTCAAGTCCAGCCTGGGAAGCTGGTGGGGATCTGGGCAACTATTTTGCCCCATGTTGCCTCCCTCCCTTCCGCCAGTCAAAGTGCCAGACTCAATCAGCTGTAGAGTTGCAACTGAATTGTGTCCTGAGTTGGGAACAGCAATAATTCTATTGCTTTCACAGGTCATGGGGTGGTGGCCAAGACAGGAAAGCTTGGAAGGAGGAGAGCAAATCTAAGTAATTCCACTAACATCCAGAAGCAGACAAGGATGTCCACTCTCACCCCCACCTTATACCCTACATAAAAATCAACTCAAAATGGATCAGGGATCGAAGTTTAATGCCTGAAACCATCAAGCTACAAGAGGAAAATACAGGGAAATGTGCTCATACTATATAAATAAAACAAGTGATATGATCCTGTGATCCTTCTTCTGGGAATTTATCCAAAGGAAGTGAAATCAGCATTTGAATGAAATAACAATAAACCCTTAAAACTTGGGAAGAAATCTTCATGATCTGAATTTAGCAAGTCATCCTTAGATAGAACACCCGAAGAAAATCAAAATAGGCGTTATCAAGATGAAAAACTCTCCAGCATCAAGAGCACTATCAGAAAAATGCAAAGATTACCCAAAGAATAAAGTTTTGGCAAGTCATATACATCACAGAATTTCATATCCTGGATATATAATCTTATAATTCAATCACAAAAGAGAATCCTGTTCAGTAATAGACATCCTTAAGTAAAAGGACTGAAGTAGACATCTTTCCAAATTAATACAACCGGCCATTATGTTTATGAAAAAATGCTTGACAAAATCAGTTACTAGAAAAATACACATTAACACACAATGTGATGATACTTCATAACCCATTAGGATAGGTACAATGGAAAATAAGCAGGGACAAGAATGTGGAAAGCGGGAACCTCCACTCACTTTTAGTGAGAATGTACACTGATACATTGCCTATGAGTAACAGTTTGGAAATTCCTTAAAAAGTTAAACAGAATTAGTCTCTAATTCCAATCCTATAAACACACCCAAGAAAGTAAAAGGCAAAAGTTCATGCAAAAACATGTACAGAAATATTCATAGTGGTATTATTCATAATAAGCAAAACCAGAAGAGACCCAAAAGCCCATCAAAGAAAACAAACACACAAAATGTGGTACACGATTCAATGGAATATTACATATCTTATGAGGGAATGAAGTCCACACAGATGCAGGAACCTTAGAGATAAGCCAGGAGGGCACAGCCACACTCAAAAAGGCCTTGTTACATGCTTCTATTTCTACAAAATTGTCAGAATTCACAACCCACACACCAGTTTCTTTTGGTGGGGGGAGGGAAACAAAGAAAATGCTCTGGAAATAGTGACCACGATTGCCCAGACTTGTAAATGTAGTAAAAGCCACTAAATTGTATACTTCAAAAGTATATGTTAAAAGAAAGAAAAAGAAACGGCAGCTGAACACAAAACTTCATATTTAAGAAAAACTCTGCGAGCTAAAACGCTATTTCTATGTAACAGAGAAGACCCACACAGATGAGAACCAAAATAGAAGCAAAGTTCCCAAGTCCCACTGAGTTCCAGCTGTCCAAGATGCCAACAAGGAGTAGCAGGTAGTAGCAAGATTCCCCCCAGGGGCTCTTTTTTTCCCCTCAGGCCTGAGACGAAAACTCCGGCCAAGGGCTCCCTAAAACTGCAGCCTTCTCAGCAGAACCAGCCAGATACACGCACAAGCCACAGTCCCCACTCGTGAAGGCAACCTCTGTGACGAAGAAAATACACAAAACTCAACCTGAACTCCCCAGCGGGCTTTTTCTTTGCGCCGTCGGCCAGGACACCACCTGAGGCGACACCGCCGACGCTGCCGCCACGTCCGCCTTCGCCGCTGAGGGGCGCGCGTCCACCGCGCGCGACGCCTGTTCCCAACGCCGCCTCAACCGCCCCGCCGCGCAGGCGCCCCGCGAGCCGCTGTGTGGACGCCGCCTCGCGCCAACCGAAGGCGCGGACGCAGGAGGACGCCGGGAGGACGAGGAGAGCCGAGGGCACGCGAGAGGGGCAGCCACGCGTGAGGGGCAGCCACGCGTGAGGGGTGAGAGCCCGGCCTTGGCTCCCCCGGTGTCCGACCAGATATAAGGGGAAACCAGTTCAGTGAAGTATTTCAATACAGTGTATGTATATATTAAAATTTTCAGATAAAAATATTGTAAAGTCCAGGAGAGGGCACAGAGGGAAACTGGGAAGAGACAGCGACTCCAGCCTCTTCCTTACTAGTAAGTTCATTACTGCTCTGTGAAGCCTTTCTTGCTAATGGTAGTTTTATTGTTTTAATAATAAACTCAATAATACCTAGCAATGCTTTTTCATATACTACTTAATAATAATACCTATTTAATACATACGCACTACACAAGTGGCAAAATGATCTCATTTATGCATCACAGCTCTGGAAGGTGTGTTCCAATATTGCTGATAATATCTAATTTTACAGTAGAGGAAACAGGGTCAGGGTTGGTAAGTCTCCTGTTTGAGATTGTCCAGCTTATACCATGGCAGAGTCACGTTTAGATCCAGTCTGCCTGACATCAGAGCCCTTCTCTGGGAATTACTAAACGTGAAGTTCCTGGTCCTTTACTGCCCATGCTGAGATTCCAGCAGAAACATAGTAGCACTCTGATAAAAAAAACATAGGAACAAATTGAGATAATAGAATATTTGCATATCCAGTGGATCACACCAGTGAGTTAAAAAGTAAGGAGAAAATAAACTCAATTCCAGCCTGCATCTAAAATCCCTAACACCTTTCGGATCAAAGTGTGTTAACCCCACAAGCTCTGATGTCCCACTTCAAAAATCCTCTTCTCGCCCCTGTAGTACTAGGGACAGGGCAGAGTTTATTGTGCAGTTCCTTTGCTCCAGCAGTCCCCGGTGCAGCGACAGTGTCTATTCCTTAATGCTCATCTTCTAGTATTCAGAATTAACTAATTAGTGTGCCTAGCACCAGTGCTGTTACTGCCAGGTTAGGGACGAGAAAGAATCCATTCCCATCCCAGCTAGCTCCGTAGTGGAATTTCTTTTCTACTGTTGGAAACTAAAGTTGGCAACTGAAACCTTATGAAGATCCAGGTGACATTATGCAAAGTCATATAAGGAAAATTACCTCCTCTGCTGCCTTGCAGGGTAACTTTGAAAAAAAAAAGGTCTTTTCTCCTCTCAGAGCTGGGAGCTTCACCTGGACTGCAAAGTTAAGCATGTTGCGTATACGCCTCGGAGACTGCTCTGCAACTGAGTGAGACCCTGAACTACCAGCGCTAAGAGCAAACACCTATTGCTGCTGTTTTTATTTCAAACGTTAGTTTTTCCTTCCAGCTCCTTTCCAACACCCTTATCTAACCAATTCAGGTCAAAAGGACCTCTTTTCTTTACCAAGACACTTGCTTTTCCTATCACTGATTTGGTTCACAACTCCTGGAAGAAAAGACCCTGCATTTTGGCACTTTGTGTGAGAGGCCAGTACACCTTGCCCTGGGCAAAGGTTAGCGAAGGCACTTACCCTGGGAGAAACGGGTGATGGGAGGATGATGGAATCTTTGGGATTAAACTCCAGAAGGGGACAGAACTGCAAAGGAAAGTGTTCAAGAACTCACTTTTTCCTTTAATCGAAGATCTCTTCGCAGCAGGTAATGATTCAAAATAATAATAATGATAATAATAAGGGGCCCATGCTCTTTCTCACCATCGCTCGTTCCCCAGGCCAGATGATGCCACAAATACTAACATTTCAAAGAATGTGGCTACTACAACTGGTCACAGGAATTGAGAAAAGCGGACGCAAAGAACACCAACTTGCAGCTTGCTTCCGGGATTCTGTCCCTAGCTTTGGGGGACCCACCTCGCCCACTCTTAGAAGTCGGGGTGGGGCAGAGGGGCGGAGTCAGGCCTGAGGGGTGGGACGGGTTGTCCCGCCCTCGGAGGCTGGGCTGGCGCTGGCAGGCGTCTCCGCAGCACTGCGGGCCCTCTCCCACACTGAGCCTAGCCCGGTGGGTAAGTGGATTGCATTCCCGAGCTTAGGGTAGAGAGCAGGTGGCACAACATGGAGCGGGCGCCAGCGTTCCTGAGCGCGGCCGAGGTGCAGGAGCACCTCCGCAGCTCCAGCCTCCTCATCCCGCCTCTGGAAGCGGCACTGGCCAACTTCTCCAGCGGCCCCGACGGAGGGGTGATGCAGCCGGTGCGCACCGTGGTGCCAGTGGCCAAACACAGGGGGTGAGTGCGCGCCCTGTTGCCAAGGGCCATTCGGGGGTGAAAGGGGGAGCGGAGGAGAGGGCGGTGAGTGAAGAAGGCAGGAGTCAAAGGCAGGAAAAACTGGAAAAGAGGAAGAGGAGGGAGCGCTAAAGAGAGGCTTGGGATAAAGAGAGAGCTGGCTTAATCACTGCTAATTAGCCACTTAATTGTGCACTACCTACTGTGCCAAGTAGGTGCTTTACAGGTGTCACCCCATTTAATTCAGCACATTTCTCCCAATAGGTGGGTACCGATTAGCCACCTGCAGGTGGAATCAGACCCAGAGAAGTTACTTGACGTCCCCAAGCTGACTGAGCTCACAGTGGCAGAACTGGAATGATTTTTGGATCCAGAGCCACACTCTGGAAGGCAAAGGCATAGGAATGGGCAGATGGGGACAGTGCCTGTGGGACAGTGATGATGGAATAGTGGAGTTAGAGAAGATTTAATAGGAGACCTCAGCACTGATGGGAAGGTTTGAAGCTGCTACCTCCCTCTCTTCCCTTTGTAGCTTCCTGGGGGTCATGCCAGCCTACAGCGCAGCAGAGGATGCTCTGACCACTAAGCTGGTCACCTTCTACGAGGGACACAGCACCACTTCCACAGTCCCCTCCCATCAGGCTACGGTGCTACTCTTTGAACCAAGCAATGGATCCCTGCTTGCGGTGAGCAACTCCCTATACTGGGGGTGGGTAGGGATGAGGAGGTCTGGGGGAGTGGAGCGACCGGGAGTTCGCATGCCCTCTATATCTGTGTATCCACGACTGTGAGGCTTATCTGTGACCATCTCCCAATTTTCCGTGTGTGGGACTGCCTGAAGGTGACCTCGGCATCAGAGCCCACAGCAGTGGCAGGAGTGCTGCAGTGTGGGAATAACACTATTATTTCCTTCTTGCGTGTCTTCTTGTCATAGATTCACATGCCCGTGATAACAGAGATTGGCCCAACTTGACACAGGAGGAAACCAGTGCTTAATGGGCACCTGTCGACATGGAAAAAAAGGGCCATTCTATAGTTTGTGGGAGTCTTTCCTAAGGTGTATCCAGTGGCCTGTAGCTGGAGCTTGCATCCGCTGTTATTGTTGTTGTTAAGGTGACAGAGACTGTTCCACACTTCAAATGTGCTAACCCTCTTGAAATTTAAAATCACATTATAAGATAAGTAATATGCACCATTATCCACATTTCACAGATGTGGAAACTGAGGTACAGGGCAATAATGCCAACTATCCAGATATTTGTACCTAATAAGGATGAAGGTAACTGTAAGAAGTTCATGTATAATGCATATTATTTCGTTTAAATGTGCATGTACATCAAAAAATGCACCAAAATGTTATCTTTTAATTTCATTTCCTACCAGCTTCATAACATCGCTGAGCTTCATGCATGCTCAGGCTGTGTCCAAGGCTGTAACCTCTAGTGCCTTTTAAATTGTCACTTATTGAGCCCTTATCAGCCAGGGCGGAAATATAATTGATCATGACAAATTCATCCGTGGAAATTTTTGTTGTTTCCCCTTCCCAGTTTCTGATGAGGTCTCTGAGACCGATTCTCGGAGCCACTTTACTTGAGCTGATTACTGAAAGACCCAAGAATCACTCCTACGCCGTCTACTGTGGAATTCATGCTGATAAATCTTATGATCTATGTTCTGCAAACTGGCTGTTAGACCCTACTTATTATTCTCCTTGAATTTCTGGCTCTGTAAGGAATCTATCTGGCACTCCTCTGAACAGAGAATCTAGCCCTTCCCAATCTGTACTCATCCAATTTAGGTGCCATCCTAACTACCTACCAACAGTGGTTCCCCCAGGACAGTAGGACCTGGACCTTTGAAACTCAACCATAGGACTTTAGATCTTTGCTCAGTCTGCTCAGTAGCTATGTGTTATAGTTCCTCACCTGTAAAGTGAGAATAATGTCTGCCTTCTAAGGTCAGCAAGGGTGGGTAACTTATTATCAGACTACAGTGCAAAGGATGGTTATTAATATTAGCCATGCATAATACTTAGATTTTACTGTAACAGAATCACCTAGGAAGCTTATAAAAATAAGCTTCCCCTAAAGATGCAAATTTAGTTGTTCTAAGGGTGTTGTCTTAGTGTCTATTTCTTCACAAGCTCCCCACATGGGTACAGTTGAGAACCACGAATGTGATCTTTCATGACCCTTCTCCAAATGTCAGTGGCAGTTATATTCCACAACATCCTTATTTGGGTATTTTGAGATTCCTAGAGCTCAATTATTGGCCAGTTTGAGGGCGTCCCATAAGCTGGATGCATCCATGTGGACCTGTGTGTTTGATACTCACACCAAGCCTCTTAATTATTAGGAATATTTTGTTTCTACAGATAAGGAAATCAGTTCTGAGAGACGAAAATGTTCAAAATTATGTCTCAGGAATGGAGGAAATTGCTATGAATCTGACTCCATGGTCAAGTCTTTTTTGTAGGATTCTGTAAAAAGTTTCCAGAGCTGCTTTTCCAGAACCACCTCATCAGTTTATGTGGTGGACAGGGATGCCCTTGCTGACTGCCTCTCCTTCTCTCCAAGGTCATGGATGGAAATGTCATAACTGCGAAGAGAACAGCTGCTGTGTCTGCCATTGCCACCAAGGTAAGAGGAGCGGTTTGCTGTGCTGTCAAGATGAGCTGGTGAGTCGGGTTGGGGCATCTCAGTCTCGAGAGAATAAGGGAGAAGTGAGGACCGTGTTCTGGTTTTCCTGTGGACATAGCTGGGACTGCACATGCCAAGTATAAGATGTCAGGTGGACACAATGGCCAGTGGAATTATTAGCTGTCATTTGCTATACAGGACCAGATTTAAAGCACGTTGCCTCTATCATTCCTTATCTTCCAATCAAAATTAGTATCTCCATCTGCTGAGCTTAGAGATTGTGGCTCGGAGAGATGGTGTGACGTTTCCAGGGTTGTACAGCTTATGCATGATGGAATCTAAAATAATTTAAATCGTGACCTGTCTGATTCCTGGGACTGTGTTTCTACCTTTGTATTAAACAACTCCTGATTGCTCCATGGGTCAGAACCAGTACTGCACAAGAGACACCGGGTGGACAGACACTTCTGAGGCAGATTGACTTGCTTACCCAGCGTGTGCTGACAGTGTTACTGTGTCAGGTGCTCTTCTAACTACTAAGGCTACAGCAGTGAGCAAGACAGTGACACACACAAGGAAGGTGGACAAAAGACATGTTTAAAGAGTGAAACTGTATGTCACATAATGCAATGTAATTAATTTAAAAAAAGAGTGAAACCATGACTTTCTTTAAAAAAAAACTTTTAAGCTCAAGAGTGTTAATAATCATAACCAAGCTGTTAATATATTTAATAATTATGTAATTATTAAGAAGTAATAGTGTGGGCCTGGTGCAATAGCCTAGTGGCTAAAGTCCTCATCTTACATGCATCAGGATCCCATATGGGTGCCAGTTCTAATCCTGGCAGTCCCACTTCCCATCCATCTCCCCGTTTGTGGCCTGGGAAAGCAAGACCTTGGGACCCTGTACCTGTGTGGGAGAAACTCCGGGCTCCTAGCTTTGGATTGGCTCAGCTCCAGCCATTGTGGCCACTCCAACTGTTGCAGCCACTTGGGGGAGTGAATTAGCATATGGAAGATCTTCCTGTCTGTCTCCTCCTCCTCTCTATATATCTGCCATTCCAATTAGAGTAAATAAATCTTAAAAGAAGAAGAAGTAACAATTTTTAGATTTTGCTATAAGTAAAATGCACAAAACCACATTGGATGCTAGAAAGATGATTATAAAGCAGCATGGAGAGGTATTGGGAGCGGGGGTGGGATGCATTTAACATTACCCAGGCAAGGTCTTGCTAAGAAAGCGAACCCTGCAAACACATAGAGGCCATGCCAGGCAAGGGGAACAGCCAGTGCTGGGAGTGATGATGCTTCTAAGCAGTGCTGAAACACTCTACCAGAAAGGTGATATTTTTAGGGTCTGAGGAAGAGAAGGATTAGAAAATGTTGTGTGTGAAAATGACTAGAATCTGGAATCCTTCATGTTGAAGGAATATAAGCTCTTAGGCTGCTGCTTTTCCTGAGCATAAAATTGTAGTGTGTCATGGAGTGGTTGGAGGGGAGGGTTGAGACGGCACAGACCAGGTGTTCAGATGGAATGTCAAGGTTTGCTAGATACACGAGGGTAGGAATAACCCAATAATTGTAGATATGGGAGTAGACTACCATACCCAGCTAAGTGAGCTGGTTTTTAATCTATGGAAACTGAATTAGAAGATAAAAATAAACAAAAGACTCTTTGAGAAGTGTTACTGGTGACTTATGATCAAATGATTCTTACATTGCCTTACATTGCAGAGAGTGTTAATTTCTTTCAAAATAATTCTCATTGTCTGGATTTGGAGTTTTGTGAATAAAGCAGAACAGGTGTTATTATTGGCCTCATCTTGTGCAGACTACAGTTCCCTGAAATCAGCTAAGCAGGTACCTGAAATTGCTGACAGCTGGATCTAGGAAACTAGTTTTTTTTTTTTTTTTTAAATGTCCATAGTCAATTCTGATGACAAACTAGGTTTGGGAATGCACTCTGGTGGACCCAGCCCTCAGGGTTACTGAGTAGGCCTTGTTGAATTAAGAAACACCTGCACTCCCAGATAAATTTAGAAACAAAATTTAAATTTAGGCTGAAAAGTTTAGGCTGAAACTTCCCAGCTTTATTCTTAAGGGCTCTTGTGGGCTATCTCATTAAGAAAGAATCTATGTCTTTATTTTTTGGTCTTGCTGAAAATTTTCTTGTTTACCGGGTCTCTTTCATTTAAGGCTTTGGGGTAAAAAGTATAGGACACTCTGGTGTCTGATGGGCACAGTAACTTCTGTGTGTTTGGGTTGTACATAACTTTAGTTAAGCGCTTTGGCGTGCTTTACTAAGGTGACAGAATTTATCAGAATTTATCCCTGACATGCAATTATTCAATAAATATTGAGCGTCTCCCAGGTGCCAGGCTCTGTGCCCAGCAAGGGACAAAAGACTGAACAAATTCAAATATAGCTTCTGCCATCATGGTACCCAGGATGCATCTTGGGACAAAGAATATTAATCCAATGATTACATTGAACTACTACCCTGAGAAGTGCTGTGGGAGCATCAGATGGGTGGATCTATAAAATTCAGGAAGATTTTTGAGCTCACATTTGAAGAGTAATAATTCCTCAAGAGAAGTAGAGAGGAAAGTATTCCAGAAGAGGGAAGAATCTGCAAAGACAGGGGCGTAGACATTGGCAGAGGCATCTGGGGTCTCAAAGACAGAAAATGCTCAAGGAATGTGACCTGAGGAGGATGGAGAGATGGAGAGATCCTGTAAGCCTTGGTAAACGCAAAAGAAAATGTATTTAATTTGTTTAAATAAGAAACCCTGGTGTATTCACATACAAGTTCTTATTTAACTGCAAGCTAATGAGGGGGAAATGAAATGCCACTAATTCTGATGTGATTTAATAAGTCTTTTCTTAAACTATTTAAGGAAAAAAAAAAGATGTCAATGGTAACATTATTGCCAAAGCAACCAATTTTCAAGTAAGGTAACCAAGGAGAGTTTCAGATTTACTTTCCAAAGTTTAAGATCACTTTTACAGAATCCTGTGACAATTTCTGAAGAACAAATACATTTCCAGGAATAGATTCATATTAACTGAGAACAGAAAAAAAAAATGGTAGCAGTTAAGGAAATATTATTCTCTTTTATCAAGAGCATAAAATGGTGGATCTTTTGGATATTTTCATTTTGAATATCATATTCTTTGAACTGTATTTTATGGTGCAGAATAGCACTGCTCTTTCTGTGGTTGGAGTGATTTGAATCTGCAAATATTGCTGAAACTCTCTTTTGTTACTAATTAATCATACAGAAAACTTCCCACTTTTAAAGTTACATGGCAGAATATCAATGAATAGCATCATGAGGAAGCGTAGACACAAAGAGCTCAAATATTATGAAATAGACAAAAAGCAACAAAATGTTCTGTGGAAGGCAATCTTCTTTCCTCTTTAGCAGTAGTTCTAAACTGAAGAGGATTTTACTACCTGCCCCTGAAATGCTCAACCATGTTTGGAGACAATCTTGGTGGCCACAACTAGGAGAGAGGGAGGAACAACAGGTATCTCTAAGCAACAGAGCCCAGAGATGCCAGCCAGCCCCTCTGCCTCTCAGGGCGGCACATTCCCTAACAAGGAAGGAGCCAACCCATAGTTCAGTGGTGGCGAGGTTAGGAAGCCCAGCTTTGTATTTGTAGGTCATAATGTGTATGTATAATTCTATACAAAAGACTATGTATGATAAATACGTAATAGGTATGTATAATCCTATGCAACTAGATTGCCTCTGTCTTTGTTGGGGCTTACAGCTTAGGACAAGAAAATAAATCTGTAAACAAATGAATACATGGGAAGTCAGAGTTGACGCCTGATGTAACTTGCTGACTGCTGACCTCAAATATAGACACACATCTACTCTTGGGGGGTACCTTAGTTGTCCGCTCTACAGGAACAGAGAAGTTATGCAATGATCCACAAAGAGTGTATCAATTCTTTTGGTTTTTGCACCAAAATAAGTTGATTTTAAGAATATATATATATATAAATTATTATTATTATTTGTATATTCAAAAGGCAGAGTGATAGCAAAGGAGAGCCCACAAGCTCTTTGAGAGAGGTGAAAATAGGACATATGTCACCTGAAATTCAAACTCTAATTTTCACTTTGTCTGTTAGTGTCTCCTTTGACTGTGTCCACCTCTTTTTCTCTCAAATAGTTCTTGAAGCCCCCTAGCAGTGAAGTGCTGTGCATCCTCGGGGCTGGAGTCCAGGCCTACAGCCATTATGAGATCTTCATGGAGCAGTTCTCCTTTAAGGAGGTAAGGCCTGGGGCAGGGAGAAGAGGGAAAAGAACAGCAATGAACTCTGTACTGCTTTACTGGACCATTGGTTATTCAGAAAATTAGGTGGAGAGTCTGAGTATGATCTTTCTTGGAAAGACTTCCCCCTAAGCCCAGGTGGAGGTAGAGAGCCAAAGAACAGTCAGATCACCTCTTTTCAGGTTCCCAGTCCACGGGGCATGTGCCAAGGGCTTCCTCCAGGTCTCCCACATGGGTGCAGGGTCCCAAGGCTATGCGCCATCCTCCACTACTTTCCCAGGCCACAAGCAGGGAGCTGAATGGGAAGTGGAACAGCCAGGACAGGAACTGGGGCTTCACTTGATGGTGGAAGATTAACTAGCTGAGCCATCACATCACCCTGAGAGCGTCTTCAGTCTCTATTTTCAGTTGACGGTTCTCCACCTTGGACTCATCCCTTGAAACCTGTTGATTTGTAGGTCCACAGCTCTTGATAAACTTGGTGACACGTATCAGCCCCTAGCATCTTCCAGAATTGTAATTATAGCCACCATTCTTGGCCTTTTCACTGGGTTTATCATTGACCTACTCTTTACAAACCTATACAGTTGTTAGAAATCAAGTTATTTTATGTGGGGCTCTGCCAAAAAAATCATCGTTTTTATGAATCTCGTACCTGCTACATCATGTCACAAGGACTTCATAAGTATGAATCTGATATTCATCTCGCCCGGTTGTCATTTCCATTTTTACTGACATGATAAGCAATCAGAGGCAGCTGCAGAAAGTTTAAGAAAAATTGGTACAGTTAAATACAACAATCACAATGCATAGACTTCAAGATCTTTTGCACTCCCAACTTTTTATTCTATTTTTCAATAAACATTTAATTAATTTATTTATTTTTATTGGAAAGTCAGATATACAGAGAGAAGAAAAGACAGAGAGAAAGATCTGTACACTGGTTTACTCCCCAAGTGGCTGCAACAGCCAGAACTGAACCAGTCTGAAGCCAGGAGTCAAGAGCTTCTTCTGGGTCTCCCACATGGGTACAGGGTCCCAAGGCTTTGGGCTATCCTCCACTGCTTTTCTAGGCCACAAGAAAGGAACTGAATGGGAAGTAGAGCAGCTAGGACACTAAGAGGCGCCCTGTGGGGTCCTGGTGGATGCAAGGTGAGGACTTTAGCCTCTAGGCTACTGCACTGGGCCCCTTCCATGCACTTTTTGAAGTGTCCTCACTTAATTTCGGGAACAGTAAGTGACAAAAGCAAAGATTGATTCCCTGCATGCCTGGCTCCAGTCCTCAAACTGAAAAGTAACTGTCGAGCTCTTGAAACTGTGTGTCCAGGGCTAGAACTGAAGAACTTCTACTCTTCTTTTTCATAGTAAGAGAAAGTGGTAGGAAGATCTCAGTTGGAGTCTATTCAAACGCCTGGTGTCTATGCAGATCAACACAGTATCTTTGATCCATTCTTCCTAGGAAATGATTTCAAGAACCACTAACCCCCATCCCAGAGTGATTCAACTTTCCCTTAGCATACCAGGTCTCAGTGGAACCAGAGAACCCAAACTAAGGCACTGATGTCCCTCTTGTTGTTCCCCAATGAAGGTGAGGATATGGAACCGCACTAAAGAAAATGCAGAGAAGTTTGTAGACACAGTGCAAGGGGAGGTACGGCTCTGCTCCTCGGTCCAGGAGGCTGTGACAGGTGCTGATGTGATCATCACTGTCACCATGGCAACAGAGCCCATTTTGTTTGGCAAATGGGTGAAGCCAGGAGCCCACATCAATGGTAAGTGCAGTGACTCTCCATGAGCCGTAGGTGAGTGGTGACCAGCTCCCTCCCCAGATGGCACTCAGGAGCTCAGCTGCAAAGGCTGGTTCACTCACTATGCAGCATAACCAAGACTTTTAAGGATCTTGAAAGAAGATTAGCCCTGAGGGGGGAAAAAATATTTGCTTCAAAAATCTAAAACAAAATTAGACATGAAACTAGCAAAAAAAAAAAGTATCCTATAAAAGGTAACACTATGGCAAATAATTAAGCATAGTTCAGTTAACACATGAAACATTCTATTTTTATGAAGTACTGTTGTGATGTTTTAGTCCATGTAGATATATGTTGCATAATGTTCAAATAATGGTAAGCATATCTCTCCAAACATTTGCCATTTTTTAGTAATTTAGGGGGGAAGAATTTCCACTGTTCTATGGCATTGAAGGGTGACTATAAAAAATAATAATGCATTGTATGTTTCAGAAAAGCTAGGAGAAAGGATTTTGAATGTTTTCACACCTCAGATAATAAATGTAATGAAGTTAAAACACAAAGGTCAAATTAATCACTTGAATTTTCTCAAAGTTTTTATTTACATTCATTCTATTTGAAAGAGATGGGTGAAAAGAGATGTTCCATCCACTGATTCACTCCCCCAGATGCTAACAACAGCCGAGAGCCTGGAGCCACATCTAGTTCTTCCTCTTGAGTACAATGACCCAAGTCTTTAGGCATCCTCATTTGCTGCCTCCCTTTGTGTACATTAACATCAAGCTGGATTGGATGCAGGGGACCTGGGACAGTGATAAGAGATTCAAGCATCTGACCAGCAGGTGTACCATTATATTAAACAACCCTCTCCTCTAATCATTTTTTTGGGGGGATCAGGACTATAAAACTTTCCAATGGGCTGGCATTGTGGTGTAGCCAGTGAAGCCACCACCTCTAGCACAGACATCCCATTATAGTTCATATCCTGGGACTCCACTTCCAATCCAGCCCCCTGCTAATGACCTGGGAAAGCAGTGAATGATTGCCCAGATGTTTGGCCCCTGCCATCCACATGGGAGTGCCAAATGAAGTTTCTGGCTCCTGGCTTTGGCCTGCCCCATCCCTGGCCATTGTAGTGCCATCTGAGGAATGAACAACAGATGGAAGATGGATTTCTCTTGTTCTCTCCCTCTCTCACTATAACCCTGTCTTAAAAAAAACAAAAACACAAAACAAAAACCCACTTAAAAAAATACAACACTAAAGACATTTCATGTGACATGTGGATGCTTTTTAAGATGTATGATGGGTTGGAAATCAGAGACAAGATTCTAAACATTGGAGTACCTTGTACCTCTGAAGCTCTAGGAGTTATAGCAATAGATATTGTTTATCAAATACTATTGAACTACTGGGTACAGCATCTTGTATATATTGTCTTGTAATCTTTACAACAAGCTTATAAGGTGAAAACTATACCCATTTCACAGGTGAGTAAACAAAGGCATGCAGAGATTAAGTAATTTACCCCAAGTCACAAGTTCTTAGAGGCAGCAGTGGAGTTTAAAGTGAAGCACTCAACTCTCAGATGCCATGTTCTCCAATAATCCTTGATATTATCTTCCAATTCTGGAGAGCAGAACAGGCAAAGATAAAGGATTTAAAGTCAGTATCAGAGGGCAGGCGTTGAGACACAACACTTAACATCCACTTGGGACACCCACTTCCAATACTGGAGTGCTTGAATTTGAGTCCCCACTGAACTCCCAATCCATCTTCCTGTTAATATGCACCCTAGGAGGCAGTAGGTAATTGCTGAAGTCCTTGGGTTCCTGCTACCCATGTGGCAGATTCTGGTTTCCTGGTTTCAGTCTGGCCCAGGGTAAATAAATAAAACTTAGATATTTATGTGCCATATTTTGGTTACAGGTACATGATGTGAACTCAGAAGTTAACTCTACATACATGGACAGATGAGTAGGCAAGAGCCCAATAAAATAACACTCATGTACTAACATCTGCTGAATCACTACCACATACCAGGCACAGGTCCAGAAGCTGAGATGCCGCAATAAACTGTGTACTCAAGGTCACTGATTTCCAGGCGATTACATCCTAGCAGAGGAAGATAAACAACAAATAAACACACACTAGATGGATATTTCTGACTAAAGATGAGACTTTAGAAGAAGTAAGGCACTATGTAAGACAGTCTGATAGTAGAAGGCAGAGTTATAAGGAAAGAGAAAGATCTGTCTCACTTCCCAAAGGGTTACAAGGGGCGAAGCTGGACCACTCTGACATCAGTTTCTTCTGGGTCTCCCACATGGTTGCAGGATCCCAAAGCCTTGAGTCCACCTCCATTGCCTTCCCAGGCCATTAGCAGGGAGCTTGATTGTAAGTGGAACAGCTGGGACTGAAACCAGCACTCATATGGGATGCTGGCCCCACAGGTAGAAGCCTATCTTACTACACCACAGCACTGATTCCTTTTTATGGGCTTTAAACTGCTTGCTGTTCTCTCCCAGCTTCTGTGATTTAGGAATGAGGAGTGAGAGATCCAGGTCCTAGCTTAGGCTCCTGGGGATGAAATCAGGTGCTGTACAGGCTGCAGTCTCATTTAGTGCTCCAGGTCCAGCTTCACCCACTGTGGAAGAATGAGCTGCTTACATCATAGGATGGAGGCCCTGTTTCCCAGGAGCTTCCCTCGGCTCCTGGGAACCTCCCACATTCTTCATCTTGTGGACACTTCTCCCTCTAAGCCTCCCTTAGGCCATGCCCGTCTCATAGTTTGAATCTCTCTCTGGGAAGAACTGGCTTGATTTTGAGGCAAGGCTTTCTACGACAGCTCCCTGGCCTAGGAACAAAACTGGTTTATATGTCCCCAGAGGGATCAGAAAAAGCCTAAAGTCGAGTGTTGCAAGAAGACAAGAGGACAACACCGACTGCAGAGTTTACTTAGTTTGCAGATCAAACTGAGAGGCAGGTGCAATTCCACTGTTCTCCTGCCTTTGCCCTCACAGTACACATCAACCAGTCCTCCAACCCCCCACTCCATCTCACTGCTAGTGAAGCAAGGCCGGAGCCCAGGCTGAGTCAGACCCTGCCGTTGCTGCCTGGTCTCCCTCCAGCTGCCTGAGTGGCCTCACCCAATCCTTTGAGTGGTGACTGTATGAGGGAAACAATGCAGTGCAGAGGGTTGGACTGAGAAACTGAGGTTTCCCCCCACCCCAATGGCTAATGATTATTTACAAGCTTCATTAGTTAAGGCTTTTGTTCACTAGAACTCCCCACACAAAATTTACCTTGAAGCTGGATGTTTTTACATCACTGTTTGAAAATCAGAAAGAGAACAGAAGAGGGACTAAATCGACAAAATTGGAATGTCGTGCAGGAAGGCATGCCAGTGCTGCTTAATATCTATCCAAGGCTTTATAGCTGTTTTCAAAGACTCACTCCCCGGATCTAGCCAGCATGTGTTCGGTTTGGACCATGGAGTGTGGTAGAAATCCAGAAGTAACACATGCCAGTATATTTCCTACTGTTTCTTCTTCTTCTTTTTAATACAAAAGAAACATTGGGATATCCATTCACAGCGGACATGCACTCACACATGGCAACAATTAGCTGGGACTGAACAATGGCGGTCCCCTTGTAAAGGTCCGCTTTCTTCTGTGCACCTCCTCACTCCTAACAATGCTCCAGCCAGTGGCTCTGGCCAACTTGGCTTCTCTTCCTTGCTTGCCTGGCTCTGCAGGCATTCTGTTGCAGCCGTCCCAGTGCCAGAAGGCCTGACATGCCGCATTCATCGCTCTGCTCCCGGGCTCCTCGGATTAGAGCGAGGTCAGGAAGGAGCCAGGTTTCTTCATACTGGGGTTTTACTGGCAACTTTGACGCCAGGCTCTTTAATCAGGAGTTGAGAGAAAAGTGGTCCGGAGGTGAGGAATGGGAATGACTGAAGAGAGAGCAAGCAGACAGAAGATGAGGAAGGTGGGGTGTGGATAAAGCCCCGATTCTCTCTAGAAGTTTTGCTAAGGAAGTTGTTGCCCTGGGAAAGACGTGAAAGCCAGAGTGTTCTCACTGATGTGATGCAAAAAAGTGTGAGGAAATGGAATTAAATGGGTTTTTTTTTTTTGGTACGCAGATTTTTTTAAATCCCTGCACTTCTTTTTCCATAATAAGGCATTTTCCATGACTTTTTTGGAGATGATTTATATGATTGAGTTCAATTTTCTTTTAATCAAAATACATTTACCTTTTAAAAAAATTGTTCTTTATCTGCAAACAAATTTATTTTTAGAGATCCTCAGTAATGGGTTATCACAATTTCTTTTTTCTTTGTGTTTGTGTGTGTGTCCGCACACATGCATGCACACACAGAGGATGGCTTAGCTCCTTGGGCATCTCCATTTCTTTCTTTTTTTTTTTAAGATTTACTTATTTTTATCAGAAAGGCAGATTTATATAGATAAAAGGGGATACAAAGATCCTGTGTCTGCTGGTTCACTCCCCAAATGGCTACATCAGCTGGAGCTACACTGATCCATAGCCAGGAAACTCTTTCAGGTCTCCCACACAGGTGCAGGGTCCCAAGGCTTTGGGCCATCCTCCACTGCCTTCCTAGGCTATAAGCAGGGAGCTGTTTGGGAAGTGAGGCAGCCAGGACACAAACTGGCACCCACATGGATCCTGGCACATGCAAGGCAAGGATTTAGCCACCAGTGCTGTCGAACTGGGCCTTGTTACAGCAGTTTCAAAGGAAAGAACTTCATTCTTCATCTTAGTTATTTTCCAATACACAGAAATTTTTATCTTTTAATTCCACTTTCCATGAACATTTTGAAGTGCTCTGATAACCTTGATGAGAATCTTCACTTCTGTGTTTCAATTTACACCTGATAAATGGAACTCAAACATTGAAGCATACTTGTGAGAACTATAAATAGTTCAAGCTAAACATCCCTCAGAGAGAAAGCACCCAATAAATGAATGCCAAGTCAGCTCAGATCTTTTAGGAATGAGAGAGGGCACAGAATGGATGAGACAATAAATAGCAAGTCTAATTCTTAATAAATATTCAGTCTTATTGATTAGAAGGGGCTTGGCCTGGGGACAGATGAGGAGTGCTTCAAATCTGGATCTCCCCATTGGTTCTCCCTCCTGTCCCCAAGGAGCCCTTCAGTTTCCCCTTCAGTGCTCAGAGTCTGTTTCGCTGTCCCATAGCCATCGGCGCCAGCAGGCCTGACTGGAGAGAACTGGACGATGAGCTCATGAAGCAGGCAGTGCTGTATGTGGATTCCCAGGAGGCTGCCCTGAAGGAGTCCGGCGATGTCCTCTTGTCTGGGGTGAGCTCCCTCTCACCTGTTGGGGTGTCATGAACTTCCCCTTTGCTTGGCCTGCCCCAGGCCTTGGTCACCAGACTGCTACATGAGGAAGAAACTATCTTACAACCCATTCCAGAAGAATGGCCATTATGGTCATAGCATGTGCCTTCCTGTCCTCTCAGCTTGGTGAGAGAAGCTTGGCAGATTTTTCTACTGGGCTAGTCACTAGGATAGTTGGATTTGGGCCAATCCAAAAACCTGCCCAGTATGGTTGGCACAGTAAGACTCTGGCCACCTCCTGGCTGCCTTTTTCTCTAATGAAATAAGCATATATGTGTTCAGATTAGAAACTGCATGTTCCTCATGGATGGACATAGAAGTGGCAAGGCAGCCTTTTAGGCACAGACTCGGGTCTCCTGGTTCATGCTATCACAAACACTGATGCTACTCAGAGAGGACTCTGGGGGCTAGTGGCGTGATATCATTCACTTCACAATTTATCCTTTTACGATTGCATTTGGGGACAACCTGTGCTGGCTGCAGAGGTGAATCCTGACTTTACCTTCATGCCTGGGTCAGTGTGTGTTTGTCTTGCAGGCTGAGATCTTCGCTGAGCTAGGAGAAGTGGTGAAGGGAGTAAAACCAGCCCACTGTGAGAAGACCACGGTGTTCAAGTCATTGGGTAAGAACCATCGCTCCCAGGACCCAAAGCCAACTAGAGCGGAGGAAGGTTTGCCTTTGGGGGAAAAAGAGATGAGTCATCAGGCCCTGTAGTTAAATCATCCATCCTTCCTTCTGGTCAATTATTCACATATCTTAGCATAGCAATTAAGCCCTTGAACCCTGGAATTGTGCAGTCCTGGGTTGGAATCCCTTCTCTCTACCAGACTGCATGTGTGTCCCTGGACAATGACCTGACCTCTGTGAATGAACCAGTTTCCTAACCACCTGTTACCTTGAGTTGTTTGGACAACCAAGATACAAATGCAAAATTATGTGTCAGCAGATCAGGTTTGTATCAAAATGAAATTCAGAAATACTGTCCTTCAAAGGTAGAGGGCAAAAAATAAAGGTAATAAAAGCAGGGAACAGGAGTGGTGGCACTGGGTGAGTTAGCCCACCATCCAAGTCAGAACGCTGGTTCAAGTTTGCCCAGTTGCACTTCTGATTCAGCTTCCTGTAATGGACCTTGGAGGCAGCAGACGATGGCTCAAGTACTTGGGGCCCTACTACCCATTTGGAAGACCTGGATGGAGCTTCTGGCTCCTGGTTTCTGTCTGGCCCAGCTCTAGTCATTGTAGCCATTTGAGAAGTGAACCAGTGAGAAGATACCAGTCTTTCTCCCCTACCTTTCAAGTAGATGAAATAAACAAACATGTGGCAAAGAGGTGAAAAGAAGTTTAAGGGAAATGTCAGAGATCCAGCCTGCATGAAATTCAGCAGGAAATACGATCTGAGACAACTTCATTCTCTTCTTCCCTACCTTCCCACTTGCTGCTTCAAGGGGGTTTCAGTAGGACATTCCGTTCCACCTGAGCTGAAGTGGTTAGAAGTCCAGCAAAGGGTGGGCTCCCAGTGGCCTGCCTGCCCCTTGACTCAGCTTTCTCATTTTCCTAGATTTAAGGAGACAGAAGCGCATGGAAACAGGTTGTAGTCATTGCTACACCTAAAAATGTTGAGGTACTCCTATATTTGTTGGCCAATAGCTGCTACCCTGAGCACCTGGCAAGTGCGTTCTCTCTCTCTCCCCAGACTCTCCACGCTTCACAGCTAAGAAAACTGAAAGATCTGACATGAACATTGATAGTGTTATGCCACTTCATTCCACCCCCAGCAATCATACCTTGCAGGCTGTTAAATATTTTAAGGTTGCTCATGCACTGGAACACAGAAATAAGCAAAGGCAGGGTGAACTTTGCCCAGGGTCTGGCTCGGAAGCATTACCCTGATCCAGTTCTGTCTGAATGTTTCAGAGTTCACACCAGATCAGATATCATCCAACCCATCTGGTCCATGAAATCCCCAGTTTCTAATTCTGTGGCTATTTCAGCAACGTGATATTATTTCAAAACTTCTATAATCTGTATTGTTGCTCAATTTAAATTTCTACAGGTGCCTTGTAAATAGGCCAGTGGAACACACATTGCTTCTGAAATCTGCCCTCCCCTTTTGAGCAGTTTTTCTTCTCATCTTTGGAAATTGGGACATCCTTTCATTTAGCAGATGCATGTGAAGCACCATTGGGTATCTACACTGGGTGCAAAGGTGAAGGTCCATCTCCCAACCTATAGTTCGAGTATCCCTTATCCCCAAAACCTTAAGGCCAAAAGTATTTCAGATTTTGGAATATTTGCACCAGGTTATCTCTAGTCTAAAATCTGAGATCTGAAATGCTCTGAAACCCAAAACTCCTGGAGTATATCAGCATTCAAAAAGTTTCAGACTTCAGAGCATTTTGTGTCCAGAATTTCCACAGGAGGGACACTTGTACTAAGACAAAAGGAAAGATGTTAAAGAAAGTAAATTTTGAACTGGGTCAGGAGGTCATGAAACTTTCAGTAGTTGAACAGTAAGTATTTTAGGCTTTATAGTCATATAATCTATATTACAATTACTCAGTTCTGCCCAAATAGTGCAGAAGTGGCTTCATGTTTGCCCTGCTCCAAGTATCCAGCTGGGTTCCAATAAAACTTCATTTTGGAAACTGATGTTTGAATTTCAGATAATTTCCATTCATTTTTAAAAATCACTTGAAAATGTAAACTCCATTTCTAGCTCAAAGGTCATGCAAAAATAGGTGTTGAGCTGGCTTTTGCCATCATGCTGTAGTTTGCCAACCCCTGGCCAAGTCTAAACCTTACTTCCTTTAGCAGCCTTGAAAGAAACACCATTTTCTGAATGGGTTTCTCTTGTTTCATAGCATAATCCCTTTGCTGACCTTCCAAGACTGACCTTTGCTGACCTTCCAAGACTGAGCTTACTCTTAAGTACCAATCCCCTATTATCCTATGGGCACTAACAACAAAAATAACATATCTGAAAACTTCCAGTCTTGGGACCTGGGTTGTTTCAGGGAGAAATTGTACTGATAAATTGTGCTGTCAACGGTATTTCTGTCCTTTCCAGGAATGGCAGTGGAAGACATGGTTGCAGCCAAACTAGTGTATGACTCCTGGTCATCTGCTAAGTAAAGCAAAGAACTCTGTGTCGTGGCGCATGTACTGCAGCTCAAGGGATGTTGCCATTTGGTAATCTCATCATTTCTAGATCAAATGGGGGAGTCCAGGCCCCAGTGAATTCTAATGTTGTGCTTATGTCTAACCCTAAATACTGAAATCCTCCTCTTTGTTTGTGGCTGGAGAACAAAACTGAGTAACCATCCCTCCAGTTATAACATCTCTTTTCCTTGTTCTTCACTACCCTTGGTACTTCCCTGTAATAAAGTGTTTTTCTGATTCTGTAGTGCTTGCTCCACTAACTTCTGTTCTTTGTGGCTAGGGCTTGGCGTGATGGATATTTTAAACTTTTTTTTTAATGGAGGTACAGCTTACATGCCATAAGATCACCATTTCAGAGAATAATTCAGTGGTTTTTAGTGCATGCACCGAATTACAACTACCATCATTCTCCAATTCTGGAACATTTTCATTACCCAAAAAGGAACCTGATGTTCATTAACAATCATTATCCATTAATCCCTTATCTCAATCCCTGGAAACCACTAAACTACTTCCTACAACTATAGATTTGTCTGTTCTGGACCTTTCTTATATATGGAATGATACATTATATAGGCTTCCTAAAATATAAAGGAACAAGCCTCTATATGGGTCAGGTCCTCTTGGGTCACAAGTGGTAGAGATCACAACCCAAACCACCGTAAGATGAATGAATAAATGAATGAGAGATTGAGTGAGGAGTGGAATATGTTGGCACTTGTAATCAACCAGTACCCAGGTACCAGGTTTCAGCTGTAGTTGTGTCCGGGGGTGTCAAGTGTCATCAGGACCCAGCATTATTCCTCCTTCCCCTGGGTTCTGGTTTCTTTAGCTTTGGATTCATTATCAAGCAGATTCTCCCCTGCTGAAGCAGGACACATGCCAGCAGTCCCTGAACTATATATCCTGCTTTCTTTAACACCTCACATAAATATGCTTTATCCACAGTTAGAAGACTCACTGAATCACCTAGGTCATGTACCCATTCCTGAGCCTGACACCACAGCTGAAAGGAATGGAATACTGCTTGCTCTTCTCAGACATGTGCCTGCCACTAAACCATTGTGTTGTCCAGGGGTGGGGATGGGGAGGATTTGATGTTATCCAGGCTTAGTTCACATGCCCATCCTTGAAGTGAGGAGTAGAATCAAGGAGTCTTTTACCCTCAAGAGGGAAGACAAAATCTACAAACGACCACTAGGAAATCTGTCTTGCAAACGCCAGCAGGACTTCCAGCCTCTACCTTCTCAATATACAGATGGGAAATCTGAGTTGCAAAGATGCTGTTTTCTGAATCATTGGTAGAATTACATTGTCTTGTCCTTCCAGGAGACCCTGTCCAAATTTGGCACCTACTTCACCCCAGACTGGCCACCAAATAAATCAGTAGCAAAATAAGACATGTTAGTTTGCTTTATTTTCCTATTCATACTCCTCCTGGCAGGGCCTGTCCATGTTCCAGTTGGCTTAGCCAAAAACATGAGTTTGTCTGGCAATCTAGACAGGGACCTTTGTGTTGAAATAAAGTACTCACCTGGGGTGAGCCTTTGCCCTAGCTCTTAAGTCTCTGATAAGAAGGCCCTTAGCCTACGTTGTAGTGCCTGGGTTTAACCAGATTCCAGCTTCTAATTCCAGCTTCCTGGCAGTGCAGACCTAGGGAGGTGGTGACGATGGATCAAGTGGTTATTGCCATCTACAGGACAGATCTGGATTGAGTTTCTAGCTCCTGGCTTCCACTCTGGCCATTTAGATTTGCTGGATAGGAACTCTGTTAAATAAAAAGCAAAAAAGAAGAGGAAAAAAAATACCACATGATCTAATTGTGCACACAACATGAGAGTTTCTGAAGATATGTGTAGAAAAGAGTGTATGATGAGGGAAATGTTCATTGATTAATTTCTTCCTTTGTTCTGTCCACAAATGCCCCTGTCCTAAAATTGTGTTAGTCTGCTAAGATACAACTGTAAAGAAGTAGGCTTCAACCACTTGAAGAACACACAGTCCAGATGGGAAGAGTGAATATGCTAATTACACTACATTTTCAGGAACAGGGTGTCTGCAGGAAATAGATGACACAGACAGCATGATTGAAGAGAACTTAATGAAGATTAGAAAATAGCACCCTGAGACTAGTAACAGTAGGAAGCTGCTGCCACTGCTAAGCTTGAAAGCACAGCACATGGATGATAGCAACTACAGAAGCTGTAGCAGTGGCTGCCAGACAGCAGCTGAGGGAAGGCAGGTATTTTCCCACAAGAAAGAATCCACAAGAGTAAGGGAGCTCAGTGATGTGACTGAGCCAACCATCTGAGGGACGGAGTGAGGGAGAGGTGTAAAATAGCAAGAGAGGAGATCTGGAGGGGCAAACAGAAGACAACCTGAATAGCTGGAAAGACTTCTCCATCCAAACTACTGGTATAAAGAAGGGGTGAGTCTTAATGATACTTAAAAGATGCTCTCTTGACAGAGAAGAGGAATAGCACCCACCAAAACCAAAGGCAAATGTGGAGAACATTCCAGTAAAATAACAATGGAAGACTAAATCAATTAACAACCCATTGCTAAAATGACAGGACCAAATTACATCTCATCCAAATTAACCCTTAATGTAAACGGCTTAAACTCATCAATCAAATGTCATAGAGTATTAGACTGGATTAAAAAAAAACAAAACCCATCTATTTATTGCCTAAATTTTCTTTTGGGCCCTTTTTGTTGCCACTTAATTTGAAAGATTTAAAATTGTAGAACATGTATAAACTTTTTTATAGCATTATATAAGCCTTTATAACATTATAAAAGCCTTTTTTATAACAATGCTGTCTGATGAAAGTGCTATCTCTTCAGTGTTATGAAGTTGGGACAACTTTTACTTATTAATTCTGTAAATTTGAAGAGGCCTAGAAGAACATAAAAGTGTCTGATGGGACCCACAGGGACCTCCTATAACAGTAAATATCTCCCCTCCAAGGGGTTAAGTTACATAGTCAGGCTTATTTCTCCCAAGTTAACTGATTATTCTCTCCTTGTTATGTAACTTGAAGTGGGAAATGGTACCTCATCAGAAAGATTCTGGGGATTATATGGAGGGGCCAGTCCTGACACCTACAATAATGAGATAAAACAGAAGCAGTGTAGACGATCCTGAATGCTTGCTATCGGCCCAGCTGCTTTTGTGCACGTTGCTCAAGACAAATACAACTTTGAGTTGATCCCAGACCAATTAACCAGAGTATCTGTAAATATAATTATCTCCCAATGCAACACATTTAGTCAATGAGTTACAAGCTTTCTGAATTCATCCATTTGGGGAAACCTGGGCCAATTATGCATCACATTTGAGCCCTTGGATCCTCCCTGAACTTACTTCTTTAGTGCCTCTTGGAGCCCACAAAAGTGTGCCAAAGATAAACAGCTGTTTCTATCTTATATACACAATCACTAGTAAATTCCAATGAGGTAAGCCTGGCCATAAAAATCCAGTGAAGCTTAGATATTCAGCAAGGTTTCAGTTTGAAATTGGGATTGCCATTCAAACCCAGGTTGGCTGCATCCAGCTATACTATGTCCAGTTTATGCTGTAGAAACTAACACATCTTCAGACATGCAGCAATGGTGATAAATAACAGTAAAAGATACATGCACAATATACGCATGGAAATGTCAGACTTTACCTTTATCAGCAAATTTCTCTCTACAATAAGCCTAGATTTTCTTCCCCCCTTTTTAAGTTGCAAGTGTCAACCCTAGAAAAGGCATTAGGTAACATTATTTTTTTCCATTTCTGTTTTCTCTTCCCCTGCCTTCTTGCATAGGAACCACAATTCTCTGCTACGGTTACCAGGACAAAACACCTCAGAAGGAGTGGTTCAAACTAGATATTATTTTTTTTTTCTTCACAGCTCTGGAGGCTGGAGGTCTGAGACTGAGACGGTATCAGGCTTGGTTTTTCCTGGGGCCTCTCTCCTTCACATGCAGATGGCCACTATGAGATGGTGTTGTGTCCTCACAACATGCATCCTTCCGTGTCAACATGCATCCTTAGCATCGTTTTCTTTTCTTATATGGACACCAAGTACATGAGATTATGGACCCATCCTTAGGATCTCATTTATTCTTAATCACCTATTTAAAGGCCCTCTCCAAAAACAGTTACATTGATGAATTAAGTCCACTTTGTTGGTACGATTCAGTTTCTGATAGGTGCCTTATATTTTCTTTCTTTACTCTTCCAACCTGCCATACGGCCTCTCAGCTAGGAGTATGACAGACCCACTTCCAATATTTGCGAGCGTGTAAAAGTCTGTTAAATGGTTAGATTGATTGTTTCTCGGCCTTTTGGCTAAGATCAAGTGTAGTAAAAGGTTAGATGCACTGAAGTGGGGCATCAAGCCTCAGGCCGATGCCTCCATTGAAATTGCAGTCTCCACCATCAGATAAAGTCATAGAGCCAACAGCAGAACCATAGTTAGAACCCCAGCCTATCACGACTAGAAAGTAAGCAGCATACAAGTATGATGAGAGATTGTACACTTAAACCCAAATTTAGAAAAGTAAAGAAAGCTTCTTTCCCCTTTCTGTCATCCATTTGACCCTTTCTTCATCCACACACATCAAAAAGACAATTGGAGAAAAACGCCATTTTCTTGTTCATAGGTCATCTTTAGTGTCTGGATAATGGTTTATTTGGATGGGGTACAGAGAATTTCCCAGACAAAATTTGGACTTCTTTCTGGGGTAGGCATCTCTAAAACCCTAGGAGCCATTCCCAATGGTCTGGCATGGAGTAGAGAAGGGACGCTGCCTGGAGTGCTTCTCAATGATGCGAGCTCACTCTGTGGACCCACCCCTCTCCATCAGAGACTGGTGTCAACCAGCTGCCCAGGCTGTTGCAGTACTTGCTTCCTTCTATTTATGGCATTAAGAACTTTCTTCCTGGGACCCAAGTGCATTTGGATGTTTTGAAGATCCTCGTCAGAGCAAAGCAATAGAGCTTCTAGATCGATCTCCTCTCTCATCAAGATGGGGAGGACTTCTTCCAGATGATGGGACTGCAGGAACACTTCCAGGGGAGTGGCGTTCGCCACGTCCTCTTCCCACTCCACTTCAGCATCATCCCAGGGCAGGTCATCTTCGGGCCTGATGTCCTCTCCCTCTTCATCAGCCTCAGCTTCATCAGCCTCTGCTTCTCCTCTCTGAAGCAATTCCACAGGCATTTGGAATCCCAACTCCCTCTTTCTCTCTGAGACATCTTCAAGGCTTGATGCTCTGTTTCCTTGAAAAATGATGTTTCCTAGACCTGGACGATTGAGAATGGATTCATGTTGCCCACTGCTGCCTTCCTCTGCTGAGATCTGGAGCTTCTCTCTGAAGTCCTCTAAGAATGAGTTTTCTTCCTCTTCTCTGAACACTTCCATCACGTTCCTCTGCCCAATTCTATTTTCCTTTTCCATCTTTTCTGCTGTGTCTTTGTTCTTCTTAAACTTTAACTTGAAAGTGTCTTTAATGCCCTTAGACAGTGACCCGAATGTACTGGAGGCAGAAGCACTTGAAAAAGATGCGTCGGAGAAGGTGCCCTTGGATGTAGAGAGGGTCCCAGATTCTTCCTTGCTGTAGGAACGGGCCATCTTATGTTGGTGCTTCTCTTGGAGCCTTTCGCACTCTTTGATCTGCTTCCTGGCATTCTTCTGAGCTTGCTCCTTCAGCCTTGTGACCCTCTTGGGGTTTATGCTATTCTGGGTAGTGGCAGCATTATCTAGGAGGGCCACACATTCATTCTGCTCCCTGCTGGCAGCAGCATCCAGTGGAGACTGTAAGTCATTATCCAGGGCAAAGATGTTGGCCCCAAACTTGATGAGGAATGAGACACAGTGGGCATGGCCGTTGGAAGCTGCATAATGGAGAGGAGTATTTCCCCAGATATCACATCTATCAGGATCCCCTCTAGAAGACAGAATAGAAAAACATATTAAGCCTTTTTTTTTCTGTCCTCTGAAAATGAGATGTAAAACAAAACAAAACAAAACAAAAAAGAACAAAATGCATACTGATGTAACCATGTCTCTACTGCCTTGACAATAAGTCAGATGTTGTGAATCCAAAAATGTCACATCAAGATATCACATGTCCAGAAACAGGAAAAAAAAAATCTACTCTGTATCTCTTTTTTAGGAGAAAATCTTTCCAAGAAATTCCCTAGCATAATAATTTCTATGCTTCCTTGGCCAGAATTGGGTCATATGCCTAAAGAAAGGGAAATACAGTACCATATGTAACTTCAATTAGAATTACCCCTGAATCTAAGCATAAGATTTTTCCATGGTGGGTGGGTAACTTTTTAACAACTAACTCATCCAAGAAACTTAATCAAAGGTTTGTTTTTATATCATGTGGCAGTTTCTATTGTATAAATCCTGTCATCATGTCAAATTTCAAGCTACCAATATTTGGATGCAGAGTTTGGAAGACATGTGCATTTGTATGTTTTTTGAATTACCGAGGGAAGGGCTTTTGGTCTGGTAATCAAGATGTGAGTTAGGAACCCATGTTCCACATTTGTATCTGGATTCACCACTCAACTCCACACATTCACTCTGGCTTCCTACTGTTGTAGACATTGGGAAACATCCGTGATGGATCAAGTAACTGGTTCCCTGATGCCCATAGGGAAAACCTGGATGGAATTCCTGGTTCTGGCTTTTGCTTTAGCAAGTTTTTGTAGGCATTTGGGAAGAGAAATTGGGTGGGTGAAAGCTCTTCCTCTGCCCATATCTCTCTACATCTCAAATAAACAAATACTTTTTAAGAATTGTTTCCACCATAAAGATATTCAACAGGTATTACTACTCTTCAGAGATAATGGTAAAATGTGGTAAACTAATTAGGAAGTAATGAGTTTCAAGTGTTCTTTTTAATATAATTTATTACAGATATATATGTAATTTTGTTTCTAATAATCACTGTTTAACTTCCTCCAAACTTCCCCCTAAAAAAGTTGTACTTAATTTCTCCTAAGCTAATAAGAGGTGACCCCACCATACTGTAGCTAACTTCCTCTGAGTTATTTGTACGAAAGTAAATACCTGAACAAAACTGTGTACTCATCAGCAAGAAAAAAAAGAATAGATGCTGGGTTCATGGGAAACAGTTCCTGTTATAACCATTATTTATAGAAAGGATAAAACACTTCCCTTTATTCCTCATCTTAATTCCAGTACCATGTACATGATTTGTAAAATGAGTGTTTACTGGAAACCGTGCTTCCAAGATATCAGCCTCGCTCTCCTGGGAGAGTGCAGACTCCAGGGAAAGACACAAGAGAGAAACTGAGAAGTCTTCTTAACGTTTCTGGAGAAAGGACGATAGAAACCGAAGAATAGGTCTACACGCTTGTAACTGACCTGATGATGTACTATATAATCCCCTCTACTCCTTGCTACTCAAAGGTTGGCTCCTGGACCAGTAGCAACAGCAGTAGTATTACCTGTGAGCTAGTTAGAAATGTACTATCTGCCATTCCAACCAAGACCTACTGATATCAGAATCTAGAGTTTAGCAAGATCCCTGGATGATTTTTAGACTTGCTACAAATTGAGAAGAGCTGCAACCTCTCATTGCATGAAAACAGTTTGTAACCCCTCCTGCCTCAAGCTTTTCAATTGTAAAGCACTTTCACACTCATTGTCCACCACCAGTGTCCACCAAAATCCCCCAACTTAAAGAGGACAAGGATAATTATCACAGGAGTAAAGCAAGACTTGAGACCATTATGCATTTGTCAAGGGTGTGATGCCAACAGACGTAACACTTGGGTCTTCAAGTCTAATTGTCTCCAACACAGCCCATCACCTTAGCTTAACACATTTTAATTTTTCCCACTTTACCAGCTACAATGCTTCAAGCTTAAATGAACTTTTCTAGGATTTCTGGTCTGTAAATAGAGAATAAAAATACTACCTAAAGAGTTGCAGTGTTAACTAAGTAACTTAATAGGCACAAAGCATTCGAAAAACGATGCATAGTGAGTTGTATAGAAACATTTGTTGTTAGCATTTCCATTGCATCTAAATTTATAATCCTTAAATTCAGATATTTTTGTCCTCATATCCATCTAGTAAATTTTTGCAGCACAATAACCCTTCAGTGTGAATGTCAAATCTTTATGCTTGGTCTCCCTCGTTAGATAATAATTCCCTGAAGGCAAAGTCTAGGTCTCCTTCTTTGTGTCACCTATCATTAGCTGGTCTCAAACCCAGCCCAAAGAAACAAATTAGATACTCAAAGTGACTGAATGGGGCCAACTTTGTTCTTCCCTCAAAGTCATGGTGAAGTGTGTGTTCTGTGTGGAAAGCACAGTAGGAGCGCCCTGTCTCTGATGCTACTTTAAATGAAAGCAGATACAATATTCCCGGAGAGTCCATTTTTTTTTTTTTCAAGCAAAGCCTCGGATGTGGAATTTCACGTGTAATTTTTTTTTTAAGTGTTGGCTCAAATTTGAAAGAAAAATAACAGTGAAGTCCAAATAAAACACATTTGTGGGCTAGATCCAACTGGCAAGTTGGCAATTGGCAATCCCCTTCTGTGCAGAGAGTACAGCATGCGAGCAGATGCGTGCATAGAGCGAATATCACAGGCCACGCTTGGGGAACTAGGAATCTGTTACCATGTCTAGTGTGCATGGAGCTGGGGGCAAGAACAAGGTAAGGAAATAAAGTGAAATGGAATCTAAGGAAAGTAAATATTAAATAACCCAGCTTTGCTGGCAGCCCCTCTCAAGATGGCTCTGATCAGGCAGTGTGACTGAGCAGCTCCACCCTGAAGACACCCTTTTCAGAGCTAGCACAGTCAAGCAACTTAGGGGAGCACAATGCCTCACCCTGTCCCCAAACATGTGATTTCACTTTATTTGTTTTAATCAAACACCAGATTCAAAAGACTCCTTAAGTACAATAATCACAAAAGGGATTATATAAAACATCCAAGATGGCACTACAAACAGAAACCAAAACCAGACTGATTAAATTTGCCTGTAATAACCCCTAGATTGAAGAAAGTTAAAAAGGAAATTATTGGGAGGCGTGACTGTAGCAGTGGTATGACAAGGTATTAAATCAATTGCTTAAGGTCATAGAATAGTAGAAGTTTGCCAACTCTATGGATCTCAAGAAAGGAGGGATGGCATGGACAAAACCTGCGAGGATCCCAAAAGGTATGTCTTTTGAGAAAATGTCAGTGCAAAATTCTACATTTGCTGATTTCCCTACTACTTTTAAGCTGTTTCTACATATCAATAATCCTTTTTTTACAGACAACTTTCCAAGTTTATGTATAGCATAATTTTAAATATTTTCTACTGACACATTTCGTGGGGTCCCTCTGAATTCTGTCCCTGTTTACCGTTCAAATGAACATCTGCCCAGACAGTCTCACAATCGGCATCTGGCAATCTGCAGCCAACACTGATGTTCTGGGGTTTCCTTGGGTGATGCTGAATCCAAGCGTTGACTTTTTTTTTTTTTTCCCAAAGAGAAATTCACTGGGGAGATTTTTAAATAATTGGTAGATTAGTGCACTTGAGCAATGCTTTTAAAGCTGGGTTGGTGTTATTGCAACTAAATACACAATCAGCTTAAATCAAATTACTCCAAGCTTCTGTTCTATTCCAATTTCTTCTTCTGAAGTTGAATTGATTTTTTGGGGGAAGTTCTCAGAAAACGAGTGTTTTTTCAAAAGTGTTTTTCTCTACATAAAAAGGAATTAGTTGGACTAGTATCAAAAAATGGCAAATTAAATGATATGTTTCTTTTTGCCTATTTGACAGGCAATAAAATAAAATAATAATACTTAATTGGATAGGAGTGTAAAGAAAGAACTATCACTGGAGGAAGAATGATCCAATTTCCTTGTATAATATGTGCCATAAGTCTTTAAAACATGGCACCCTTGTAAATCAACAAATTCAAGTTTTCATATCAACAAATTCCTAACTTCAAGAAATTATCCTAAAGAAACATCTGATCCTTGGGTAAAGATTGGTAAGTAGAAATGTTCATTCCAACTTGACTTATAACCATTATGTCAAAATAAAATGAATCAATGGGCCCGGCACAATAGTATAGTAGTTAAAGTCCTCGCCTTGAATGCGCCAAGATCCCATATGGGGGCTGGTTCTAATCCCAGTGGCCCTGCTTCCCATTCAGCTCTTTGCTTGTGGCCTAGGAAAGCAGTCGAGGACGGTTCAAAGCCTTGGGACCCTGCACCCGCGTGGGAGACCTAGAAGAGCTCCTGGCTCCCGGCTTTGGATCAGCACAGTACCGGCCGTTGCGCTCACTCGGGGAGTGAATCTCGGATGGAAGATATTTCTCTGTCTCTCCTCCTCTCTGTATATCCGCCTTTCCAATAAAAATAAAATAAATCTTTAAAAAAAATGAGTCCATGGGCTTGGCAATATGGGAACTAATTTCTATCCTAGATGCTCAACTTCCAACCCAACTCCCTGCTAATGATTTGGGAAAAGCAGTGGATGAAGGCTCAATACTTAACCCTTGCCACTAATACAGAAGACTCTGATGAAACTGAAGGCTCTTGTTTTCATCCTGGCTCAACCCTGACTGCTGGGTCACTTGGGAAGTGAATTAAAAGATGCAAGATCTCTCTCGCGCGCTCGTGCTCTCTTTTTCTCTCAATTCCAATATCTCCCCACCCTCTTTTTTTTTATACCTTCACATAAATAAGTAAATATTTAAGAAATAACTAAATAAAATGGGCCCAAATAAAATATATGTGTAGGCACTGAATAAATCATGGAATCACTATTAAGCACCTATCAATGAATGACTAGATAAAGAAAATATATCACACACAGCAGCATGCAATTCAGCCTCAAAATTAGGGAGACTCTGTCATTTATATGGATAAGCCTGGAGGATGTTGTGTTAAATAAAATAAGCCAGGCACAGGAAATAAAATACTGCTTGATCTCACTAGGACAGATTCTAAAAATGTTGAACTCATAGAACTAGGGAGGGCAAGGAGTTACAGAAGTGTTCAAGGAGACGAAATTTCAGTTAGGAGGAAAAAGAGATCTATTGTACATATGGTGACTCTTGGTAATAACAAAGCATCATACAGTATTTTTTCCATACACATACAGACACAAAAGATAGCTATGTGATGCCATATAAATGCTAATTTGCTTGATTGAGCCATTCTGCAATAAATACTTCTAATCATAATCTATATCATAATACATACTATTTTTTATTTGCCATTTAAAAAGTGATCAAACTATAAGTCATCATGTCATGAGTCACTGAAATAGTGGAATATATCTCAACTTTTCAAATGGATTGTAATATATTGTTTAAAAAAAATTGGAAGGTTTCGGCACTGGTTGTATGACTTTTAAAAAACAAAGTTACATGTCTGCTGTGTCCTCAAAATAAGTCCTGAAGGATCTATAGATGATCCCTAATTTGTGATGGCTCTGTTTAACAATTTTTTGACTTTCCATTGATGCAAAAGTGATACACAAACTCATTAGAAACTGCATTTCAAATGCTCATCTCTGCCCTGGCTAGCAAAATGCCAACAGGATACTCTATAGAGTCTGGGTAGTCCCTGTAGCAACAGCGACTCTCAGCTGTGTGACCGTGACGGTAAACAACAGTGCCTTGTGTTGCTAAGCTGTGATGCCCGGCTGGAAAATGACAAGTGCTATGAGCCATGGAGCATCTACACCGTGTATCCGTAAGTTAATGACTGTAAGAACGGGCGTGTGATTTTTTTTTTTCTTTTCATGACAGATATACTGCCAGTCTGATGTGAAATGTTACAGTAAATCTATACTCCCTTAGGAATCAGAGAGAAATAAAAGTTACATCCTTTTTAGAAAATAAAACTAAACAAAACTCAAACACAGGCAGGGGTAATTGAGAATTCCAGTGTAATGAATGCTTTCTGTCCTTAAATTTTAGAAGAAAATGTTTTCTCAAAGCTGAGCTTGGGTACTACAAGTTAACATAATTAGTTAACTAATTTTAAACATATAATCAGATGGAAATGAATAGATTCCAAATTAATTTTTTTCTTCTTTAACCCCCTTTAGTCTAATTAGTACTTAGATTTCACATTTTCCCGAACAACTGGCTATGATCAAAATGGGAGGTAGGGCACAGGCAGCCTAGAAATTAAGATGCCAGTGTCTCACATCTGAATGGGTGAGTTCAACTCCAGCTCTAATTCCATATGCCAGCTTTTTGCTAATGTAGATCCTGGCAAGCAGTGGTGGTGGTTTAACTCATAGATGAGTTCTTAACTTCTTGCCCCATCCTGCTCTGGTCTCACCTGTTTTGGGCATTTGGAGAATAAACCAATGGATGGAAACTCACTGTTTCTTTCTCCCTCTCTTTCAGTTTCTCTCGCTTCCTCCTTCCCTCTCAATAACTTTTCAAAATGGAAAGTAATATGAAAACACATTTTTGACCCATACCAGGCCAATTTAACACAGTGTATCTTAAATGCTTCTGTATATGGAAATTAAATCTAGAATATACTGGAATCCATGAGAAGACAAATGAAAGACTGAAAAATACAGGGTGAGAAGAATTTTTGTGCCCATAGCTAGATAGATATAAAGAAAAATGGGCTTGCTTATGCTATCACATTGAAAGAAATCACATGACTATGTCCAACTAGTGAAGAAACAGATGGACTAGATACAACAAATTACAGAGATAAATACCTAAAAATGTGCTAAAGAAAATGTTAGTAGGGAGGCTGGCATTGTGATGTGCCAGGTAAAACCAGAGCCTATGCTGCTGTACTTCCACATGGGCACCAATTCATATCCTGGTTGCTCCATTTCCAATCTAGTTCCCTGCTAATGGCAGGGAAAAAACAGCAGAAGATGGCCCAAGACCATAGGCTCCTGCAACATACATGGGAGACCCAGGTGGAGTTTCAGGCCCCTGGTTTCCACCTGGTCCAGCCCTGGCCATTGCAGCCATCTGTGAAGTGAAACAGCAATGGAAGATCTCTCTCTTTATCTCTCCTTTTGTCTCTGATCTTTCAAATAAATAAATGAATAATGTTTTTTTAAAAAGTCAATTTTAGTCTTGATAGCAACATTAGAATTATATGGCCAAGATCGGTAGATTTATATGTATTATCTTCAGGTTTTTTTTTTTTTTCCTAATTATATGCCCTACCTCCCATTTTAATCATAGCCAGTTTTTAGGGAACATCTGAATTAGACTGAAGGTAACTAAAAGAAGAAAGGATATTAACTTTGAAAAGAATTTTTATAAATCAATGAGAAATGCTGAAGATTCCAATATAAAAGCGGAATAAGGTTGCCCATAAACAGGTTACAAATATGGAACCACAACATCCATTAAGCACAAAATGAATTCCCAATCTCACCAGTAACCAAAGAAGAGAAAACTAAAGTCACTCAGATGTATGATTTTGTGCCTATCATGTTGGCAAAATGAGTACCTATGTTGTGAAGCACAATTTGCCAATTTCAATCAGTCTTTAAATTGAGCACTTGCTTCTGTGGTTTGCTTGTTTGTATCCTCTCTGAAATGCATGCTGAAATTCAGTCTTCAAAGCAATAGTGTAAGGAGGTATTACCTTCAGGAGGTGCGTGATTGACAAAGGCTCCACCCTCATGAATAGGACCAGGTACCCTAGTAAAAGGGCTTGACGGAGGGAATTTTCCGTGTCCTCCCCTCTCCTTCCTTTCTGGCTGGTGAGAACACAGCATTCCTCCCATCGGGAGAAGGAACAAAGCACAGTCTAGGCTCTCATCAGACGACGGAAAGTGATACAGCCTTAGTCTTGCACCTCTACGTTTCTTTGCTTTGTTAAGTTATCCCATTCAGAGTGTGTGTGTGTGTGTGTGTGTGTGTGTGTGCACTTTTAGAGCAGCTCAAACAGACTGAGATGCATGCCAGCTGACCCAGAAACTTCACTTGAGAGAACTGAGTCTCAAAAAAGTATGAGAAGGGCCTGGCACAATTATAATGCCTAGTGACTGAAGTCCTCACCTTGCACACGCCGGGATCACACAGGGATGCTGGTTCTTGTCCTGGCCGCCCCGCCTCCCATCCAGCTCCCTGCTTGTGGCCTGGGAAGGGAGTGAATCAGCAGACGGAAGATCTTCCTATCTGTCCCTCCTCCTCTGTGTATATCTGACTTTCCAATAAAAAAAAAAGTATAAATCTTTTAAGAAAATGTATGAGAAAATGTTTATATTGAATGCTCATCATAGCACTTTTCAAGCTCGGATAAAGCAAGTATATGTACATCAGGGGGAATGACTAAGAAATGTATTTATTGACTTAGAATACTAAGCTTTTGACATTCATATTAGAAGTGTTGATGTACATATTGACACACGTATATCATATACACTGCATCTACAATAAATGTGGTAATCACATATAACATATAAATGTTAATTTCATAGCATTACAGGACTTTTGTTCCTTTATATTTGTTTACATACATGTGGCTTAATTTTCTGGGTCAGCGTCTTTTTCTGGTCCTCCACAAGGGCCTCAAATCTCCCAGGCCTGAGTTCTCACTATTATAAAAGTGCCCCATTCTTCAACAGAGTGTCAGCACCCACAAGTCGACCACGTCAGAACCTGGGGGCCTTGACCTTCCCCTTTTATTACCTGCACATACCAGTCAATCCTTGGTTCCGCATCCAAACTGCCACTCCAATCCAGCCACGCCTCCTCATTCCCACTGACACTGACATAGTCAGTCATTTCATCTCTACCGTTAAAACAGCCCCTGGACACATTCTCCCTCATTACAACTCCCTGGACAAATTTTATAAACATAAATTTGCCTGATGATTCTCCTGCCTCACCCCAAGACATAACTTTTCCAGGTCCCTAGTACACTCCTTAAAAACCCTTTAACAGTGTTCACAGGATGCTGGTGACGTGGCCTGCTTTCTTATCCTTGTTCTGTCCCCATGGAAACCAAGACCAGCTACATCCAATCTCTTCAGGTCCTAGATTCCACAGTACTTCGTCTTGGGGGAAACCCTTTCATCTTCACCCCCTTCTCATCTTCCCAATCTCAGCTGAAACACTTACCCCTTAGTAAAGATTTTCCTGAAACTTGAGGTTAGGGTAGATTAGTCTGGGCTATTTTGTGCCCCTCTTGCTTCAATTTCTAAAACACATATCTTCCACTCTCCAATCTGATCACCATGAATGACACCGTATCTTTCTTACTGCTGTCAGTATCTCCAAAAAGATTGGCACATAACATACACAAAATAAATGGTTATTGAGTTGAATTGAGTTGGCCTTGTTGGTTACACCTTTTTTTCCTTTCTTCCTCTACTCTTTTTTGGATTGTAATTGTTTATACTGCCTAATCCCTCTAGTAACAGAAAAAGTAGAAGAAAGGAACTAGCTAGTTGCTAGGTTAAAAGTTAGAGTTGTGGTGGTGGTGTGTGTATCTGCTATTTCTGGTAAAGCTTTCACTGGGATTGAATGTTAACAAAAGGCTGTGGCATTTTAAAAGCATTTATGAAAATTTCTAATAAAAATAAGCCTTTCTTCCAACCAAGGTTGAGAATTCAAAACCAAGTAGAACCATGATTTCTATTTAAATTTCAGGGGAAAGAATTTTAAAAGCATAGAATTAATTTCTCTCTGCCGTACGCAGGGCAGATAATCGCAACTTAGAGTTCAGGGTCTCTTCTCTGTGTGTGCTCAATAATGAGCCACTCCTGTGGTGCTAGTTCCCACTGTAGGAGGCGTATATCCCTTGGCAATGTTTCCCCCTCTCTGAAAAGTCCGGAGAGACAGCAAGTGCTTGCATGGACTTCTCTGCCTCCTTGCTGCTGACTCCAAAAGTCTGTCACTAACGCTGTGTCCCACAAGGAACCGCTGGGTTGAACTCACCCTCTGCTGCATATTATTTCGAGGGCTTCCAAGTTCCCATGATAGGCTGCCAGGAGAGTGGGAGTCATGCCATCTTCGTCAGAAAGATTCAGATCTCGCTTGGTAGCCTCTTTCAGAAGTTCCAGGTAGCTATCGCTAGCAGCTTGGTGGTAACGAGTGGACATTTTTCCTGCTCACCAAACGTTAGCCAGGTGTTTCTCCCCCAGGCAGAGCAGGCTGTTGGCAGGAGAGCCTGAATACACAGCTCGTTAATCAGTTACAAGAATGAGTGTCACTGGGGACAAAGCTCATTGCAGCCTCGCTCCACGGAAGGGAACCAGAAAGGCCCACGTCCATGAACTTAGACCTTTCTGGCATGGCCTTGATGGCACATATGAAAGCCTGCTAAAGCCTGCTGTTTCATCTTGGATGTTCTGAGGCATATTTAACTTTCTACGTCCATGTGTGTGAGTCCTGAATGTGATACTGGTCATCCAGGTATGGGATGAAGAAAACAATTTCAAAAATTTTCAAAACTAGTCTAGTTCAACGGAGAAGTCTTTTTTGCTTGTTTCCGTTTTATTTGAAAGGCAAAGGGAAAGAGAGACAGAGAGAGAGAGACATCTCTGTACGGGTTTACTTCCTAAATGCCCACAACAGTTAAGGCTGGGCCAGGCCAAAGCCAGGAGCCAGAGATCACTGTGGTTTCCCACATGGGTAGTAGAGGTCTGTGTACTTGAGGCAATACCTACTGCACATTAGCAAGAAATTGGATGGGATGTGGAGAAGCTGGGATTTGAACCAGGCACCTCAGTGTGGGATGTGGCATCCCAAGTAGCATCATAATTAGGACACCAAGTAGCTGTCCTGTAGGTGGTGCAAGGCACCGAAGCTGCTACCTATAATGCTGGCACCTCCTACCTAGCTGCTCTGCCTTTGTGCAGCTGTTTCTAAAAAAGGAAAAGAAAAGGAAAAAAAGAATAAGAAAAGAGAGACAGAAGACAGAGACCTCAATGGATTAGGAACTCTGCTTGGTTTAGGCAGGGCAGACAGAGTGGGATGGGTCTCACCGACTGTAAGAGAAGGCAGAAGCCTGAAGCAGGTTGTATTACACATTTTGGTCTCCTGAATCCACCATAAGTATTGCCTAATATTATTATGAAATGTATGGAAGTATGTTTTTTTGAAGTCTGCAACAGCTTATTCTTCTTATCTCTTTTTGTCCAACATAATTATTAGTCAATAGCTTTTATTCCAAGATAAATTATTTGCCTACTCTGAAAGAAGTGTGAACTTTCATCTAGCTTTTCCACGAGATTAACTGGCTTCAAGGGTTCCTATTTGTTCCTGCTTATTCCTTTTTCTGGTTTCTGTGTGAATAGCAGTCGAAAGCATAAAGCTCTGTGAAGGGCAGTGCTGTTTGTTTTAAAAAGGAAGAAAGAACACTTTTTCCCCTAGAAAGAGCAACATATCCACATGCGATTGTGGATACTCTGAGAAAAAGACAACACTTGATCCTCAATTCAGTTTTACGTGATTCATTTCTTTTTTTAATCTGGGCACAAGTGTATTCGTTAATGGTTCCTGAAATAGAGAAAATACACATAACTTGAGAGAGCATTTCTCAAAGATGGGTTATTTGAAGTAAGATCCTAATCAAAGAGTCTGCTATCGGGAGGAGAAGAAAAACAGGAAGAGGAGATTGAGGAGGCAAAAGAGAATGGCAAAGCAATTATGGAAGAGAGGGAGAAGGATCGAAGGGCAAGATGAGGCAGAGACAGGAGTTTCTCAGCTTCGGTAGTACTTAAGCCCTGGATTTAGTCTTCTGTGAATGGCAAAACGTTGGAACTGAAAGAATGGGAGGCAAGAGGGGCTAAGATCCTGGCACTGTCGGTATTTCCTTGGAAAAATTCCTTTCCTGGAGAAGAGTAAGTACAGATGGAGAAGAGAAGTGAGCCAAGTGCTTCTTAAGTTGAAGTTTTCCCATACCTGACTCCTTCGACCTGAGATTAACAAACAGGGCTGAATTCAGAATCCAGGCTCAGGGGCAAGTTACCCATAGTCTACATCTCCTTGAGGGATGACATTAGGAGATGTTGCTAACGATCATAAAACCATCATTCACTAACTTCACAGTAGTGAAGATGAAATGAAGTCAAATTCCTTACAAATTACAAAATATGTTTTTACAAACAAGGAGTTATGGGGTTGTGGTTTAAGGGACTAGACAAAGCAAGAGTTGTAGCTCCTCGATTGATCTGTATTTTTCTTCTCCAAAAGCCCAGAGGAAATAAAATTCATGAGAAATAGCGACAGCCAAAGTTAATGAAAAAGAACTAAGGCAGATTTGCATGAGACGTAGACACTAAGTCCTTATGATGAGTCTCGGTAATTGCAGAGCAACTGAGGATTCTGGCTGCAAGCTTGGTTTGTATGGTATCTTCTGGAAAAAAAATTTTTTTTTTATTGAACAGTATGCTGCTGGGCTCTTGGAAGGTCAGAGAAGAATTGCTGCCACACGCTTGGTGAGTGGCTGTAACCTCTGCTTAAGGCTCTCACCTAGCTCCCTGTTGGAGCCACACTCTGTCCCTACACCTCTTCATACATCTGCAGTGACAGTACGCCTCTAAGAATGTCCTTCCAGGGACTTTTGTGTCCCCTTGGCAGTCATTTCTATGTTCAGAAGAAATAGCTTTTACTTCCTCATTTTCCTAAAACTCTGACACCTTAGCCTATTATCTGCAATGGCACTGTTGCTGTCACAAAAAAAGCAGCCACCTGAGACCGAGGTGACTCTAAACGGGTATTCCATATAACATGGAATTCAATCCTGGCCTAAACGAACCAACTTGTGGATGAACAATTTACCCGAGGACTATGACTATAAAGCAAAATCTCATGTGTTTCTTTGCTCAGAAGGGGGGAAAAGGGTGTAGGGGAACAAAGATTAGTAGTAATTGATAGTTTCAATCTATCCCCAAGAAAAACCAACTGGCAAAGTACAAACAAAATTTGTCCCGCATTGTTCAAAAGTCCATTCATGGTTAATTGGCAAATAAATTCAATGGCTTCTAGAACTCAGAAACACATATTTTTAGTAATGAGATTGCCCCCTGAGCCCTAAGAGATCTGTTTTTCAAAGCAGACTTTGTTTGTTCTCTGAACCTATTCATGTTTAATTACAGAAGAAATTCACTTGGCTTGGGGGTTGGGGGAAGCAGATTTTTGCATGACAAGGAAAGAGAAAGACCTGAGCAGGGAACACTGCTTTTTTTTTTTTAACAAGATTACTTCATCTAATGAGGATCCTATTATGAATTTCAATGAAAATAAAAACAATAACAGAAAGAGAAGGGAATGAAAGGGGGTTACAGAAGCCCTGCTGTTACTTAGGAAACTTACAGGAACCAAGCAAGGACAGAACAAGGCATTATTCACATGCCTTTCTGTATATACTGAACTTGGGTTCATGAGGAACACGTGTTGATAAAGACAGGGTCCCATGTACTGTCCAGAAAATGCCACTTATCCGTGCATTCTTTTCTCAGTAATGAAACAGTTCAACCGATGTGCTGTGGATTTTTCCTATTTAGCAGACTTTAACAACGTTGCCTTTAAACACATATATCATTCTCCGAATAAGAGCAACTTTATCCTCTCCCTCCCTGCTACTCGCCACCCTCCTCCCCCAAAAAAACCCTCAAGGTCACTGGTGTTGTTTTTCCTTAGAAACATTGTTAAATACAGACATGAGGGCATCTGAAGGGACCATTGTCTGCCCTTTTGTTTTTCCTTCTCCAAATGGAAACATTTATGAAAATATTTAGGTGGATAAAAGCACTATTGAAACTGCAAAGTCCCTGAAGTATTGATTGGGTTTAATTTATTCACATAAGCTTCAAGCCATTCAAAGCCCTATTTTTCCTCCAGAAAAATAAAGACAGCGTTGTTATTGTACCATCTGGTTTGCATGAGGAGTCTCTTGGCATCTCTGAACTGCACATTTTATAAATGCTAAATCCCAGATGGCATACATTGTAACAGTGGAGAGTTTTATAAAGGCTTCCAAAAACAAATTCTTTAAAATTTGAATACTGGGTAGTCTAAGCAGGGGCTATGAACTTAAAATTCTACACTTAAATCAACTGGCTTTGTAAGCTGGATAAACTTCCTTTTTTTTCCTTCAATGTCTTTTTCCTGATTATTAGTGTGTGATTTGAAGATTTGGATCTACATAATCCTTCCACCACTGCTTTCCTTCTATGGCTCTGTGACTGAATCCTTACCCAGGACTGAAAATGACAGGAACAATGATCCTGAAAAAAATTGATATTAGCTGCCAGTTTGTTTGAGGATGGCAGAATTTCCCACAAGGGAGACATGTGACAGTACCCTTTAGCAAGTTAGCAGATACCATAAAAACCAAAGCAGATAATTAGACAGTTACTGATGAACATTAAGCCCCAAATTGAATCACGACATTAATTTAGGTGAATTACTTCTCCCTGATACTACATTTGCTCATCTGTAAACTGAAGAGGGTTTTTCAAATGATTACTTATAGAAATGCTGCAACTAATTACTGCTTTAATAGCTGTACAATAGCACAGTGTATGGTGTGTGCAGTGAGTACTCAGTGAATGTACATGAGCCAGACTAGCACTACCGGAAGCAGTAGAAATACCCAACAATGGAAAAGTAGACAGTCTTCTTTCTTTAGCGCAATTGTAAACATAGAATTATTTCATTTTCTACAAACTTCTTTTTCCTATGAATTTTTATTCTCAGTAACAACAGCTGGGAGTTGGTGGTGTTGTTGTTGATTTTTGTTTTGTCCTAACCCTTATCATGGTGTACTAAAAAGAAGATAATACAGCCATGCAGATTTGGATTTTTCAGTCTAGGGTTTTGCGTCGGTGTACCAGACTGCTATAAAAAGTACCCAAGACTGGGTGACTTAAACGGCAGAAATTAATTTGCTTGTGGTCCTGGAGGCTGAATGTCTGAGAGAGGGGGATCAAGATGACTGTTTCTGAGGGTCAAAAGGGAAGATGCTTTCCACCCATCTTCACATTATCTTTCTTCTTGTACGCAACAGCAACCACATCTCCTCTTCTTGTAAGGACACCAGTCATATTGGATTGGAACCACCCTAATACTTCACTGTAAGGATTTCATCTCCAAA